TAATATAAAAGTTGAAAAATGAAGTTGAGCAATCACAATAATTGTATTAAAATTTTGTGGGAAATAACACTGAATACCTATATATTTTTTCTTACAGATAAATTAGCAAAAAGCTAACTAATCAAAATTCATTTAGGACAAACTGTCCTAAGACTTTGAATAATGTATATTTAGTGATTTGTAAATGAATCCCTAGCTTCTTACAGAAAAATATCTCAATTGACTTGAATATTTAAAATGTAAAATAGAAATACTTTGCAAGTTATTTCATGTGAATTAAAAAATAACTTTGAAATATTTAAAAACGAAATATATTTAACATAAATAAAAAGCACTATAAATTAATCAGACATTATAATTTCAAATATGTTTTCTATGGTTGATTTAAAAAAATTTTTGTGATGCCAAAACTGTACTTTGTAAAATTACATGCATACCTGCCAACTCTTCTGCATTTTGTAGAAGATTTTATATTTAGTATGGTAACAAAATTTCTACATTCACACTTGATTCCGATTTTAACAAATTTAATTTTAATTCATTTTAACTACCATTACATTTAAATAATTTAAAGATACTTATTACAGGCCTGGTAGTTATGTTATTGTGTAGTTAATGAAATATGAATTGAATATCTGCATATAATGTTACTTCAATGGCTTTTTACTACTAAGAAAACACTTTGAAAACCATAAAAGTTGGCAGGTGTGCAATAGCTTATTTATTGCACTTCTTGTTTTGTCAATGTGAAATCTAAAACAGTTTCAATCATTTCTTATTGTTGCCAGATATCTTAAAAACTTCAAATAACAACTTACCTAACAGTTAAATAAAATAATTACTGTTTTTTTTTTTTTTAAAAAAAAGGTTTTTTTTATAATATATATTTATGTATTCTTATGAGTTTGTTGCTTTATCACCATAATAAAAAAAAGTTATTTACATAAGAATGTTCCAAAATTACAAATTTTCAAGCTCTGTAAATTTTGTTTTACAAAAACTTCTCAATTTCTAAAAGATGCATATAGTTTGTGTATTTGTTTTCCACAACTTTATATTTTCATAATCAAACAATTATAAGTCTGTTTCATGTAACTGTTATTTGTGAAAAATAATGTGATTTGTTGAGTGTATCAAATATTTTTATTATGTGTGTTTTTGTGTAACATATATTAAATAGATATAAGACTAAAAAATCTTTCCATTCTTTTACTCAATTCACGCACTCATTTAATGCAACTGTTGACTATGAACTAAAATTTGTAAATTTGTTGCTTTTTATTTCAAATATACATTATAAATCTATAATGGTATAACAGGGATGGCGAACCAATGGCACGCGTGCCATTTATGGCACGAGACACAATATTTTGGGCACGCCACCGATCACAATTGTTATTACACAAATGTTATTACACTATGAAACATATGTAACAATTAAATTAAAATTCACAAAAACAAACAATAAAATAAACAATTATTTATAAAAAAATTAACAATTAATGCTAAAAAAACAATTAATAACCAAGCTAAAAATAAATAACTAGCCAAAACAAAATAACAGTCCTGCTTAAACTAACATTTTACAACTTAATATAAGTTATTTGTCATCTAATCTGCAACAACAGAAATTGCACTGATGTTACTTTAAGTTGTCTTCAGACATGGCAAAATGCATTTTTTTTTAAATATGTAAATAAAGAGTTTTGAGTTGATTGTATTTAGTATTCTCAATAATCACGAAGTCAAAATTATTTGAAGGCACGTCTTTGACCTCATTAAACAATTATTTTTAAAAAGTTGGCACGTTGGTGTATAAAGGTTCGCCACCCCTGTGGTATAACATTCAAAAGCAAAATATAATATTTTTTTAACAAATAAGTTTACTGAAAGGAATACAGTTTTCTGGATAATGTAACTTCATACTGCCTGATAAAATTGTTTTTTTTTTGTAACAATAAAAAAAAAAAAAAAATAAACATTATCACCAAAGTGATTATTTGATGACAGGGCAAAAGGTTTAACCCCAATATTGAATTAGAATTTTAAATGCTTGGTTTTCATTATATATTTTAATTGCTTATGTGCCCTGAACATATTAAATTAAAACCAAAACTGAATTGAAGTTGAAAATAATGAATAATTCTTCTTAATATTATACTGATGACAGTTGAAAATATTCAGATCTTTATTGTTTATCTAGGATCATGTTATGTGATTTTTTTATCATATTTTTGATGCAATTATATTCTACAAAAGTTATCTGAATAGTCGAGTGGATACCATATTATCTATGTTCATCTGAAAATGAATACGAATTTCAAATTTTTCAATTCAAAATTCAAATTTAAAACACCTTTCAAATTTAATTTTATTTTACGCTAAATTTTTTCTTCACAAAAGAAAACTAATATCCATGTTTATTTTTATTCTACTTTATTGTAGTATTCTATGTTCCATACCATCTTCTGTACAATATATCTAGTGTCCACGACTCATCTCACAACTGTTCTATATTTTTCAAAAACTTTTTAAAGCAAAACACAAAAGGTAATTGCGTATTAAGCTCAATTTCATTAACTGTATTTAAATAATTTTAAAAAAATCGATATAATAATGTAATACTCGTTATAATAAATGTAATACATAATAAATATAACGTATAATTTACTTAAGTCAAAATTTTGCTTTACTTGAAACTCTATATTATTATTCTTATTTAATTCATTTTGGTGGTCTTAAATTAAAATTAGAAAATTTTTAATTATAGAGTCAGTGTACTTTTTAATATTTTATCTAAAGATATAATATTTGAAAAAAACTAAATAAGTATAATTTTTGAATTTTTTTTAAATTTATTTTGCAAAAAAATTTGGAATTTAAAAGTAAAATTAGATATTTTTATATTTAAAATTTAATAGAAATTATTTAAATTTTAATTTAAAAATATTAATAACGTATTTACATTATATAAATAAATTTGTAAAAATCTGAAGTTATAAATTATTTTGCAAAAAAAAATACTGATTGAAAATTTTTTTTCCTTTGCATTTCTTTTTTTTTCTTTTATATTTTTGCTTTAACTCTTGCATTTGGGTAAAAATTTTATAAACTTACGTTTTCCATACAAAGGTATTTTAGCAGAGAAATTGCGTGCATTAGACACAAAATGTAGTCAAAATAATAACGCATTAAAACAATTTTTACTGATATGTCAACTAATTTCTATTGACCTTTGTGAATTGATGGATTTAACTAAGAAAAAAATTAATCGATTTAATGCGTTAAAAGTTGTGTAAATGTTTAAAAAAAAATCATTTGTCCCTGCCCCTATGATGTCCATTTGTAGGTCGCACTGCCTGTCATTAAACTTAATAAATTATTGAGGATGCTGACATCTCTGAGGAGGATTCGAAAATATGTTATCCCAATTTTGATCCTCTGCTGAGAAAATCTCGTTTGTGAGGGTACTTCCACAATTTGGACATAGAGCTGAAGTAGGAAGAAACTTTCTCCTGCTCCATGTACCCGTGACACTTCTCAGCAACCAACCACAAGGTATTCGATTCCACTAATTTTACGAGCTCGCTTATCGCATGTATTCGTTGGATCTTAGCGGAGTTCATGATCGAACCCCTTGCCCCTCCAAACCGGAACTCGATTCTCTAACTATGGGCTACCATGTCCCTGATAAGTTATTAAAAGCAGTAATTTACGAATCGAATATGCGATCAAAATGGGCTACAAGTGGTGTAAAGCAGAACTCTTTACCTATGACAACTCTTTGCATGCTTTCACCATTATAGTGTGTGGAGAGTCATAGAAGAGGAAAGTACGCGAGTTTTTGTCTTGATTTTCAAATAGATAAAAATCTTTTAAGTTAGGAAACTATATGGAACTGAAAATTACATTAAACATAGTTCTAAAAGAAAGCGCCATGGCAATTTAAAAAAAATTAACAATTGAAAATGCAAAATATTAAGAAAAGGAAAAATATCGCAGTACATTCCTGTACAACTGAAAAGAGGATGAGAGGGATGGGTCAAAGGCATGAAACCTGTCTTCTCCCCAGATGGCGTATTCGAGCGTTGCAATCGCTTATAACAGAAGTAAAAACATGTGCAGCATCTTAATTAGAAAATTTATGGTCTTCAGATAAACACAGGCCCTTTGGTCTCCGAGATCCCCGATGCATATGCACCTTATTCCAAACCGGACCTGCAATGGGACCGAGGGGTGTGATATCGATCCTCGTCCAACAGTTCTACCATTAATTACTCGAATTTTGCGCTTTGGTCATTCGGCTACCAAAGCGAAGAAGCCATCCACTTTGCAGAGGATCATAATTATGATGGGATGTCTTCAATTCATCCTCAGGGATCCTAGGGGATCCTCCTCAGGGATCAGGGATCCCTTCCTAGACGCTGCTAATTGCCCGTTGTGCAGCTCTAGCGCAACGTGAAGAGTTACTACTATTTAAGTTTGACGCTCTGTTTATTGCTTCAACTTTTAATCAAATCGGAAATATGTGCCCGGTTTAAAAGCCGGAAAGGTGCATGATAACTCTAGACTCGCGAAACTTTTTGCCGCCCAGTTTGTGGGGATGATTTAGTTTTCGAATACCACGTTTTAAGGGGGTCGTTAACATTGCATGTATACCGATCACTGTCGTGAGAAAATAAACCAGATTCGTGAGTTTTTCCGTTAAAATAGATTATAACAAAATGCTCTTCATTTTTCCAGTATGGTGATCAGAGATGTATGAATCGTACCCATTGAGAAAGGCTCTCTGGGCCGAGATTCTTCGTACTAAATGCACCGTTGAGGTTCTCCTGAAAGAATCTGGTTTCACATACAAAGAAAATGATGTATAAGCAAGTTTTTCACTCATAGAGAACTCGCCCATTAAATTTACGCTCGTAAACGACGGGAGATTGCTTTTAGTGAGAATTACCCTTGAAAAGAAATGTAAGAACCGAAAGGAATTTGGCTTGTATCTACGATTTGAGCATTACTAATGGCAACAAGCATATGTTTATTTTCTTTTTCCCGTGCTAAGTGTGTTGATGTTGAAAACGTGTTTCGCTAATTTAATTTTATATACTATTAAAACTATTTAAACATGCAGAATGATGATGTAAGTATAATTAAACATTTTACTTTGTTTCTAGATCATTTTTGAGGTAAAATAAAATATTCTAATACACTATCATATAATTTTCATTTGTGATACGTTTGTGCTTTGATTGAAAATAAATTAGTTTTATTTGTTAAATCTAAGAAATCAGCGATGTTATAACAATTTCCAGGTCTAAAGTTTTTGTTTAATATAAACTGGTCTATGCAGAACTTTATATATTGCAAACTATATAAATATAATAAACTTTGAAAGATATTATTAAACAAGAATATTAGAAGTATGCGGTGAAAATGTACTGAGAAAAAATATTACTTCATTACAATTCCTTTCTAAATAAGTATAGTTATGTAATTAATTGACTCAGTGTTTTACTGAAAATTTCTTAAAAATCTTGGAAAAATTATTTTCCTCTACAATAAACTATCTTGTTTATTTTCCATAGGTTAGATTATTAACGAATCTTGCACACATAAGCATTAAGAATTTGCTTGAGAAAATTGTTACAAGAAAGTGTTAGATTACTTACTTCCTTGTGACACTTTTACACCTCTCAACTGTGCTCTTCATCTTTATTCCAGAAAACTGTAAACAAATACGATTTTTAACTGGTTTTTTAAATCCACGTAAATTTGCTGTAATATTTATTTAGTTCTCTACACTTTCCGTGAGTTATTTAATGTATTTTTCAGTTTTCATCGTATTAATCAACTTTTTCACCTTATATTATGGCCAGGGCCGGTGTAGCCTGGTTGATTGGGCACTGGGCCCATGTCCAAGAGGTCGTGGGTTCAATCCCTTCTGGCCAAAGCCTTCCTGTGTAGTAAATGGTGACTCATGCTCGTTAAATCTGTTGATTTGTTGAGTCACAAAGTTCTCCATGTTTCCATAACAAATCATACCTCTGAGCCCAGAAGCAGAAAGTGCCTAAAACTGTGACCTATGTCGCAGAACAAATGAAGTCCTGCTGAACAAGAATTTGTATCTTGAATAAGTGACAGCGTTTACCTGCGAACCCCCCCCTGCCTCTGTTAGTCTTGCAGAACATCCCCCAACCCTAATCTCACACATGCTTCTGTAGACCATAATGACACGGAGGCTTACAGGAAATTAATGAATTAGCTTTTGGCTATAACATTTTCATAAAATGGGTGTAATCAGTTTTTAGCAGACAGCAGAAGAAATCGATCACCATTTTTATCAAAAGAGCTTCTAAAGCAAGCCGTAAATTCAGAGATTTCCAAATTCATAAAGTTTATGACTTTTATATTTTCCATTCCCATTTCAGAAGCAATTTATCTGAGTCAATCGTGAATCTTGGGGATTCACGATTGACAAAATTGTTTCTAAAAGTCCAAATGCTTTCGAGATGAAGAAGTTGTTGGAACAACAGACCAGGGAATGTTTGTGTTTGCAAATGGAGGACCATCTGGGCACTTGTCCCTTTGAGAGATTATTAAGGCAGTCCTTATTTTAATGTTTGGACCTTCATATAATATTTGATGAATTATTAATATTAAATAATAATCATGTAATATTAATAATTCATCATCGTCATAAACAAAATTTTGTACTTCAAAAGTGATTGAAAAAGTAACAAATCAAGAATGTTTGCCTTGGTTTAAAAAATAATGTAGTGTATCTGTGTATGATCCTGTATTTTTATAAATGAAAATATAGTATTTTAACGTAAAGTTGACTTTTTTTTTGTTGCTGTGAAATGCTTGCAGAACATTTGTATAAATTAATAAGTCCTGTTACAGAACAATTGAAAATATTCTGCTTTTGGGCCTCTGGGGATACTGATCCAGGAGTTTCTAGATTGGTTCAAAATTAGAATGTTATGGAGTTGACCATTAGTAGTCATAAACCCATAAACAAAAATAATAAATTATTGTATTATAATTGATTAAATTTAGCCGGTCAATAATCCATTTGAAGTGAAGATTTCGGAACTGATGCATGTATTATTTGGGGAATGTTTCTGTGCCAAGGTCTATGCAAAAATAATTGCCAATTTGACAACTTTTAGGGAATGGCGGATAAAACATTAGTAATTGAAAACCCAAAATTGGGTCGGCTGCTCAACGACGGTTATGAAATAAAAGATCAAAATCTAAAGTTATTTAAGTGTTTGATAAAAGAAAAAAAAATTGTAATTTATTTAAGATTTTGAAAAAAATGTTTTTTGCATTTGCTTTTATTTAAGATGTTTGTTTAGTTTTTATTTTTATTTCAGGTTATTTGGAGTATTATCAATAAAACATTTTGTTCGCATAAGATAAAGTAAGTTAAACTATTTTTGCTTAAAATTTATTAATGTATAATACTTATGTTACCAAAAAAAAAATATTTTTCTTTTCCTTTTCCAGTACCAAAACTCAACAGTTTTGTAGAAATGAATATAACTTAACTGGATTGTGTAATAGAAATTCCTGCCCATTAGCTAATAGCAACTATGCCACAATTAGAGAAGAAAAAGGTGACAATTATGTTTGTTTATTCACTTTTATTTATTTATTTTTTGTACATTTCTCTTTTTTCTTTATTTCATAGTATAATTTCATATCTTATTGTTTTATACTATTGTCACATTAAATTTTTATACAAATTATAAAAAATTTTGTAAGCTTATGTAATATTTTTTTTATGTGCATTCTTATAAGCATAGTTAAATTTATTTCATTCTTATTGTTTTTGCTTCTTTTTTTTTTAAAAAGAAAATTAGTAAGCTACTCCTCCTGCTTGTTCATCTTAATTTTTTGAAATTGATATATTCTACAAAGACAAAAACATTTTGTTAATTGTCCTATTGTTTTTAAAAAGATTTCAATATTAAAGTTATGATTTTTATCTGGAACATCTAATCTTCTAATTTTTTTTCCTACTAACTTTAAACATTAACGCAAATAGGAGCCTTTAAAATTAAATTCTTGAGATAAATAAATTTTTTAACAACAAGGCATAAATAGTTAATATTAAAAATATAAAAAAAACTGAAAAAGAAAGTCTATGATAAAATTACTAATGACACAGTCTAGAAAGAAACTGCATCTATTTAAGAATTCTTTACTGAAATTTAAACTGAAAAAAAAAAAAAAGGCTTTTACAAAAATCCAAGCTTTAAACTATATACTTAGCATTATTACATTTTATTACATCTTACAAAGTATCATAGGAAAATGTTATTAATATTCTGTTCATTGCATTTAATATTTCTGTTAATCATTTTTCAGTTTTAACAATACAGATTTATAAGTTTTTGCTTATTTAGGAACTTGTTTTCTGTATATCAAAACAATTGAGAGAGCTGCTTTTCCTGCAAAACTGTGGGAAAAAGTTAAGTTGTCTAAAAACTATGAAAAAGCCCTTGGACAAATAGATGAAAATTTGATTTATTGGCCTCATTTTATTCGTCACAAATGCAAGCAGAGATTCACAAAAGTAATACAATATTTGATTCGCATGAGAAGATTAAAAGTGGGAAGACAGTAAGTGTTTGTTTTTTTTAAATTTTTTTTTTTTTTACTATTTATGCTAGTATGACTGTACTAAAATTCATTTAAACATTATTTCTGTTTTTTTTATATATATGTATGTTTAGAGAAAAAAAATTCTTGCTCAGTAAGATTTAAAATATAAATTGTTTAAAAGCTTCTTGTAGCATGATTATTAATTTTATTGTAAGAACTTTAATATTTTGTGACAATAAAATGTTAAAATTCATTTTAAGCAATTGGGTGCAAAATACTTTTTGAAATTAAGGCTGAAATGTATTACTACTTTATAAAAAATTCAAATTAGTTTATGTTGCTCAATAAATTTATACACAAATTTAAATTGTATCTTATTTTAACACAATTTTTTATTATCTTATTTTTGAAAAGCAATTGAGTGCCTGGAAACTAATTAATGTTTTTGCATGTTGTGTTGCTCAGTTACCAGGCAACTATCATTATTACTAGAAAAACTATCATTAAACGACGAGAAAGTTACAATGGAATCATCACTAATAGAATGCTTCAAAATAGTCATAGCTCAATTTGAAATTCGCATGTCGTAATAGCTGAAATCTAGCAGAATTTGAGAAACCTTAGAGAAATGGCTGAAAATACAATCTCTAAACCACATGGATTTACAAAACAATAACTAAATCATCATGAATAAACCATTTTTATATACAGTGAAACCTCCTGTTATGGACGCCTCTCAATACAGATATATTTTTAATTCTCTGTGAATTTTCTATGAATAAACAATTATGTGCATTCTTCGCAAAGTGGACACTCCCATTGCCGTACGCGGACAGTCATTTTTGCCCTGAAACATTACTATCTATCTCTTCAAACTGGACTTTTTCTAAACTTGAAAACAAAAACTTCACTAAATTAAAAAAAAAACATACTTTTTCTAAATTTGAAAAAAAGAAAAAACTGTTTCTGCTTTAAATTGAATGGAAAAAAAAGCAACTTTTCACCATTTTTTAAGCATGTAAATTTTTTGCCTTATTCATAACTAAAAATATAGTTAAGCTATTTCACTACAAAATAATCCATCTTTCTCCTGTCACCTTACATTATTTTTGCAAAGAAAGGAGAGAAAATGATACTGCTCTTGTGAAATAATTCGAACAGTGAGGTCTTTTCATCTAAACCACACAGGTTATGAGACCCCTTAATTTGAAATGATGTCTTAAATGCTTCTTCCCCACTTAAAATTTCTTTCATATTCTTATCAATTTGAAGACTGTATTTCACAGCTGGGGTAAAAAAAGAAAAAAGAAATATAATCTTTGAGCTGTTCATATAAGTGAAACATTTATTCAGACACTTGATAGATGATCAGTTGTAAATAATCAACTCCGTAGGTCTTCATGCCCTACGGGTATGCGTTGCTTTTTCTCTGTGCATCGTGGGAGGTTTACTTATAGTATAACCATATAGTAGGAATATTAACCGTGTTTCCTATTAAGTAATAGGTAGGTGTTAGGGGATGTAAACCTAATAATTGGAACCGACTGAGGACTAAAAGCTCCTATTTGGTATTATATGACTAACTTGAATATCTATCTAACTAACAAGAAAATTACATTCACTTATCTGTAGCTACATCTAGAATTATGTATTTATATTAAACTTTTCCATATTTTTTTTGCGTGGAAAAAATATTTTTTAAAGTTTATATAAATATCCTTGTAGATAGTTATTGTAGATAATTTAATTATTTCTATATCCTTGAAAGTATTCTAAAAAACTTTACAATGTTTAACTTCGTTATTAGGGTACCCTTCTCATAAACGGACAATTTTTTCAGTCCGAAGAATGTCCGCTGAATTGAGGTTTCACTATATCATCAGGTCACATATTTAAATTCAATGGACAAACTAGGAATTTAAAATAAAAAAATTTCTTCACGTTGAGACAATATTAAAATATTAATTTAAATGCTCAGGTCTTTCGCAATTTTTTATGAATTATTTTCAAGTGAAGTTTAAAAATAATATTTTTTTTTTATATTAAATTTTTTTAAAAATTTTATTGAATATTTCAGCAGTTATTGTAAGAAAACATACGACAAAAAATTAGTTATTAATAAAAATGTCTGTATCGCCATAATTATTTAAGCTAGGCTTTTTATATTTAATTTAAGCTAGTCTAATTATTTAAGCTAGGCCAAATTTTATGCAATTATTGCATGTAGTAACCAAAGTAATGGAGTCAAGTTGCAAGTTAATTGCTATTTTTTCTGACATTAGTTCTTCAAAGAAATAAAAAAAATTTGATGGTAATTTATTGCTAGTCCATCAAACCTCGGATAACTATAAACTTTATTGATAAGTATCAGAAATTGTATAACCTAAATACCTTTAAAGTTTTAAAATCTAAGAATTTTTTAAGAAATTAAATGGAAAAAATATCAAAAACTTAGCATCTTATTAATTTTTGTTGGGTAGTTTATAAATGAAAAACTTTAATCAATAGGAAAAAATATATATATAAGTGCACATACCTTAATTATAAATTTTTTATGTAAAGAAGTTCTTAAAAAATATTATTTCAGTGCTTAAAAAATGCTTATTTTTTGTTAACAAATTTAAAATTTATTAACAAAATTGTGTTAAAATTTTCGCAAAATTTTCTTAGTTCTACAGAAATTAAATGCTGATTTTGACACATTTCTTGTAGAAAAGAAAAATTCTAAGTTAGTCTGTACTGATCACCAGTGGTACTTATGAAAATCTGTGTAAAATTATTTTAGCCAAGCAGTGTATCTTTATTCTTATTATAAAATTTCTTAGACTGAAAAGAACTGTATTTTTAAAGAAGAAATATACCCCACAGTTAGTTTTTTATTGCATATGAAATTTAAAATTTGCAATAAATTAAATATATTTATTTGATATTAAATTTAGAATTTACCAATAGACATTCATTATTGGTAAATGTTAACTTACTGACCTGTTTTAACATATGATACTTTGTTTTTTACTCAAATACTAATCTATATCTGTAACTCATGTGCAGAAAGGAATTGGTCCCCACCCAAAGAAAAATTGAGCGTCGTGAAAGAAGAAGAGAGGAAAAGGCTCTTGTTGCTGCTCGCTTGGATAATGCGATTGAACAGCAGCTTGTTGACCGTCTAAAAACTGGTTTGGTATGAAATTCGGTTTAAAGAATTTTATTTTCTTAATCATCATTACTTAATGAAATATTTATTGAAATTGTTTGTCATGCCTGTGTTTTTTTTCTCCTTCTAATTAATATGCTTATTTTAGTATGGAGATATCTACAATTTCCCCCAGAAAGCTTTTGAAAAGGCTCTTGAAGATGAAGAAATAGAAAGTGAAATTGATGAAGAAGAGGAAGTATCAGATTTAGAATTAGAGGTACGTTATTATTGAAGTTCATTATTTATTTATTTTACCCTCCTTTTTTATGTTAAGTGCATTTGTACTTTTTTATGTGAGATATGAAAAAACTTTCAAATTTTGAATAATCTATTAGATTTTGCACCTAACCTAAAACATTTAGGCACAAGAAAGTTCTCTTTTGGTAATATTTTAATTTTCTCAAAAATTTCTTAGTTCTACGGAAATTAAATGCTGATTTTGACACATTTCTTGTAGAATAGAAAAATTCTAAGTTAGTCTGTACTGATCACCATTGGTACTTATGAAAATTTGTGTAAAATTATTTTAGCCAGGCAGTGTATCTTTATTTGGGGGATAAGTTTTTTTTCCCCCTTCTTTTTTGTGAAATTCACTTTTTTTCTCAATTTAATAAAAAGAAAAATTCTACCTTTTTAAGAAAAGTTTCTTTGTTTTGAATTCCCGAAAAAATATTCTTTTTTCAAGCTTTTTCCTAACTATACAAGTATAATTCAAATTACAGTTATGCCATTTAATATCCATGTTTGCAATTTGTATTCACTTGATTTAAAATCTCAGTGAGCAATTTGTTCTCATTCGATTAAAATTTATCTATTGTGATCTGTATTCACATGATTTAAAATTACGCATCCTGATCTCTATTTACGCAAGTTTAACTTAAACAACACAATTCATATTCACTTAGTTTAAAAATCTCGCATCAGAATTTTTTTCTTCACACGATTTAAAACCGTATATTGAGATTAAATTTACATAATTTTTAAAAAAAATCTTCTAGCAATAGTTTTTATTAAGACGTTTCTACTTTTCTATGAATATATACTTCTTACACCCATTTTTTTTTCACTCTAATTTCAAGTATTTTTTCAATTATTTAAAATGTGTTTTGCATGTAAAGTTTTTTGATTTCTATTTTCAGTTATTTTTGGGTTTTTACCGAACCCATTATTGACTATCAACGAAAAACCAGTTTGTATGGAAAAATAATTAAGTCTTATACTACGATTAGTTTGGTGTTTACGTATTTAAAGAAATCCCTAAAAAAAAAAATGGGAAAAAAACAGGTCAAGAATGAAAAATTGATATTATCTTAAGAGGATTCATTGTGTAAATTTTGTATGTGTCGATTATATTGTCAAAACTGATTAAATCACAATAATAGACTTATATATGTATAATGGGAAAACTAAAAAATTTCTAGTAAAGATTTTAAAAACATAACAATGTGTAGGGATGGTAGTTATTGACAATGTCAACCTTCATCTATGAAACCATAGAAATCGAGTGAACATGTCTTATATACTAGTGAATTGGAATTATATGTTTGTAGTGGTAGATACACTACAAATGCTTCAAGAGATACAAAGAGATATTCTAAAATTTGCCATATTTTGTAATTTAAGTGTAAGAACAAGATTCTTTATTAAAGATTCTTAAACATAAATTATTTTCCTTTTTTTTTTTCAATTTGAATGGTGAATTATTGAGTTTTCAAACATTATTTTAAAAACTTTACTACCAGTGTTATAATTTTCCCAGCATGTTGTTAATGTTATGACTTGATCACTTTTAGCAGCAAACAAATAAAATGTTTTAATAAATAAATGTTAAATAACTCAAAATATTTAATATTTTATGATGTTCTAAATTTATTTATTTTTAGGAGGAAGAAGAAGAAGGTGTGGGTGAGAGGCAGTATGTAGCTGCGGAAGATTTTGAAGAAAGTGATCTGTCTGATATAGAAGTAAATGATTAGATTACTTTCATACATGTTTTGCATAACACTATGACATATTCAGTTGCAAAATGTGCTCAGTGTCATCCAGTTTCTTTTGTAAAAAGTGGAAATGTTTTTTTTTTTTTTTTCCAATTTCTATTTAAAAAATAATAGGTGCTTAATGAATTTTTTTGCTAAATAGCTCATACAACAAATGCTTATTTATATATTCCACTATATTTGCAGTCATATTTCCAAGTTACTTAATTAAAATTCATAAGTTACAAAAGATAGATGTAAATTTCAGGTGTAGAGTTCAATTACATTTTTCCAGGCGTTATAAATAGCATTCAAATAAGTAATTAAGTTAAAATTAGTTATGTTTTTCTATGTTTTTTTAAAAATTAGTTTTGATTTATGTGAAATATATTAAAAGGTGATCTAAAAAGAATAAAAGGTGATCTAAAAAGAATAAATACTGTCAAATATCTCTAGAAATACTCCTGGGCTCAGAAATCTAAAATGCATGAGTATGTGTGTGTGTAAATAATTTTCAAAAGATGATACCAAACTTGTCCCTCTCCCCAGGCTTGCCTCCTGTATAGGGATAAGTGTCAAATTGGTTTTTCAAAATATTAAAAATGGTGATTATTAGTTTTTTGATCCAACTTTATTGAAGTATCATAATGTTTAACAATTTGTACTCCATTTTCATGTTACAGTTACTATGCCATCTGTGTATCAAAGATAAGTGGAAAGACTTATAAATCAAATTTAGACCTAGAAATCAGATTATTAAGAAAAACTTTTGAAATGGCAAGAAAATCTTTCTATATAAATTTACTTATTGATTATTTTTTTAAAGTCGCATTTTTACATTCTAATTAAATTTAAAATATTTTAAGATTTAGAAATATATTTTCAATAAAATAGGTTTTTGAAGATTGTGTTTTAAACCTTTTATTACTACTATTTTATTTATTTAATTATTTTTTTTGCAAAATAATTTATATTTAATAACATATTTTTATATAGATAAATATCTATATAAAAATATGCTTTAAATTTTTGTTCTGTTTTTAAAATACATTCCGAAAAATCTAAATTTCCATCCATAATCAATTCTTAATCTTATAGTTTTTAAAATGTCATTTAATAAGAGCTATAATTCATTACACTTTAAGTACGAGTATAATGTCACTTATTAGAATTTATTAGTGTAGCAATATGTTTATAACAGGTTTGAAAATTATGAAAATCAATAAAAAATTTAAACAACCTTATAAAATTCTTTGTACATTGAAATTGGACGACTGATTTCTTTTAAAAAAATAATTTCATTTAGTTCAATCATTTTTCATGTCAATTGATTGAAGTTGTGATTTTAAATAATAAATCCTGGTATAAGTCCATTATTTTTCATCTATAATTTTAATTAATGTCTATGGTATTATTTATGCATTAGTGCTTTTCTGTTATTTATTTAAATTTTTATTTCCTGATGAATAGGATTTTGGAGAAGCAATGGATGAAGAGGAACCAAGTTCTGAAGAAGAACCCAGAAAAACAAAAGCTAAAGTGCTTCGTAAGAAAGCATATGTTGAAGTTGAATATGAGCAAGCGAGACCTAAAGAGAAAGTTACACACTAACACTACTGTTGTAATTATTAAATATGAAGAATAAATTATGTACATGTTTTTATCTTAAAATGTTTCATTTCTTTCAAGAGTTCACTTTAATATAAAAATCAAACCAAACTTTGAATGTGTTTGTTTCGATAAACATATAAGCGTTACATTTCTCTGTGTATCAAAAAATGTTTGTATAGTAGTCTAAAATAGCTTGCACAATTTTTAAAAAAGTGCCAACTAATTAGATCAGGGTGCGTAGCGTTTTTGAAAAGTGCTTATTTTCGATTTTAGTTTTTTAAAAGCCCTTAAAGGTGCTTTTTTCCATGGATGTTTTTAAAAAGTGCTTAATTTTCCCTTTTCCGAAATGTGATATTTTTCTTTACCATGTTGATTTTCGTCACAAATTATGCAAAAAGGCATTGTCCTATTCAAGGTTTTCACAACTTATTCTACCCCAATCTATTTTGGTGTACCGTCGGTCTGTATTGTATGAAAATGCCATTTGTTTTACATGTTTGATGAAATACTTGCGGGACCGCACTTGCGTATACTGAGCTGGATTCTTGCACTCTCGTGTGCAACTGTGCTGTATTTTGCTAGATATTCTCCATTTCAGACTGATTACGGGGACCAACTAAGCATTGTCAATTTTTTCTTCTCTATTAGCGATAGAAAATTTCCTTTCGCTGGTTAATTTCGTCGCTGGCAAGCAAATAAAACCAGTCAAAACCATCAATAAATGTCAAAAAACTTGCCAACCCTGTCTAATTATAATATTTTTTCAAAGTGCTTAAAATATTTTTTGAGTGCTTGAAAAGTGCTTAAAAGGTGCTTATTTTTTGTTGAAAAATTTGACTATGCACCCTGTAGATTTAAAAAATATATATAGATTATAAAAAAAGGAAAATATTTTATTTATAACATCAGTGAAAATGTACAACACAACATTTACTATGTTTTTTTTTTCTTCGTCTTTTGTATCTATCATAGTCTCACTTAGATTAATTATTGCTTATGGTGAATCCTAATACGTTATTGACACTTGATTCAAATTGCGGATATGTTCTAAATGCAAAAGCACACTGTACTTTACAAACATCATCTTCAAGGATTCGTTCCCTTGTGTATGTAGATGCAAGTTGAAAACAATTTGATATCTTCATAGATTGGCAAACCATCTGAAATAACAAAAGGAATTATTAGTCTCAGAAATTTTGCTTCATTTCGATAATTTGTGGATGCGTTTCTTACCCCTTCTTTAGTACAAGAACAAGTGATACAAGGAGAAATTCGATGCGTGTGACCTGTAGGAATACTGACGATATCATTTGATTGGACTTCATAATTACAAGAGTTTGTTTCTTTCCAGAGTCTTAAATTTATGGATGGAAGACTTTTGCATGACATTCTTGGATTTCTAAGAAACAATGAGACATTAAGTATACATTAGGTTAATAAATAATAATGATATATTAAAACTGGTGTCTTAATGTTAAAGAATGGAAAATTGCTGTGTTCTTATTTTCTGCATTTTGACAAATTTTATTAATGTACAAATAGTTAAAAAAATATAAAAACTGAAAATGCAATTGGAAAATAAACACGGCATCATTTTAAAGTAACATGTTGAAATCTATACGCTTGCAGATAATCCCAAATATTTCTGATTTATACTTAAAATGAAATTGTTGATATGTCAATTTTTTTGGTACATTCATATTTTCATTAATATACATTCATAAGTGAACCGGGTTCGAATCCCAGTGATGGCTGATCGATACGAATTTCGCACCTACCTCAGTGGTGACGTAAAATATCCTCAGTGGTAGACAGATCATGGGTTAGAGTCCCCTTGTCATTGGGCTAACTATGGGACGTTTTCTTGGTTTTGCTCTCCATGTCATGCGAATGCTGGTTCGTTCTATTAAAAAAGTCCTCCACGCAGGTAAATTCTCCCAATATTTGATCCAGGAGTTCCCTTGTCTTCTGGATTGGGTTCAAAGTTACAAGACTACGGAGTTGAGCATTGGAACCCCAAAATTGGGTCGGCTATTCAACGACGGTTATTAAATATACATTCATAAGGATATTTGGATGTGGAAAATTTATTTTCAATACTAAAGTGCTTGGCAGAGTTTGTAAAATTTTGAGATTTTTGGTGTCCTGCTCGATCTCTGAAATTTTGTAGATGTGCATGTGTTTTGTAGACTAAAATGAATACCAGGGGCTTATAAAAAGTTCAGGATTTGAGCTATGCCTTCATGTAATTTTAATAATTAATAAAATATAACAATTTTAATCCACTTCGTTTTGTTATTTGGAAAGTTATTTTCCCAAATGAAAAAAAAAATTGTCATAAAACTAAATATTTTGTTTTCTACAAAAACTTCAGTATACTTGGCCCATTATAATACTTGTGGTTAACTGTTGGACATTTTAACTCTAAAATAACAGAGAACTCAAAACTTATTATTTAAAATGGCAGAATATGGTAAATATAGTGCTCCAAACATTGGAATTTGTAGATGTTAGAAATATAAAAAGGACTATTTGGTGTTCTCTAATGTTAATAATTTCTGAATAAATTTATTACTACTACAATAATACTTACAGATTAAGATCATGCTTATGGGAAAAATAACATAATAAATATCTTATTTACTTACAAAAAGTCATCAGGAAGCTCAAAACCCATCATCTGGACTGTATCAATGGAATCAGCATTATCACAAATTACTTTGGATATTTTAGTTTGGCGGATTTCAGCTAACTGATCTAGAAATGAAATTAACATGCTTTAGTTTATTGGTAAAGTTATTTTATTCCGTATTTGAATTTTTTCCCCTTATGTGTTTCTAGTTTGTGAAATCTAATAGTAATCTTGTTCAATTTACTAGAGAAATAATTTTTTGTTTATTACATGTATTAAACAATGACTAATAGAATCTATTCAAGGTGCCCACTAATTACATTAGAATAGTCATATTATTTAGGATTAAAATTTCACAAGTGATTAAAACAAAAATATTTTAGTCAATCAAAACCAATGTTAAAATGGATCAACAGATTTCGCTCAAGTAAGTGGATTAGATTCAAATGATAGACTCAATTCTTTTAAAGTATCAGATCAAAGTCTGCAGTTTTAATTAGATTTACATGAAAGTCAAGTCATTAAAATTCATTTTTAAGTCCATCAATTACTGTAAACTCTTCAAGAAATCAAGTTATTTGCATACTTCTGCTGATCAGAATTGATTGAATTTTGTGAAAACTAAAATCACGTTAGATAAATAAAAACAAATTAAAGAATGTAGTGCCATTATTGGTGATATTCGCATATTATTTAGCTTTATTAACGTACATCGCAAAGTTAACTTTTCTTCACTTAGATGTCCGCTTATGTGCCTTTTTTGTGCTTTTTCACGTTTTTTAGTTTTATTCACATCTTGCACCCTTCGTTTGGATGTCTATTTATGTGGCATTATTTGATCTCGTTTCAAATTGTTTAGCTTTATTCATAAACAAAAAGTCAACTCTTTCATCGCTTGGATGTGGCATTTGTGTTCTCTTCATGTTGTTTAAATTCATTCAAAGATAAAATACTAAGTTGACTCTTTGTTCATTCAGACTCAGATTGATTGTTAAAAATTTCCTTTTTCTTCTTTTTATTATGTGAGACTTAAGATTCTGTACCCACTGTTAGTGAACAATATTGAAATTCGATTTCATAACTATTAAATATATATTCCTTACCATCAGTAAACCTCAGAAAGGGATCTTGTGTTTCATACCAAAAGCGATCACATTTCTTTAAGTTGTTAAACTGCATTGATATGATGCATCCAAATGTTGGACCCACAAGAGCTCCATACATCGGAGTTTCTGACACTCCACCAGTGAATAAATCTATGTCATCTACATTTCTGGAAAAATTAATAATCTTTTTTTTAATTATTAAATTGTCATTATGAATTTTATTTATTAGATTTTTTATGCAAAAAAAGTTTTAAAAATTTTTTAATAATATAAATAAATAATGTGGTTTTATTTAATTATTTCTATAGTGAAAAAAAAGAAAGATATAAACCATAGTCTTTAATCGCTGATCGAATCACAATAAAGCAAAAATGAGATTATAATTTTCTTTAAATTCAGTCAAGTGTTAAGTCGATTTTTCATTCTACAATATAAAGCAAGACTTCAAATGCAATTTCCATTCATAAATATTTGCTGTTTTTTAAATTTTTTTATTGAATAATTATTATTATTTGCTTTTACAAAATGCAAAATATTAGAAATAAATATACATTACGTAAAAATTGGAAGTTCTATCAATTACTTTTTATTATTATTATTTATTCATTTCAATGAATTTAATTATTATATGACTTGGATAATTAGATTCTAGAATAATTATAGATTGAAAATGATCCATACTTCAATCGCAAAATAAGAAAGATATATTTCAAGAGTTAAGTAAATGAACGGGATAATTAATTTTTAAAATTGTTGCCTCTTTTTTCAAACTCTGATAGACCCACCGTATGAGCTTGAATGACAAGGAGATTAGAGATTTAAAGGTAATGTGACAATATGAAAGACAAGTCACTCATTTCAAGAATCTTTCTTGTTCCATAACTCTTTCATAACTTTACACTTATATTTATTTTTTTTTCTCTTTAAAAGTCAACGAAAGGTCATGCAATCAGCCGAATTCAACATACAGTTTATATAAAAGTATATATCCAAATATTCAATAGTTTATCCGAAATTCAAAGCCGGTATGTATCATTTTTTCAACTTATACATTTGATATTTTTTGCAGCATATTTCATTTTCCAAAATCTTTCAAATATAAACTTAGAATAACTTTTTTTTTGTCGAAGTAAGTGATAAATAAAATATTTTTTTTTACCGTTATTATTTTTAGTTAACCTTTTCGATATTCTATTATTATTTCTAGAAATAGTTTTGATACACCTATCTTCGGCAACATATCTAATTTTCCGACATCTTTTAAACACGAACTTTTGATTACTTTTTTTTCTCTTTTTTTAAAAGTAAATTGGTAAATGAAAGTTTTATTTCGCTTCATTATATTTAATTAAGCTATACAGTATTCTATTACTATTTCTGAAATTAGTTTTAATACGTACTTTAGTACTTTTTCGTCTTATGCGACCTCCGTTATCTCGTATTCAAAAAGTTCCAAGTTTTCTCAACTTTTACTTAAAAATATATGGTAATTAAATATTTTCATCATAATTCATTTTCCTGCAAAATTTTGGATCGAACTGGCTTTATTCTCTCTTCTGTTTTAAGTTTTTTTCGCCATCAAAACTGAAGTTACGGTATCTAAATACAAGGCTGTAAGAAGTAAGAGTAACCTTTAGAATAAAAACTAGCGAACTCTTAATTTATTATTTTTTATCAATAACTGTAACATTTTTTCATTCAAAACTTACTCATAAACGCTTTTCAGTCTTTGAACAATGTGTTGAGGAATGTCTTCTAATAAATCTTCAAAAGTTGTTGCTCTAGTTTTATTACAAAGCACCCGGTATGCGTTGTAACCTTGTAATCCATGATCTCTGCCTCTCTGAAGATTGAGAGACACGAGGTCCATACCTGAAAATGGCACTTTTCGGTCTTCGAACAAGTGATTCGTGACTTCGGATGTAATGGAATGATCAAAAACTTCCACGCTAGTGCTCAGAAGACCTCGAAGAATTTCATCAATAGCATTTCCTGTAAATATTTAAAACACAAATGAAATCGCTATGTGATTTCTGTTTTGTTATAGTGCTTTCGAATTTGATAGCTTTTATGATTTTATTTCATTTTCGAATTAACTCTTAATTCAGTTAGTAAACTTTATAATTAAGACAAAAAGCAATCATAAACAATTATTTTATAATGTGCGTTTTTAAATTTACTATGCCACACGTTTAGAATATGTTAAGCCAAATATTTCTCAAAACTTATGACCTACAATGCATATTTTTTATAACGTATATTTGTAAACTGATGTGAGCCGTTTGAATCTTAAATTGTTAGGAGAAAGCTGACGGATTGTATCTTTTTTAAGACCAATATTAATCGTTATATTCAAAATCGCCACTGGGAGATTTGACGATGTTTGGTTACCCTAAAGCGTAAAGCTTATTAGTTCCTCTTTAAATCAAAGTTCATACCTAATATCGACTAGATTTTCATGTATGATATACATACAAAGTGTACCGAAATGGTCTTTAATACATACTTTCCGGGTGAATGCATGCTAAAAATAGCATATACATAAAGGGTCTCAAATTAATACATAATATCTTAAATAAAAAACGTTCTTTTTCTCCTTTATGTAAACAAAAAAATTGCATAGCAATCACAATCGATTCTTTCAACCATGATTCTCTTCATGCACAGCCAAAATGTCACGAGCAGCTTGTGACATTTGGGCTGTGCATGGAGAGAATCATGGTTGAAAGAGCAGCTTGTATGACCTCAGAGCTTTGATTAAAAGCAAAAAGAAAGTGTCGAAAATTCTCATTTTTCACAACTTGACATTCCATTTTAATGATCTGAAAATAAACTAAAACAAAACATCTATTCTGGTAGAAAAGCATCGTCTTTCGAAAGATCTAAAACAATGTGCTAAAAACATTTTATCATTCAAGAAATGTGAAAATTCAAAATTAATGACGGAAACTCAGTTTCAAACCCAATAATACATAATCGAATGTTGCGTTTACATCCAAAGAAAAAAAAAACAGAACGAAGGAAAATATCGGAGCTTGGTTGAATGGTGTAAACTTTACACTAAACAACAAAATAAATAAATNCTGTAAGAGTAACCTTTAGAATAAAAACTAGCGAACTCTTAATTTATTATTTTTTATCAATAACTGTAACATTTTTTCATTCAAAACTTACTCATAAACGCTTTTCAGTCTTTGAACAATGTGTTGAGGAATGTCTTCTAATAAATCTTCAAAAGTTGTTGCTCTAGTTTTATTACAAAGCACCCGGTATTCGTTGTAACCTTGCAATCCATGATCTCTGCCTCTCTGAAGATTGAGAGACACGAGGTCCATACCTGAAAATGGCACTTTTCGGTCTTCGAACAAGTGATTCGTGACTTCGGATGTAATGGAATGATCAAAAACTTCCACGCTAGTGCTCAGGAGACCTCGAAGAATTTCATCAATAGCATTTCCTGTAAATATTTAAACACAATTGAAATCTCTGTATGGTTTCTGTTTTGTTTCAGTGCTTTCATTTTGTTAGCTTTTAAGATTTTATTTCATTTTCGAATTAACTCCTAATTCAGTTAGTAACTTTATAATTAAGACAAAAAGCACACATAAACAATTATTTTATAATGTGCGTTTTTAAATTTACTATGCCACACGTTTAGAGTATGTTAAGCCAACTATTTCACAAAACTTATGACCTACAACGCATATTTTTTTCAACGTATATTTGTAGACTGATGAGAAACGTTTAAATCTTAAATTGTTAGGAGAAAGCTGACAGATTGTATCTTTTTTTTAAAACCAATATTTATCGTTGTATTCAAAATCGCAGCTGGGGGAGATTTGAAGATGTTTGGTTATCTTAAAGTGTAAAGCTTATTAGATTCTCTTTAAATCTAAGTTTAGACCTAATATTGACTAGATATTCATGTATGATATACATACAAGGTATACCGAAATGGCCTTCTTTAATACATACTTTCTGAGTGAATGCATGCTAAAAATAGCATATACATAAAAGGGTCTCAAATTAATACAAAATATCTTAAATAAAAAACGCTAACGAATTTACAAGTAAAGAAAGCGAGAGTAAAAACGCCAAAACCAATTTGACTGCCAAATTAAACCTGATGTTTCAAAGAATCGCCTTCCAACTCCCTGTTTCTTTCAGTAATTAAATAGGTTTTGATGTTTTCAACACATACCTTTAGAATAAATCCGTGTCAAAAAAAAGCGTATACGTAAGGGGGCTTAAATTAATTCATAATTTCGAATTCAAAAACGGTATAGAATCATAAGTAAGGAAACTGAGATTAAAAATGAGAAAAACAGTTTGACTTCCGGATAAAACCTGGTGTTTTTAAGAATCACTTTTCAATTCCTTCTTTTTTTCGGCAATGAAACTAATGATGGGGGGGTTTTTCATGTCGTTTTTCTTAGTGTTGGTTAGTTTGATTTCGATTGATGTTTTGTTCTTTCCTCGTTTATACACTCATGTTTGCAAAAATTACAACACCGTGAAGGAATTATGCTAATTGAGCCAAACTTACTTGAAGTGTAAAGTGGGGTAAATCAATAATATGTCTATAATCACTATTACTATCAGTGATATATGAAATAAACTTCAGTAATTTCTAACAATTCCTTTATAGTGTTGCGATTTTCGCAAACATAAATGTATACAATTTGCAAGCTTTAGTATGAATATTTTTTAGCTTTATCCTTGACACGTATTCTTAGTATATATATTGAGGACGACGTTCATATCCGGATATTCTCAAGATCAGAAATAATTTATAATTCTCGATCATATTCTTTCCAGGGATAGTAAGTGTTTTTTTTTTTTTTTAAATCTTTTTAATTAAAGTGTGGGAGCATATAATTTTCTCTGTCCTGTAGGAGAATTTAATCTCCTTGTCGTTTAACATGAATTTCCAGCAAAAGTGGGTTAATTAACTCTTCATCCAACAGAACAAATTGCGCCTGTGTGGTCAAAATTTTTTTCTTTTTAAAAAAATAGCAATCGCGATCGATTCTTTCAACGATGATTCTCCCCATGCACAGCCCAAATGTCACGAGCAGCTTTTGCGACCTTTGAGCCTTGATTAACAGCAAAAAGAAAGTGTCGAAAATTCTCATTTTTCACAACTTGACATTCCATTTTAATGATCTGAAAATAAACTCAAGCAAAACATCTATTCTGATAGAAAAGCATTGTCTTTCGAACGATTTAAAACAATATGCTAAAAACATTTTATCATTCACGAAATGTGAAAATTTAAAATTAATGACGGAAATTCAGTTTCAAACCCAATAATACTTAATCGAATGCTGCGTTTTCATCCGAAAAAAAAAATAGAACTAGGGAAAATATCGCAGTTTGGTTGAATGGTGAAAACTTAAGACTGAACAAAAAAAATAACTTTAAATGATTTTTGCTCTAATGATAATAGGATTTTCACGTATTAAAAACCAATCTGAATCATTAAGATGGGGTTGTCCGAAAATATGCTGATTAATGAATGCTAATTATTAATTAACATATAGTGGACACAAAAACGTACGTCTTTTCAATAAACATGCTTTTTGGCAAATTTGAATTTTTAACCATTAAAATATGGGGGTAGCTATAGTCGGAAAGATAGCGCCCCATTAATTTGATCAGAGAGGAGTCGAAAGTTTCACCTTTGTGTAGAAGGCCGTGTCTCAAAAGAAGCCTTAAATGCCAGACCAGTCAGAACACGGAGAAAGTTAAGGCATCTAAGATGGATTGGTGATCAAATGGAAGACTTTTGAGTTTTCAAAAAGTAATACTATTGGAAAATGTGAAAGGAAAGAAAAGATAGCAGGAAAAGGCTTCTTGTCTTGAGGCCATCATCAACTTTGAACTGTTGAAAAAAAAGCAATGGGCCCTTAAAAAAATTGTCATGATCCTCTTGTACAGAAAATTGAAATCCTTTTCTCAAGACGAAATGCATTGAGCACGCATTATTTGCAAATTATAAATTTTTATTGTTATTTTTTTTTTTAATTTTCCTTAACTTAAAAGCTAAGAGTTAATATAAAAATGTATTTACTTTCATACAAGGGTTCAGGGTTGAAGAATACCGTTCTCAACTGCAAAGGTACCTTTCCAGAGTTCCCTTCATATTTAGATCCGATTCTCGGAAAGGCTGGCTTCAGAAGGGTATGCCCAAATCTATAAGCAGCTGCAGCAAACTCGTTGAATATAGATGCGTCGCATGTTGGGTCATACTTGTATGGACTCGAGAATAATTCTGATTCTTTCATGAGTTTCTCACCCAAGACTCGTGGTGCGAATTCCGTGAAAGTAATGTGCTGCAACATGGCCGAAACGATGCGTCGAGCTGAAAATTGAAATTAACAAATTTTTTTAAAGTTATAAAACGCATGTAAAATATTTTGAGACAGAAAAAAAAATTGTATTTAGTTCCATTTCAATCAGCTTTGTTTGGAGTAATAAAAATTGCATGTTTATATAAAAAGCTGATTGTATGAAATTTGAAATAAATAAGTAAAACTCTTTCCATTGTTTTTCGTATTGTCATAAAGTTTTTTTCATAATTGAATTAAGTTTATTTTTAGTACGGACGATTTCGCTATATTTTTTTCTTTTCATAAATGAACGATAACAACTACCAAAATTCTAAATTAAAAATATATAAAACAAATTAATAATGTCGTTGACCAATCTCCAAAGTTAAAATATTAAAAAAAAAGGGAAATTACATTTATTAGTAAATGAGAACAAAAACAACTACAAAAAAGAGAGTTAAGACGAAAGCAGCGTCGTCATGCTAGTTATAAAAAAACTGCCCTCCCACAAAGGGAATTTAAGAGAATAAACCAAAATTGTATTACCTTATTGTGTTCCTTATTCTTTAGTATTTCTACCAAAATTTGATATGAAATGTGGTTAAATTGAAATTGATTTGCATTGAAACCTGTTAAAACTACATTTATGATCGTTCAACAAGCACTCTTCTGTTTACATTTTCGTACAATATAAGATCATAAAATTTCTAATCTTAAGTTTAGGAAAATACAACTTCCCTATAATAAATCAGCGCGATTTCAAAATCTAATATTTATTTGAGTTTCGTAATAGTATACATTTGAATGAGCCCTTAAAGCAAAGACTTAAGCAGACTAGTGTATAGTTACTCGTATTTCGGAGTTTTTTTAAATTTTTTTATAGCTTTATCGTATCGTGAACTTGGTTTTGAAATAAAAAGATCATAATTAACTCCTAGATGTAAAAATTATATATTATACTTAATATAGAAGTTTTACTTAACACTTAGGAACTAAAAATGGTTTGAATAATTAAAAAAAAAATTATTCATAGTAAGCAAATATAATGTGAATAATTGTATATTGTGCATGAAATTTAAAAAAAAGAGTAATTTACCCTGTTGATATATTGTCTCGTCCCTCCAATGAGGATTAATTCTTTCCAATTCCGCTGCTATACGGTTATGTTCTCTCATCCATATAGTGTGCATTGATGTTAATCCAGGTTGTTCACTTGCCCTAATATCACCTGAAAAATAGTGATCAAAATTTTATATTGGCCGATTGCACATAATTAAAAAAAATAAATTAGAAACGTCCACAAAATACTTAAATTTTCATTCTCTCTGAAAATCTCTTAAGCGACTTATCCGTGCCAAAAATAATTTTTCTTTGTAAACAGAAGTGCTGTGCTTCGATTCATACAAAGCACAAAGCATCATAGTAACGGAGGTTATGGCTCCACAAATTCGTGACTAAAATTCTCATCGCAGTGCCGCCTTTACTTCTCATAAACAACTTACAACTTAACACCCATTGATCTGAAGCCTAGTTAAGTTTCAAGTCTCCATTGAGAATTGAACCCTAGTCTGTCACAATGACAGAATCTTGGTTTTAACCACTGATCACGGCTCCTTATAAGTGAAAAAGTTGTTGATAATAATTTCCGTTTTGTATCAAAATCTCTAGCATTGAAATAATTTTGTAGATTTTTGTGTATTGTGCGCAAACTCATTCAGAATTCCGTGGCATTTTCTATAGATTGATACTTGATGAGACATTTATGTTCGTCAAGAATCAGTTTACGAATCGGCAAATTGAATCATCGCTCTTATTTTTTGCAATATACTTCAATTTAATATGAGATCTAATGAATGAGGAAAATTTAAATCTAATAAGTGATTCATCGCTGCAATTTAAGAATTAGCTTGCAATCATTTCAAATGGAATTCAACTGTGCCAATTCAACTCGAACACGTTTCAGCGGCGTGTTTTCTATTTGCGTTATTTTTTCCTCTTCCTTATTGTCACATCGTTTTGTGATAAAGTTGTGGTACTAACGGTAAATAAATTTTAATTTTCAAATAGAAATTGTAAAGATTAAATAACAAAAGGCCAAAAAATATTTCTGTTTATTTTACAGAAAAAAAAGAGAGAAAAAAGAAAAATAAATTTCAGCCCCAAAAAGAGTATTTATTCAGTAGAAAGAGAATAATAGAATATGATAGAAACTATTTAGAGAGAGGATTTAGAATAAGAACAACAAATTAATGAAGGGGATTTTTATGATTTATGAGTTAATATCTTACCGGACTCAAAGCAAACGCCAGATGGAGCTCTGCATTCCACATTAGTCACATCCAACGGTAATAAATCTTTGCCACCAAAGGGGTGTTTGGTGGAATTGAGTCGTCCACCTTGTGATGTTCTCAACATTCTTGCTTCACATGCATCCGACCCATACATGTTAGAGGCATCTAAGTAGGATGTTAATTGGTTCATCTGTTCACGGCGACCTAAAAAAAATTATAAGAGTATATGTATTATAAAATTAAAACGAAACTGCAATCAACTTCCCAACAAAAAAATCATATGTTGCCTAGCACTGTAATACAGTGTGCAGAAAAAAAGAGTGAACACCTCACTAACTTTTGATACAATTATCGGATTTTCACGTACCAGGACACAAATTTAATAGTTCGACGGACTCTCCTTAATTAGCTAATCTTAATATTCTAATTAATTAAAATTACACAATTGCTGAGAAGTAGCTTTTAAATAATACTGCAATTAGAGTACTTCCTGTTTGAGTAATAAAAGGGATTGTAACACACGAATTTAAAAAAAAAAGATATAAATAAGTTCACTGGTAATATGAATGAAGCATGAATTTAAAAATACAATTCTTAAAAATACAATACTAATTCCTCATAAGTTTCTTTTAGGAAACATTGCAATGAAAGCGTTTCCTGTTGAAGTAGTAAAAGAGATAGTTACCAAGGGTCAGTTGTCCAGCCAGAGATCTTGCAAAAGAGATGCAATTTTTTGAAGAATTCTTGTGCACTGATGGAAAGAATGGATCATCTGGGGGAATGGGAATTGGCCAGCATTCAGGATGAACTGTTTTAGCCGAATCACATGATTTGCAGTCCAGGGGACGTCGACCGAGTGCTGAACAAAACAATTTATTTCTTATATGAATATTTTATTTAAAACAATTCAAATTATAAAGTAGAAATGTTTATTATTATTAGCTCTATTAACGTTTTGACGAAAAAAGAAATACTTCTGAAAGAATAGAAATCAATTCACTTTAATCATTGACTTGTTTAAAAATAATTAATTTACACATATGCATTTAACTGGAATATCTCGAGTCTATAGTATTTCATGAATAAATACGGGTTGTGAGTGAATAAAAGAGGTATTCAACGCTATAAAATTTTTGACATGACTGACTTGAAATTTTTTTTTACTTTATCACATCACTCCACTCTTTCATCAGCCCGTTGGCGGCTAGGATAACGGTCAGCGAGAGAGAAAAATCAGAATCACTATAAAAATTTTAAAAAAATAATGAACTAATTTTTCCGTTAAAAATTATTTTTAAAGCTTGTTTCTTTATAATAACTAACGTTGCATTATAAATCCTAATTTTCGTTACACACTATATTTATTTGAATAAACTTCAACTGTGTACTTTTCTCTATTGTGGTTCCTTCCTAGAATGAAATTTAATTTATTTTAAATCAAATTCTATGTGTTCTTGGACGTTTTCTCATATTTAGAGATAGATTTATCATTCAATGCAATTTGCATATTCTGATGCATTTCTTTTAGCATACACAACAGAAATTTTCAACTCTCAATTCTTTTAACTCTCTTCTAACTTACGATTCTTTCTAATTCTAATATTATTACTCAAGCCTTTACATTTAAGCTACCGGTGTTTTATGCATAACAAAAAATTAACATTTTCAAATAATAAGTTGATTGTTTTTTTTTTCAAAAAATATTTTTTTAATTTAGGAAAGAATGTTCTATCTTATGACGATCTTATCAGAAAAAGACAGAAAATCCACAGTTGTAGATAATTGATACCATGTCCAACATTTTTATTTGTTTAAAAAATTTCAATAAGCCATTTTTATAGGTATGTTAAAATTGTGCGAATCTCTTATTTCTTGAATCTTTTATTTCTCAATTATCTTATTTCTTCTATTATGTTTGCAACTATTATGCATTGTATAGTTGTTTAAAGTGTATCACTTATTTAAAAATGATAGTTTCCCTAATGTACGGAAAACTTTAAAGAAAAAACAACTTTAATTCATTTTTTAACTCTCAAAATACATTACAAACCGTTGAGCTAAGTTTACTAACCAGGAATGTGACATAGGCTATCTTAAGCTGTATATATGACATCCTTTTTTACTCAGTTATCTTTATTTGAATTACATAATTTTTTAAAGAATTACTTACATAGTTTTATTTCCAAAAAAAATTATCCATTTCATGAAACTACGGGTGAAAAAAGTAAAGCTAAAGCGCATTGAACTAATACGTAGAAATGTTAATATTATTATACAATAATATACAATAATAACAACAGAAAACGAAAGTGATACTTTTACCTTCATGCATAGGGGTTAAGGTTAAATCGTGGTCTACAAATTGTCCCCATTGCATTAGAGCCAAAGTATATCTTGCATGCGGTGCAGCTATGGCGTAATGAACTATAGTAGACACAAGCCGAGGAGATGGTAGATCTCTTCCAGATGCTCCAACTGAACGCGGAGCACTTATACCTGCAATTTATGACAAATAAATAACAAAAAACAACATATTGTTGAGATTAGAATTTTATAAATTTATTACGTGTGATGCGGGATTAAATACCCTCTTCAAAAATGTTGTATTCGTTAATATAACCTAAAATAAAGCTTAGAAAATGCTCTTTTAGCGATGGTAAATTTTATTTGTAGGGGAGTGTCGGGTACCCCCGCCCACTGTCAATTTCATATGTATAGAATATTTTTTCAAGTCAATGAGCCACCGGACATTAATTGTTATATTAAAAATAGATTATTTTCAAAGTTTCAAGTATTTATGCAGCTGTTAACATGGTAAACAATAGTTTTGAAAATATGTTGAATACAGTAGTCATGGAATTTGGAAAAATTGGTTGAATGTGTCGATTAAACTTCATTTTAATATTAAAAAATAATTTTTTCTATACAAACAGCTTTAAAGTATGTAGTCTTAAGTTTAATTTGCACTAAGAAAGAAGTTTATCTGTGAAAAATTGTTCGAGTAATTACAAATTTACAAAAAAATTGGATGTCGGGTAGCCCCGCTCACATGAATGTCGGGTATCACCGCCCAATTTTATATCGTTGATAAATGTACGGTTGCAAAGATTATTATTCTATTGCTTCAAGTTTGAATGTTATATGCATTTTTAACAACAAATATTGTTGTTATTAAATAATTGTTATTAAATGATAGAATTCACTAAAAGTATATAAATATGTAATAAATAAAATAATTTTGTGATAAAAATGATAAATGAGGTTTATCTATTGACAATACATTGGTCATTTTCATTTACAACTGAAAAAACAGTCAAAAAGCATAATTTTTGTAGATGGGCGGGGCTACCCGAGACATTTTGAAAAGAGCTGAAAAACATGCTTTTTTAAATTTCTATTTTTTTAAGTTAAACTATTGTTTTTGGTTTATTCTTTTTGCATTATTTAATTAGATGATAAAACATTGGAAACATACAAAAATATTAATTATTACTCAATATTATACAGAAATATAAGCAATACTCCTTAAGTGGACGGGGCTACCCGACTCTCCCCTACTTCTTTCCAAAAGAACAAATTCAATTCAATTTTTAAATTTTACATAATTTGAAATCTACTGCTGTTAAAAAATTGTTTATAACTCTCGAGAAAACGTCGAAAAATATAAATAAGAGCAAAAGATATAAATAAAAAAAAATCATTCTAAAAATGTACTATTTAAATTAGTTTCCTGCGCGAAACAGCATACTTTCTTTGACACTTAAAGATACTTTAATGCTTAGTTTTTCACGCAATGTTTTCATCTTTTATGCATACAATCTGATAATTCTTTCATGGTAAAACCGTGGTGGAGCAGGCGATAGAGTGCTCGCCTCACAATGAGGTGACCCACGTTCGAGATCATTACTTGACTGAAAACTTGATTGAGAACTGGCGACTTTTCAGTAGTATGAAAATTTATGAAGACAGTAGATGGATCTTCAGGATTGGCTGGAACTGCTCGGAGGAAGAGCTTTCTCCTGAACATATTTTTCCAGAGCCATGCTGGCTCAGGGGATAGAGCGCTTGCATCCTAATGAGGTGACCCGGGTTCGAATCCAGAGATGGTTGATCGATATGAATTCTGCTCTCAACTCGCACTAGCACAGTGCCGATGAAAAATAACCTAGATGGTAGACAGATCATGGGTTAGAATTCCCTTGCCGTCTGGCTAACCGTGGCAGGCTGTCGTGGTTTTCCTTCGTGTAACTCAAATGCCAGTTAATTCCATCAAAAAGTCTTTGAACAAATGCATAATCTGATAGTCCCTTGTCTTCTGAGTTGGGTTCAAAATTACAAGGCTACGAGGTTGAACATTGATAGTCGTAGACTCAACATTGGATCTGTTTTTCAACACCGGTTATAATATTAAATAAATCCATTCATGATAATGTTATAGCCCTTTTAATATAGCCTACATTTTCAGAAAGTTCAATTCTCGGTTATACCTATATATTAATAGTATTAGTCTTTATGGTTATTAGTGCATGCAAATTGATATTATTATTTAAAAAAAAAGAATTGAAAATATCTCACCATCATGATATCGTGGAGGCAACAGACGTTGGAAGGTGACCAGAGACTTTCCCCATTGTGGATTTTGAATGTTGTTACACCATCCAGAAGCTGATCTAAAAACAAATGTTTGAAATTAGCTATTAATGTTTAATTTTTAAATTATTGAAATGGTAGAACTTTAGATTTTAAATTTGCAACAAACACTTAATCATCGTTATTTCTTTATCAGATTATAACCATTGTTCTCTTATTTTTCACTTATATTAGCAAATAAGAGTTAAAAAGCAAATATTTGCTCACAATTTCATACCCGTCGTAGTTAACTATTATTTTTACCACTTTCTTGAACCATAAGAAATGATGACTATAATGAAAATACTAAAGCGACATTTTTTTAAATAAATAATTTAGAAAGAATAAAAATTTGAGGATAACACTGAAATTTCACCTGAAAGGTGTGGTGTGATCACAAGGCAAAGACGAATGCTCCTCTTCAAATCGGCATCGGCCCTCTAGATTCTCAGGCAAATTCTCCCGAATTCCAAGCTGAATGTAATCTTCCACATCTTGTGACGATAAAGCCAGCATCATATTAGCCACTTCTAAATCACTTGGCTTTTTTTCGGGATCTTTCCTGTAAAATACCACTGTTCTATACCACTTTCACTATTCTATTCCACTTTCACTTAAAATACCACTTTCTGTTTTCCACATCTAGTAGCATTTAATAACATTAAAAAACTAAATATCTCTACTCTGCCACCTTAAAGTAACAATGAATCAAAATTTTTGAATTATAACTTAAATTATTTTTGCAATTGTTTTCCAACCCTTTGAAGCAGATGGGACAGAGGTGCTTCTTATATATAAGCAGTTTTTCGGGAGCTCTAATTACAACCAAAAATAAATTTTTGTATTTTTTAACTATAACAGTCTTAGAGCTACTTAAAGAAATCTGTCATGTAAAAAAAGGTATGAAAAATGTGTTTAATAAAAATTGTGCTTCAAAAGGTAAAACTTTATGCATTAAACTGCTATTTGCGGTTTTAATCACAGTTTAAAAAGGTACCGTAGTGAAAAACAGAATCATAATTTTTCATTTTAAGTTTATTTTTATAAATTTCTAAATAACCAAAAAAAAAAATTGAAAATATAATATATTTAAAAAAAATTATGCATTATTTTGAAATATCTGTGCTTTATACATTTAGCACAAAACATAACAATGTAAAAATCCGAAATTAAATTTAGTTAATTTTTATTAAGTTATGTAGAAGAATTCTGTTTGACGAAATTTTTCATTTTTTTTAATATTATTTAATGGTGTTTTATTTTTCGTTTAAGATGCTAAATTAATGCTACTCTGTACTGCGACAATAAATCCAAATAATATTGAAAAACTATTTGCTTAGAATCTACAAAAATAAAAAACCTAGGAGTATGCTATAGAATGGAAACTAGAAGCAGCTTTTTACATTCCTGCCAAATTTTAGTAACGCCGTATCGATCAGACTCCCGGGATTTGTATACAATTGCTTCTAACCTTTGGAATTAATTCCGAATGAGAATTATTTTAAGTAAATGATATAAAAATTTGATTACAGGAAGCATTTTAAGTACATGCCGGAATTGCTAATTTAACATAATTTTGCATAATTTTCACTTCGCTTTACATTTGATTGGATGCGATTAAGTATTTGATATTTAAATGCATCATATAGTAGAGAACAATTTCGAAATATAAATGTTGAAATATGCAATAATATTTTTACTGTGATGTCCCTTCAAGGCAGTTGTGCATGTACAAAAAAAGTTTCAATTTAATGAAGTTTCAATTAACGATTAACTAAAAATCTGGTCTTACAATTGCACGTCATGTATGAGTTGAAGAGAAGCTAATTCCAACACCAAAGATTTATTTGCGATGAACATGGCCTGTCTCTTTGGTCTTAAAAACACGTGATGTACTGCTTCAGCACTTGTATGAGGAGCCACTCCTATATCTGCAATAGTAAATGTTATTAGAGTTTTACGAACGCGTTGACCCTTGATCATGTAAGCAACATGCACTGTAAAGAATTCTAGAACAAATTTCTGTATAAAGTACTGGCACTTTGGATGCATCTCTCGTACAATCTATTTTACCGTTAAATCCATTTTTACCGCAAAATTTTATACCATAACTTTAGCAGTAATATTTATTTAATTAGAGTGATTTGATAATTTTACGGTAATTACAGTAAAAATTACGATATTTGAGATTTTATTTTGTTCCGTAAAATGTTACGGTAAAAATGGGTTTTAAGGTAAAAATCACCCTGAGTACAAGTACTTTTCGCCGTAATTTGATGATAATTTTTATAAATATAGAATTTATCAATACTCTTAAGTTCCTTTCTTGATTTGAGGTTAGCTTTTTTAAAGCCGAAGGNGGTTTTAAGGTAAAAATCACCCTGAGTACAGGTACTTTTCGCTGTAATTTGATGATAATTTTTATAAATATAGAAATTATCAATACTCTTAAGTTCCTTTCTTGATTTGAGGGTAGCTTTTTTTATTTTAACCTAACAAGATTACGCTGCTTTTCAACTAACTACATTTTATATTCAGGTTTGGTTGCAGCTCTAATATGCTAATAGACAAATTTCTTTTGAGAAATTGTCATCAATGGGTTTCTGACAAAAGCCGAAGGTAAATTTATCTCATTCTATGGTTTATAAATCTGTTTTAATTCGAAGAAGGAAGATATGGAAATTTAAATAGTTATATATAAATAATGCGCCACTATTGCCACTGTTACCATGAATGAGTCTTGATACAGGCATTGAATTAAGAAAGATAGAGACGAGAGAGAGAAAAAAGGAATTAAAGAATCAGAGACTCATTGGAAAGGCGAATCAATTCGTAAATAAATAAATAAATAAAAAATTTAACTTATATATTTCAGCTAAGCCGGGCATAGGTTGTACGAGCCTAAGACGAAATTTATTGCGAGCTCATTCCTCAGCAAACAAACAATCTTATTTTCGTATTTAATAACCTTTATTCAAATTTGCAATTTTGAAGTTTTCTAGCACTTATTTTCCTTATTTTCTTTTCAATTTTACCTGAGAATCTCTGAAATTCTCTACAATTTTCTTTAAAAAAATTAATTAAACGATGCAACATTTTTATAAGGAGTTTCGACCTTGCCCCCAGCCAAGAAAATAAAAAGGAGAAGTGCAGCGAATACGTAACTAACGCAGGGAACTGCTTGGTGCGGCATGCTATACCAGAAAAACAACTTATAGGGCGGGCAACATACTTATATATAGCAAAGCATTATATTTCCATCCATCCAGTGTATAATATAGGATCCAGCGCATGTGCATAAGAAGCACAGTGACAATCAGGAGGTACGTGACCCTTGAACAGGTTGTTGGTAATTACAGTCTCTCTATGGTTGTTAATATTTACAAATTTTCCGTGGATGATTGCGTAAGCTGTCTCCCGCCAACCACTATTTATTCTTTCTTTCTGTCTCAAAATATGTTGTCAGATTTAATCAACATAGATGATATAAATGTATTCTCAAAGAAATATTTTAATTAATAGTACAATACTGCTTTTAAATAGTGCAAAAATGCAGAAAAAACCAACAATAAATAAATAAATAAAGCTTTTCATCTCTTCAATAACTTTTCCTCCATTATAGTAGTGGTTAGGTGGAGAGCAGGGTGAAAATCCGTTTCGAAAACCTCTGTTACGATGCCCCTAAATGGAGCTTTTTTTTTTTACGCAAGGAACATACCAAGCCTTGGAAACCAGTTTACATTATGTCTATTGGAGCTAGAATTCTTACTCTATGCATATTCATTGCCTTCGTTCCTGGATCTGAGATAGTTGACCCTGTCTCCCTCCTGCACTTGATTTACACTCATGTGGTAATCACCCATGTGGTAAACACCCATGTAGTGGCCCTTGATTACACCATGAATTGGTGGTTCAAGCACACAACTTTTTTTACTTTTATAATTTTTTAATTAGTTTGTAATTCTTAGTTCAACAGCTATATGACGTCATAATTTACTCATTTACATAATAAGTGAAATAAAAATGAAATTCCCGAAATAACTTTTTTACGAACTAAAATATAATCTCAATACATTGAGATTATGTTTTGTATGAATATAAATTCGATCTTTCAACTAATAACTATTATGAAAGAAAATAATTAAAAAAATGAATAAATTAAAGACTTGCTTACTTCTACTGAAAACTTCTTGTTCAGCAGCAATTCTTTTTATAGCCTGCCTCATGGCCTCTTTTAGAGAAGTCAAAAGCGTTTCTTTTGGAACTTCATAGCCTGGAGATTCTAAAAATTGTAACAATGATAAAAAAGAAGTTAATCAACTTTCTGTTCACTTCATATTATTAACAATGCTTAACAAAAACAGATAATTATAAAATTATTAGAAAAACTTTCTTTTCTCCGAGACTATTGATTATTATATAAGGGGGAAGAAAGAAAACACGCTGACATGTAAATATAAACTACGATGAACTTCTGAGAAAGAAAATAAATATTATATCAAGAAAAAATGCAAAATTCAATTACGAAGTCATATCTAAATAGGTTTTACAGTTGTAGTTAGTTTAAAACGATTGCTAATTTCGCATTAAATCAGAGTTATGAAACTATAAAAAGCTTTAGAATTAGAACTGCACCGTAAATCTTCAATTATTCATTCTAAGACACTAAACTTGCTTCTGGAAAGTTAAGTTCTCATCTATATGACAATTAGTATTAAAATTTAAATATATGGAATAATTTTATGGACACATGCATTAGCTATCAGTAACTCTTTGGACATTTATATACATCGGTGAAGATGAATTTATGGTTCGTGGGTGTTTCTCCTTTATTGGGTCTCTTGGTCTTGGTCCCACACCTATTGAGCCATTTTGGATGACAGTGTACTTCCTATGTAGAGACAGTTCTATGAGCAGAATCCACGTTGCTTACAGTATAGCATTGCTTTTGCCATGCTTCGATTTACGAAGGATTTCTTATGGTGGCAATGGAATTGATCGAATAGATTGGCCTGTTCAAAGCCCAAGCGTGGAACCTATCGAAAACCATTAGAGCAAGCTGTATAGCAGAGTTATGAGGCGCAGAACAATCAAAAATAGGTGTAGGAACTTAAAAGTCTTCTAAAAAGTCGAGAGAAGGAAAATACCTTTAGCCGTAATACAAGGTTTCCTGGCACAACCCGGAAAAGCATGTCCTGAAATACTGAGACTGTAATTTCCTCTCATGGTGAGTCGATCAAGTATTGAAAAAATGAATAAATTTTGTTCCTTTTTTCCTTAGTAGTTATGCAGCTGCGTATTGCTAAACACCTGCTGTGTTTTACTGCATAGATATAATTAAAAAATATATAATTTAAGGAGCGGAATGGTAATATGGATGTCTAATTTACTGCTATATTTTAAAACAACCTGTAATTCATGGATTTGTCAAAAAAGTTCCAGATTTAAAAAGAGATCACGAAAATCTTGAAAACGCCACAGATTGTAAGTTGTTTCGATGCAAAATACTTTTGAATAATTTAAAACCTAAGACAACTATAATATGTTAAAAAAATTTAAGTTTACATTTAATTAATTTTTGTTAACTCATATTTCTACTCGAATTAGATAATCCTACAGATCCTTGATGGAAAAAGAGCATTATTTTCAAAATTTAAAGAGTACCCGAGAAATTTTGAGCCCTTGTAACCCGCGTGTCAGACCTAACAACAAATCTAGTACTGAATTCTTTAATTAAATTTATGACTTTATTAGGATTTCTGTGACTTCTAAGTTTTATCCAAATGAAAAGTGAACACACCTGATAGCTTCAGAAAAACGGTAGCGGATAGTAGCAATATCATCCAGTATTATAAATTAAGGTAAGGTAAGTGCACTACATGTTTTGAATAACTGATTAACCAGTTCGTGTGAGAATATTTAAAGCGAACATAAACGTTTGTTGATGTGGATGAGCTCAGAACTAAACGAAGCATAGTAGTATGATTTTTACTGGCGAAAAGTGAACATAATGCGGACATTTATCATCGAAGGTTAAATGTTTTGGGAGAACATTGTCGACGACAGTAAACGAATGGTGTAAAAGTTTTTGTAAAGGACGTTCATGAACAGAGGCGTATCTATGGAAAGAAGCGCCTATGGCAAATCTCGCACTGGCGCCGTTCCTAAAATATTTATAATCTCTTTTTTTATGCGATGCGAAATAAAAGCGTTGTTTGAAGTATTTAAGCCTTTTGGCAATATTGCAAAAAGNGCAGTAACACTTTTTTAGTGAAGTTATTCTTTCAATGTTGCTAAAGATTATATAACTAATAAATAATTTTACTTGTTTTCCATTTCGTTAAATCCAATGCTGGAGCAGTGTTGTTGCAATCTTGATAGGCGTTCCTGTTAATAAATTCAATTTTCAATGAGGAGTGAAATTATATTTAATAGAAATACGATGTCTAAGTACAATAGTAACATTTAAAAATAAAACTTATCATTACAGATATTCATCAGGCATTAGCATTGGAGAAGGTTGGAGTAATCGGACAAGTTTTCCCGCATTATCACATAAAATTCGAGCCAAGCTAGTTTTTCGAATTTCTTGAAGCTGATCTGCAATAATAGTAAATAGTTATCAAAATTAAAAGAAACTCACACACTTAATAACTTTTCAGAACAAAATTTAAATAACAACTTAGTAATAAAATGTGGAAAAGCAGTAAAATATTATAATTTACTACTTATTATCTAGAACAGAGTTCAAAAACTAGATATGTCAACATGAAGTACTTGTCTAAATAAAACGGGCACTTGAGACATAAAAAATTATTTTGGTAACTTTTTTTCCCTGAAAATCTAATGTTTTGAATCAAATTATCTATTTACATGACTCCAGTTGTTTACTAAAGATATTTGAGTTAATTACTTGAAATATTTAATTGTTTCCATTTTTTTAAAGATATATTTTCTGGATTAGCATGCACGTTTATTTTTCAATTGCTTCAAATTTTTATTCCTCAAAGCGTTGGAAAAATCAGAGCCAATTAATTTAATGAAATAATAACCAACTAACTCTCCCATTTTTTTTAAAATTCGTTTTCTAGAAATAAAATATTTGAAGTAACATATTAAAAAACAAAAATTAATCGCGTTCTTTTTGTTATCTAATCAGCAACTGCTGGGTACTAAAGTGCAGGCCAGGCAGTCGTCAGCCAATTCAGTAATTTAGTTGTTAGCTGCTGCTAATGTTAGAGCTCTAGGCTAAAACATGTGATTTTTCTGGAAAATCACAGATTGTGCAATTTATAATCCTTGGTAAAACATCATAAAATGCAAAAATATATGGAAATTTTGAATACTTAATAAATTATTAAAACTTTTAAACAAATTTTTTTTAAAAATCATCACCAGATAAAACTTTTTTTTTTCTATTCGTCCAAATGGCTATTTCAATTTTTAAAAAATTTCTTTGCAGATTAATTGCTTTTATTGCCTAATTGATTTATATAAAACTCTTTCTAATTTTTATTTTGAAATATTCACAACAATATTAGTGCTCACCATAATAAAAGTTTGGATCCCTTCATGTTAGTTTAACGTTTTCCGCTGTACCTGTAACATTTCTAGATGACACAGAGTGAATGAATATTTTATGTCCCAAAAGTACTATCAATTACTATCCAAAAAGTAACTGCAAGAAATTAAATAAGTAGGCAATGTCAAAGAAGCTATTCTTCCTACACTTAAGATTAGAAAACAGATGAAAGTCTTGCCGTTTTCTCACGATACGACCCGCAGAAGCTCCTGTGACCACTAACTGCAGGCCAGCTATTTATTTTAGTATATGTGGAGATAGCAGCAAAATTATGCTGGCTCAGCATTTTAGCAGCTGGCTACAACCAATTTTATAGACGTGCTAATTTTTTTTATAAGGAAATCAATAACTTTCCGATTCTTGGGGGGGGGGGAATTATATAAGAGANAAAAAAAAAAAAAATACAAAAAAAATATTGAATAATACTAATGTAATTTCAATTATTTATATACTCATTAGAAAATCATCACAAAACTGAACTTTTTCTCTTACAAAGTATTAAGATAATGTTAGATCAAGATCAACCCTTATGTATGAAATTTTCAAATTAAATGGTTTTACAGCAGATTTACTGAACTCAGACCCAAAAATATTTTTCTACATTTCTAATTCAATTTTTTTCGTAGATAATATATCAAGGAACCAATATTTTTTTCTTCACCCTAAGACATATTCATTATATTCAACATATTCAACATCACATATTTTTAGCTTTATTTATTTCAATTTGTAAAGTTTCAGCAATATCAGAATATTGAGAACATGTGGTACTGGTATCCATTAAATACAAACAAGAATACATAATGATTCAATATAGCGAATACACACTTCGAGTAAAAATAGGGCACATCATAAGGATGTAAAATTACGCACAAACCAATTCTTGAATTGTCAACAAACGCCGCTGGGGTAGTTTGAACTTCTTGTCGAAAGGACGCTATACCACGAAAGAAACTTTTCACCTCAAATACTTTTTCGCCTCCATAAGTAATTTAAAATTTAAAATATAGTGAAAGTGAGTTCAGGCAAACTTAGAGTAAGTCATGAAGATTCAAACACTGAAAAGAAATTTTTAAAATATCAAAACGGAAATAAATTATGAGAGGATAGCTTAGGAATACGCAATGAGAAAGTTCTCTTCCAAAAATTTGTTTGCATTTTGATTTTTTGAAGGGAAAAAAAACGCAGCTATTGAAACTTCATGGCTTTCTCTCAGTTTGTCTTAACTCATTTTTTTTCCATTTAAATTTCAAATTACTTATGATGGTGAAAAGAATTTTCGATGAAAAATTTCTCCCACGGTATAGCGTCCTTTTTAGCGCCTTCAAACTGATACTTATATTTATCTAAATTTATCTCTATCTTAATTTTATATTTTCTAAGAATTATTTCAGAAGATTATATTCAGATAAGTTCAGAAATAGCTATCTTAATGTAATTTATGATTACATTGACTTAGTTGGCGAACTTACCGCATTATTCACCACATCATTAAGTCATGTCTATTTCTGAGCACATTTGAATGCAAATTAGATAATACTTATCAAAAAACATAAAATTAAGATAGTTTAGATAAATAAAACTACAAGTACAAAGGCACAAGAACAGGAATTTATAAATAGAGAAGCACCCCTAGCTGCGTACGATGACATTCCCCTGCATGGGTTGCAATGAATTTTAAATCCTTATTATGTGCCCTAACTTTCCCTTAAGTTTATAACTGCTGTATTGAAACACCTTGCATTGTTAAAGTAAAAAGTATGTTTTTACAATTTGACTCAGTTTAATTACCTTTAGTGAAAGAGTTAGGTGGAATATCATTTTCGTACCAAAATCTATCGGCCCTTTTCAAGTGTTGAAATTGCCTGCTTAAAATGCAGGCAAATGTCGGTCCAACCACTCCACCAACGATTGGTTTTTCTGATAAACCTCCAGTGAATAAATCAACATCACGGACATCTCTGAAAAATTGCATTTTTCTTATAAAATAATTGAAGCATTGCATATCAGTAACTTAACACTTTACCGACCGGCCGTCGATTAATCGACGTTTTGTTCTCAGTGCATACCGACCGGCCGTCGATTATTCGACGTTTGCTCCCCAGCGCTTACCAACCGGTCGTCGATTAATCGACNTGAACCAAAAAAGTGAGGAAGTTGGATATAAGGAACTTTTTTCTGTCTTCGACTGATTTTTTTAAAAAATTTGCTGTAATAATTTTATAATTTCTACTTCAAATTAAATACATATACCGATTTTCAAAACCATCTATAGAGGGTAATGTAGCGATACACATTTTTTCTTGTTTGCTTCTTTTATCTGACTTTCCCATCCTTAAACAAACCAAGCAGATGTTTCCAACCCAGAGGCAGACGATGCACCTGTAAGGTGTCAGTGGGATGAATATGCATTTTCTATCAGAGGAAATGTGTAATTATTCAAAATTGGTCAAAGGGTTGGACACTAATATGTGTTGATAAGGCTCTCATTTCAACTCCTTTTTGTTCTCAGTAGAAGGGTAATGAAAAATAACGCATTTTTTGCTGCTACATAATATTTTTCAGTCATTTATTTGAATAATGTGTAATAAAAGGGAGGAGTTCGGAAACCACTAGTTAAATTTTTTGAGGAACGGATATAGTGAACCAAAATTTCGGTCCCTTGAAGGTTCACTATAGCGGGGTTTGACTGTATATATAAATTGAAGCCCGGTGGCTGAGTGGTAGCGCCTCGGGCTCCAGTGCCACAGTTCCTGGGTTCGATCCTCGGACCGGGCAAGGTTGTCTCAGCCTTTCATCCCTTCAGTGGGTCGATAAATGAGTACCAAGCATGCTTGGGAACTAAGCACTCGGAGTTCCGCGTTCAGCTGACCACCTGACCGGAGCATCTGCTCCTGCACCCCAGAGCCCAAGGTCAAGAAAACTGAGATGGGCCTTGGCCCTTTATGGGCCGTCGTGCCACTGAGTTTAGTTTAGTATATATAAAAAAAATATTGATTAAAAAAAAATTTGAATTTTGGCTAGGAAATTTCGGATTGTGTTGAATCGTGACTACTATCAAATTCGTTGCCAACTTCAATAATGTGCCAATTTAGACCATATTATCATACAATGAAATCTTTAAAACTTCATTGTTCAATTAAATAGTTAAACTTTAGCTTGAATATAAAGATGACTCAGTTTAACTCCTGATAAAAGTTACAGTAAATTTACACGGTACTATTTTTCCAAAGGTATCATTACTATGATTTCATAGTAGATCAATTTTTTAGAGAGCATAAAGGTTATAATTAACTATAAAATTAAATAATAATAACGTCCTCTTTAATTGCAGGATTCTTAAAGAATTTTTTAATTTATGTTTAATTTTTACCATATTTCTATGACAATGCGATACTAGGCAGAATTTCCTTCAGACCTACATTTTGACTTAATGCAAGAACAACTAATCTCAGTGCATGGTGCGAAAGTTTATGCAATCGACTAAAACAGTCCTACATTTTAAAAGGATGAGTAATCATTGAAACACTGTATAAAGACTGATTTTCATTTAACCAGTGTTTGGTCTTTAATATAAATTAACTATTTGGTTATTTTTCCTTTAGTTTTTTTAAAATTTTGGAACTGGTTGCTTTTAAACTAAGTGTTGCGCAATTTACTTTTAATATAGCTTGCATTCAAAAGTATCAGACGAATACATGTAAAAGTAATTAAGTAACAAGTCATATGATTAATATAAAGTTGAAATAGTGTTTAGTTTTTATTATATTCGGCTGGCTCAAATTTCTGGGTCAGCAGTTTCTAAAATTATTAATAAGTTTTGTATCAAAATTACTTTACATAAGCTCCTAAGTACATAAGCCTTTATATTAATTACATTATACTAAGTTTTGCAAAGTCCGCATTCTACAGAAATACTTTAACAGCTTTAAAATTACAAATGCTTGATTACATCACTTATTTATATTTTCTAAAAAAAGATAATATTATTATCCTTAAATAATTACGCTGATTTTTTTGACAAATGTAAGGCAAATATATAAAAGTAAGCACATTTTTACTTCTTCGTCTAGATTTCGAATGCTTAGTTATGGGGCAACACTGATCTAGAGGCAAGGAAAAAAAACTAATGTAAACTAATAAACAAACTTGGTTTTCAAAGATCGCAGTAAACCATGCTATTTTCANTAACCAGTATATTGATGATTTAACGTTGCATTTTATATCATATTTGTAATTTTTGATATTTAGTGGTGAAGTCCGCGCGTCAGTCTAGGCCGAAACCGAGCCGGTGTCTCGGACGATCTGCAGCTGAACGGGCGGTGAAAGGGCATAGTATGTTCGAACCGCTACCGGTCGGTAAAGTGTTAATTATTGTCTATATATATAAATAAAAGTTGATTACAAAAAATTTTGGCTAAGAAATTTCGAATCGTTTTGAATCGTAACTACTATAAAATTCGCTGCCAACTTCAATAAGGTGCCAATTTAGACCATATTATCGTACAATGAAATCTATCTAAAACTTAATTGTTCAATTAAACTGTTAAACTTTAGCTTGAATGTAACGATGACTCAGTTTAACTCCTGATAAAAGCTACAGCAAATTTACACGGTACTATGTTTCCAAAGGTATCATTACTATGATTTAATAGTAGATCAATTTTTAGAGAACATAAAGTATAATTAACTATAAAATAAAATAATAATAGCGTCCTCTTTAATTGCAGGGTACTGAAAAGATTTTAAAATTTATGTCTAATTTTTACCATATTTATATGACAATGCGATACTAGGCAGAATTTAAAAGGATTAAAAACTAAAAGGATGAGCAATCATTGAAACACTGTATAAAGACTGGTTTTCATTTAACCAGTGTCTTGTCTTTAATATAACACAACTATTTGGTTATTTTTTCTTCAGTTTCTAATATTTAAAAAATTTTGGAACTGGTTGCTTTTAAACTAAGTGTTGCTTAATTTATTGTTAATATAGCTTGCATTCAACAGTATCAGGCGAATACCTGTAAAAGTAATAAAGTAGCAAGTCATATGATTAATATAAAATTGAAATAGTGTATAGTTTATGTTATATTCGACTGGCTTTGGGGTCAGCAGTGTATAAAATTATTAAAAAGTTTTATATCAAAATTATTTTACATGAGCTCTAAAGTACATTAGCCTTTATATTAATTACATTACACTAAGTTTTGAAAGTTTTGCAAAGTCTGCATTCTACAGAAATACTTCAACAGCTTTAAAATTACAAATATTAGTTGCATCACTTATTTATATTTTTCTAAAAAAAATTAATATTATTATTCTTAAATTACGCTGATTTTTTGTAAAGCAAATATAAAAGTAAGCACGTTTTTAATTCGTCGTCCAGATGTCGAATGCTTAGTTATAGGGTAACACTGATCTAGAGGCAAGAAAAAAAAAACTATTGTAAACTAATAAACAAACGTTGTTCTTAAAGATAGCAGTAAACCATGCTATTTTCAAAAAATTTAACTTTGAAAAATGCTTACGCGTATGCTTTCGCAATATTTTCAGCTGCTTCAGCTGTCATTATCTGACTAAGAGTAGTAAAGTTTTGGATAGAAGGTGATAATCTACAAGCTTTCCGCCATTCTATATAACCTGGTATGCCATGATCTCGACCTTGCTGAATGATCCAAGCTGCTAAATCCATTTCATCGTTCTTTCTGTCTGAGGAATAAAAAAGAAAATTAAATTGATAAATCAAACCAGATTCTGTCGTGAAAATTTTAAAATTGTGAGGCCGAATACTTTCGGAGACCGAATTAGGAATTTATAATTTAAAATTATTTATTTTGATTATTTTAATTTTGATTATTATTTTATTTTTGTATAGTATATACTAAATGCATATACATGCATTGAACTTAAATATATTTTCAATGCATTATATTTAAATTCAATGCATGTTTGAAACTTATGAAATGAATATTAATGCAGGAAATGGTACTTATCAATTTCACCGGCGCAAATAAATGCAGCTATTTAATTAATTTATATTTATTTAAATTTTTTAAAGTTTTTTTTTAAGTTAAAAAAAATTTTGAACATGCTGTTTTGTTAATGCCGACTTTATAATCTGCCCTGGTACCCATAAAACTTCTAATTTTTTTTAATTGTAAAGGGATGGAAAATAGTAAAAAAAACGATAAAAAACAATTTTTTTTAAGGCACATAACTTTTTGAGAAATAATATTTTTTTAAAGTTTGTTCGCTCAATAGTGCATGCAAATTTTTGAACTTAGAGAATAGATTATGCACTAGACACATTAATTTAGAGCTGATATCGCACCGCTTGATGCATAATTTGTTGATTTTTTTTTAATTTAGCTATAAAATTAAAATAATAATTTGATCAGGTTGAAAATATTTATGCAAAATTTCAAGTAAATGGCGCAAGCAGATTTTAAGATATCAAATTTGAAAATAAAGGAAGTAATTAGGAAACATGTTTTAAAATATGTGACTAAATATATATAAATAGTCAATAGTGTGTCGGTTTATAGGTAAATCGCTTTTTTAAATTATAATAACTTCGATTTTAGTTAGAGATATAAAAATGAATTTTCTTATTTTACTTTTTTTATTAACGTTCATAAAATTACTAAATGAATAGAATGAAATTATAAATCCTGATTACCAAAAATCATGACAACGTATGTTGTCACGACTTGTTGTTATTTATTGTTTTTACAATTTTAATTTGCCTTTTCACTCTCATTAATGAAATAATTATATTAACAAATAATATCGAATATTTATTACGTCCTCTTTTCAATATTTTTCATAATTAAAAAGATATTCGGTTAAAATAAAAAAATACATTTTCGGATATCCTAGAAAGCTGGCTGTAGAATTTGTGGATAGCTTTCTAAATTGCATTAATACGCTTTTCAGTGAAAGGTCTGAATTGAGCCTCCACCTGTAGCTCCATGGTGTGCTAATTGAATATTTTTTAAGTAATACATAATAAAGAAGTAACATTCTCGGTAAAGCCTCGGTCTACTAAACATAATATATTTGGGAACAAGTTAAAAATGATAAAATCTGAATTGTGTAGAAAAATAAACCATTATCGAATTGGGAAATAACTTCACGGGGAAATAACTTCAGTCAACATGAGCTAGCTTCTGTAACTTATTCATGTAGAGTTTCTGCCTTTGGTGTTGTTCGGGATTTACAGAACAAAACAATCACATAAAAATGAGGCCAACTTTTTGGTTTGTTTGTTTCATGTTGAGCTTTCACGTATTTATTTGAAGTTCCAACATGATCACGTGGGCTGAGATCTCGTGTCACTTGGCCATTTCGTTTTAAAATACTATCTGCACAACAGAAGCGATACATTTAAACTCTAAATTATTAATTATATTATATATCGTAATTTTTATTAAATCGCAACGGAGGCATACTGCAATTATGTATAGAATGATGCACATCCAGTAAAATGGATTGTGTTTTCGATTCCCTTTCACGTAATTTTTTTATTTTAGTGAAAAAATCAACAAGGAAGAAGCCCAGACGAATATTAAACGTTCTGTCACTGAGATTCTAACTGGGCGACCATGCCAACTGGGCTACCTGAAGAGAATTTATAACACGTAAAAGTTCCATACATAATTATAATTAGTAAACTCCTTAACTAAACAAAAATGCCGATATTAAATTTTTCTTTAAACATTGTACCTTATATTTCCCGCTCTTGTTGAGAAACAATAATTAAATAATACATATGAACTGACCTCCTCCGGTTTCCTCTACAAGATTATTATTCATTTCCTTTGTTATGAACTCATCCATGGATTGTGCTTTCTGGTTTACCATGCCCAACAAGAATTGATCAAAGGCCTCGTCAACATAAAGTGGCACGGGAAAAAAGTGGGTTTCACCAATTTGCATAGAACCAACAGTGTCGTGTTTCGCTTTTGTCTTGTCTCGATTTGTACCAGTTGATTGAACGTAGCGAAAGAAATGAGATGGCATCATGGAATAGAATGAAGCACCAACAGCAGCAGCGAAGGCATTAGATGTTCCAGGGTTGAGATTAATGTCGTAACCTTGGTAGAATGTCGCTTCCTTCTGACCTTCAAGATCAAATTGGCGGAGGACTTGTCTTCCAAGAAGGACTGGGAGCAATTCAGAATAAGTAATGTGCTGAAGCTGTTGCAAAAATTTTGATTGATTAATCTCCGTCAAAAAAAAAAAAAAAATAAGAATATAGAACAATTTTAATTCATTACAAAGTGATGCATATAATTACTAGGTCATAATTGCTTTAAGGGTTCAAATATTCGACATAAGGTTAAAGGATTTTTGAAGATTATTCTTTGGAAAAGTTTACTGTCAATAATTTAAGACGAACATGATGGGTCCAAATGATCTGAAAGATTTGGTCTCTATACCAGACCAAAAAGGAGGCTACTCTCCTTCATCGTCAGCCTTGTCGGATAGAGCTATAAGTTGTTTTCATGCTGCTCAAATTTCAAACGTCTATATCAATGCGAAGATTAAAAACAGCGTTTAAGCACACCTCGCATTGAAAAATGACGACCACATTTTCTGAAGAGAAGATTTCAAAGTTCTTTTTACTGGCTGCCAATTGTTTGGATTTTCATCGCATTAAACAGTGTTTATGACGCTTGGAACTAAATTTATTTTGTTCTTTTCTATGGTCTAATGAAACTTAAAGGAAAATTACCACAAGCTTTAAAAAAATTTTAAAATTTAAGAGAAAAAAGAAGTAATAACTGTTTTAGGATCACATATTACATTGAGGAACAAATTTTTTGTTGCATTTATACATGTATTTGATCTTAGCTAATTTGGGTGTGGATGGGGGTATCAAATCTGAAATTAATTTTGTTACAGATAGCTACAGATTTTTTCAAAATAATATTTTCAGTTAAGTTCATTTACTGTCTGAATATAAAAATTCATGAAGGACGTATAGGCTTATCTATACACATTGACACTTATTTGCTCCTTTAAAAATAACGCACAAGGCAAAAAAAATATGACCTCAAAGTAACACATCATAAACATAAATGTAATATCACCTTTTTCCTACCACTCCCTACGCAGCCAAGAAGTGGAAGCACTTTCTATCCACTTGAGTGTAGTAAAAAAATCATGATTAAGAATATACGGAATATACAGTATGTCCCAAATAAAACTCAGAAAAGCAAAACATGGACAAGAGAAACGGACTGTTCATTGAACACAAATCGCTAGAAATGCTGAATTTTTGTATTCCGTCAATTGACAAATTAACAAGATTATCGAAAACATTAATCAACATTTGTGGGAAAACATTTTTTGACTTAGTATTGTTCAATTTTCGCCATTAGTTCGTTGGATGTTAGATGTTAGTATACGATTAGTATTAAGAAGATGTTAGTATGTTAGATGTCGAGCAATCTATTTACTCAACATAAATATCCCCTAAATATCTTCATAGAAAATAGTCCGGAGGTGACAAGTCTGGACTTTGGGAAGGTCACAGTGTGTGGAAAATCAGGCAGCTCCCAAAAACGCTCTGAGGAAAGACATGGTTGACTCAGATGTATGAGCAGTGGCTCTATCCTGTTGAAACCAACGTCATCTATCTGATCACCTAAATATTGCATAAGCAATTGCCTTTCCTTCGATGGCGATATCTCCTCGTTTTGCGTTATAATTGGAAATACTGTGTCATTAAACTGCAGTTTTTAGAGAGAAACTTATTTTATATTTGAAATCAGCTACGCGAAAATGTATATGATCCTTTCAAAAATATTAAGCAACAGAAGAATAAAAAATTCCCCTGTGTACTTTAAAGTTTATCAATGATAATAACTGTCTTCATACTCTTGATTATGCTGGCCAGGTGGCCGAGTGGTTAGCGTGCCTGACTGCGAAGCGAATGGCTGTGGGTTCGAATCCCGCTCTGTGCATGGATGTTTCTCTCTCTCTCTCTGTTGTCTTCTGATGTGTGAATTTATGAATGTGGCCCACCCTATGAACGGGTATTTGTGGCGTGGGTAATGTTGCTCGCCTCCGTGACTTTGGTTCACAGGTGCCCACTGGGTAACGATAAATGAGCAACACTTCCGACATCTTTTAAGGCGAAGAACGAAAGTTCAGTGCCTGCCGTTATTAAAAATGAAAAAAAAAACTCTTGATTACAATTTACATTCAATAGTTCTCAATGATACAACTAAGAAAGAATGTAACTAAAAACAATCTTTAACCAATATTACGTCAAAGCAAGGAAAAATAATTTTAACGGTCATACTGATATAGCAAAGCAGAAAATAAAAATAGTAATTGCGATTTACCTCAGCTCCAACAATCTTTCTTGTTTCTTCAAAAAGCTGTTCATCTGTCCATTGTGCATTAAGTTCCGCCAGTTTCCCAGCAATTCTGTTATGTTCCCGAACCCAAATAGTGTGCATGACCATCAATCCAATATTTTCATTAACACGGACATCACCTACAAAATATTGTCAAACTTCAAGAGGTCTAATATGAATCCAATTCATAAAAATATATCAGTAGAACTCCAATTACTTTTTTTTACTAGTTTATGTCAGCAGGTATAGTTCGTTCACCAGGAGTTGGCACTTGGCTCATCACGTGGTATGCGACGATACTATTTCACTGTTTTTGGTAGAAGGTTGTGAGCAATCCTGAACAAGGTTGTTATTTGGCGATCGTATGGCAAAAATATTTATTTCGCAATCTTTATGTGCATTTTTTTAAACATTAAATATTTTTTAACTTTAATGATATTTCTCTCTTTTGAGTGAATAGTTTGTCCCTTTTGAGACATTTTGCAGGGAAAACAGCAGTTTCCCTGCAAAATGTCTCAAAAGGGACAGAAACGAAAGGTATAATAGCAGATGACAAAGCGAAGTAAGTGACTGAAAAATAATTCACTGTTTGTATTTGGCGCGCATTAAGGGCTGTCTCAATTTCAAGAGCGGAGATGTTTCTCTTCTTACTCCCGTGTTGAAATGAACTCTGCGTCAGAGGAGGTGGAGCCAAGTGCCAACTCCTGGAGAACGAACTATATACTAGTACCTATAATTTAGATTTCAAATTTTCCGGACCGATATGAAGAAGAAAAAATGAAATTATAGGTGACTCCAGAGATATAATGATATTCCCGAGGTTATTTAATGTGAAAAGTTATTAACGAACTCGGAAGTAGTAGAATATATTGCAAAAAATGCATGGACAATATTATTTTTGGAGTTGTCAAATTACTAGATCCTATTCAAGTTTCGTTTTCTTTTTCACTTTTAAGACTAAAACTTTTATTGTTTATTATTTAATTACCTGAACAATCAATTATATGAATCAGATATGATTAGTCCGGATAATTGGAGATCTACGATATCAAGAAAATTTCCATTCTTACCAGCTAAAAAACACTTGCGAGTTGAAGTAGATCTGCAATCATGTGGATTNGTACCTTATATTTCCCGCTCTTGTTGAGAAACAATAATTAAATAATACATATGAACTGACCTCCTCCGGTTTCCTCTACAAGATTATTATTCATTTCCTTTGTTATGAACTCATCCATGGATTGTGCTTTCTGGTTTACCATGCCCAACAAGAATTGATCAAAAGCCTCGTCAACATAAAGTGGCACGGGAAAAAAGTGGGTTTCACCAATTTGCATAGAACCAACAGTGTCGTGTTTCGCTTTGGTCTTGTCTCGATTTGTACCAGTTGATTGAACGTAGCGAAAGAAATGAGACGGCATCATGGAATAGAATGAAGCACCAACAGCAGCAGCGAAGGCATTAGATGTTCCAGGGTTGAGATTAATGTCGTAACCTTGGTAGAATGTCGCTTCCTTCTGACCTTCAAGATCAAATTGGCGGAGGACTTGTCTTCCAAGAAGGACTGGCAGCAATTCTGAATAAGTAATGTGCTGAAGCTGTTGCAAAAATTTTGATTGATTAATCTCCGTAAAAAAAAAAGAATAAAGAACAATTTTAATTCACTACAAAGTGATGATCATAATTGCTTTAAGGATTATCGCCTATGATCGCCCTATGATAATAATAACGCCCTATGATTCCAAAGAATAAACATCAAAAATCCATTAAGTGATGATCGTAATTGCTTTAAGGGTCCAAGTATTCGACATAAAGTTAAAGGATTTTTGAAGTTTATTCTTTGGAAAAGTTTACCGCCAATAATGTAAGACGAACATGATGGGTCCAGAAACTCCTGATTGATCTGAAAGATTTGGTCTCTACTCCAGACCAAAAAGGAGGCTACTCTTCTTCATCGTCAGCCTCGTCGGATAGAGCTATACGTTGTTTTCATGCTGCTCAAATTTTAAACGTCTATATCAATACGAAGATTAAAAACAGCGCTTAAGCACACCTCGCATTGAAAAATGTTTGCGGCCACATTTTCTGAAGAGAAGATCTCAAAGTTCTTTTTATTAGCTGCCAAGTGTTTGGATTTTCATCGCATTAAACAGTGTTTATGTCACTTGGAACTAATTTTATTCTTTTCTATGGTCTAATGAAACTTAAAAGAAACTTACTATAAGCTTTCAAAAAATTATAAAATTTAAGAGAAAAAAGAAGTAATAAGTATTTTAGGATGACATATTACATTGAGGAACAAATTTTTTGTTGCATTTATACATGTAGCTTAGATATTACTTATAGATCTCAGCTAATTTGGGTGTGGAGGTATCAAATCTGAAATTAGTTTTGTTACAGATAGCTACAGATTTTTTCAAAATAATATTTTTAGTTAAGTTCATTTACTGCCTGAATATACAAATTCATGAAGAACGTATAGGCTTATCTATGCACATTGACACTCATTTGCTCCTTTAAAAATAACAAATAAGACAAAAAAAATGATGTTGAAGTACTGCATCATAAACAGAAATGTAATACTATTACCTTTTACCTACCACTCTCTACGTAGCAGAGAAGTGGAGCACTTTCTATTCACTCGAGTATATTGGAAAAAAATTCTGATTAGGAGCATGTGAAATATACAGTATGTCCCAAATAAAACCCAACTCAGAAAAGCAAAACATGGACAAAAGAGAAACGGACTGTTTATTGAACACAAATTACTAGAAATGTTGAATTTTTGTATTCTGTCAATTGACAAATTAACAAGATTACCGAAAACATTAATCAACATTTGTGGGAGAAAGTTTTTGATCCATTGTTCAATTTTCACCTTTAGTTCGTCGTTAGATGTCGGGCAATCTAATTACCCAACATGAATATCCCCTAAATATCTCCATAGAAAATAATCTTGAGGTGACAAGTCCGGGTTTTGGGAATGGTCACAGAGCGTGGAAAATCAGGCAGTTCCCAAAAACGCTCTGAGGAAAGATATGGTTGACTCAGATGTATGAACAGTGGCTCAATCCTGTTGAAACCAACGTCATCTATCTGATCACATAAATATTGCATAAGCAATTGCTTTTCCTTCGATGGCGCTATTTCCTCGATTTTCGGAAGTTGCGTTATATTCGGGAATACTGTGTTATTAATAGCTGCAGCTTCTAGAGAGAAACTTATTTTATATTTGAAATCAGCTATGCGAAAATGTATAAGATCCTTTCAAAAATATTAAGCAACAGAAGTAAAAGAAGTTCCCCAGTGTACTTTAAAGTTCATCAATGATAATAACTGTTTTCATATTCTTGATTACAATTTACAATGGTACAACTAAGAAAGAATGCAACTAAAAACAATCCTTAATCAATATTACTCCAAAGCAAAGAAAAATAATTTTAACGGTCATACTGATATAATAAAACAGAAAATAAAAATAGTAATTGCGATTTACCTCAGCTCCAACAATCTTTCTTGTTTCTTCAAAAAGCTGTTCATCTGTCCATTGTGCATTAAGTTCCGCCAGTTTCCCCGCAATTCTGTTATGCTCCCGAACCCAAATAGTGTGCATGACCATCAATCCGATATTTTCATTAACACGGACATCACCTACAAAATATTGTCATATTTCATAAGTAATTGGAGTTCTATTGATATATTTTTATGAATTGGATTCACATCCAATTCATAAAAATATATCAGTAGAACTCCAATTACTTTTTTTTACTAGCTTATGTCAGCAGGTATAGTTCGTTCACCAGGTGTTGGCACTTGGCTCCGCCTTCATGACGTGGTATGCGAAGATACTATTTCTCTGTTTTTGGGAGATGGTTGTGAGAAATCCTGAACAAGGTTGTTATTTGGCAATCGTATGGCAAAAATGTTTATTTCGCAATCTTTACGTGCATTTTTTTAAACATTAAATATTTCTTAAATTTAATGATATTTATCTCTTTTGAGTGAATATTTGTCCTTTTTGAGACATTTTGCTGGGAAAACAGCAGTTTTTAAGTTTAAAATATATTTAATTATCTAGAGAAACGAAAGGTATAATAGCAGATGACAAAGCGAAGTAAGTGACTGAAAAATAATTCACTGTTTGTATTTGGCGCGCATTAAGGGCTGTCTCAATTTCAAGAGCGGAGATGTTTCTCTTCTTACTCCCGTGTTGAAATGAACTCTGCGTCAGAGGAGGTGGAGCCAAGTGCCAACTCCTGGTGAACGAACTATATACTAGTACCTATAATTTAGATTTCAAATTTTCTGGACCGATTTGAAGAAGAAAAAATGAAATTATTGGCAATCGAAATGGGCTGCAGGTGGCGTAGAGCAGAACTCTTTTCCTATGGCAACACTTCACATGCTTTCCCCATTAGCGTGTGGAAAGTCATAGAGGAAGGAAGTACGTTAGTTTCTCTCTTGATTTTCATATAGATTAAAATCTTTTAAGTTGGAAAACTATATGGAACTGAAGACTACATTAAACATAGTTCTAAAGAAAAGTATCACGGAAATTTTTAAAAATATTTTTATTAAGTAAAAAGGAAAAATATTAAGAAGAGGGAAAATATCGTAGTACATTCCTATATAACTGGAAAGAGGAGGAGAGGGAAGGGAGAAGGGCTAAAGGCATGAAACCGGTCTCTCCCCAGATGGCGTATTCGAATGTTGCGATCGCGAATAGGTGACTCCCGAGCTATAATGGTATTCCCGAGTTAATTTAATGTGAGAAGTTATTAACGAACTCAGAAGTAGTAGAATATATTGCAAAAAATTTATGGACAATATTATTTTTGTAGTCGCTAAATTACTAGATCCTGTTCAAGTTCCGTTTTCTTTTTCACTTCTAAAACTAAAACTTTTATTGTTTATTATTTAATTACCTGAATAATCAATTATATGATAGATATGATTAGTCCAGATAATTGGATATCTACTATATCAATAAAATTTCCATTCTTACCAGCTAAAAAACACTTGCGAGTTGAAGTTGATCTACAATCATGTGGATTAGCTGTGTCTGGAGGCAATAGCTGTAAATGACCCTGAATCTTTAAAAGCCCATTTTGATTCGCTTTTAGACGTTTGACTTCTTCTTCTGAAGAACCATAAATAACTGAACCATCAATAAAAGAAGTCACCTGATTAATTTGCTCCCGAGTACCTAGAGTACATCCTGCTCTTGGCACATTTGAAGATCTCACATAATTGACACATAACTGTGGCCTTCTTGTGGATTTGTTATCTATGATAGGAAAGCATTCTGGATGTAGAAATTCTGATGGTACGTCGCAACATCGCAATCGGTGTCCTCGGTAACCTATAATATATAAATAAATAAATAAATAGATTTATATCTACAAGTGAATATAACGTGGGGATAGATGTGAATATATTCTAGCACTTGTTTTTTATGTTAACTTCAAAAATCGAATTTTGTTAAAAAGTCGATTAAATATTTAACACTTTTTTAAGGGAACACTGTGCGGTGTTTTGAGGAAACTTCTTCTTAAATAACTCCGTTACTTAGAAAATATCTTTAAAATTCAGTATCGTGAAAATTAAAGAATTTCATCAAACTTTTCTCAGTTGCTAAGCAACGAAGAGGATTCTGAGAGAAAAAATGTCCCGTTGGATTATATAAAAAAATTTCTTCCTAAATATCGTGAAAAGTTCTCCTGTTAGTACTATAAACACGTTAAATCACTTTAAAGTTATTTTTTCTCATAAGCAATTGGATACCTGTAAGTTACGTCATCGTAGGTAAATCGTGGCAATTGCTGATGAAACTTACAAATGTTAAAAGTGCTTTTCTGCAGAACAACAATCAAACAGATATTAACTAAAGAAATTAGTTAGCATTATATTTTCATCTATAAATTGTTGAATTAATAACTGCTTCAGTAGCAGGTAACTTAAGCAGAGTCAAATACATATTGGTTTTTGGACACAAGATAAGATTATTAATTTTGAAGTGAACTCGGTCTTTAAAAAAATTTTCTTTTGTGTGTAATTTTTTATACATCATTTGGAAGGTCCCAACACTCCTTTAAAAATGTTTAACGCTCACTAGAGAGCGAAAGCGCCTATGTTGGGGACCTGTGGTTTAGTCAACCAGAGAGAACCATTGAACCATAGTTTGTAGAGATTACAATAACGAAATTAACATCGTTGATATTTGTTTTCCGAGTCCTATTTAAAAAATAATCCCAATTAGAAACCGTTTTTAATCTGTGGTAAATTAATCGAAAGTGAAAGAGAGAGCCTATTTATGAATAAACTGCTTCATGTTTAATTAAAATGAAATGTTTTCATTTTCCGAAAATAACTACAAAATCTAACTACTTTATTATTTTACACACTAGTATTCATAGTTTAAAAACTCAATTTAAAATACCAGCACTTGGAGAATCATTAAAAACTCTAAGCATCTACTATTTCCTAAAAGCTACTTTAAATTTCTGCCCGACATCTGTTGCTCTAGATTAGTTGTTTATATTTAAATACAAGGATTACATTTTTAAATTAAGTCGATTATTTAGTTATTTAGGGAAAAAAAACAATATAAGAGGAAAAGTGAACATATAAATATAAAGGCGAATGTATAAATATGTATCATAAAGGTCGGTAAAAGAAACCGGCATTTTTTTAAATCACAAAGAAAAATAATTAGATACGCAGTATTCAAATGCAAATTTGTAGGTTCTGTGGTTCTGTGAATTGATTATCTACGACTTTGATTCAGTGAATTGATTAAAAAAAAAATTTCATTTTATGCAGCGCTTTTGTGTTAATCATATTCATATACCACGCATTGAAAGAAAAGAAATAGTCGTTTATTTTAAATATGTAATTGTGAGAATGCAAAGTAGTGTAGATGAAATAATCCTTCTTTGAACTCAATTGTTATCATTCATCTTAAAATTATAAAAAAGTTAAAAGTGTACTTTCAAGTTTTCTTTTCTAATATTTAATTAGTATGACTCATATTTTAATTATATTTATTGATCTAAGCTATTATTCTTTTCGAAGTATTTTTATATCCGCTTTGTTTCGAAATAGTAAATTCTTTGAAATAAATTTCTTGGTCATGATTAATTCGTACCAGTTTTCTCTGAAAACGAAAGTAAATGCCGCAAAATTAGTTTGCATTGAGAACTACCTGAAATTAAATACCAAATTAAACTTTTTCATTTTTAATTTTCAGTTACTTTCTTTTATCGTATTTTAAAATGATTTATCAAATAAATATAAAATTGTGAAATAAATAAAAAATATCAACAAAATTTTCTAAATATTTTTCAAAGTTTTAATTTAATTATTCGATTTCAACTGTTTTCCTGTTATTCTCTGTGACTCAGAATGTTTTAGTACATCAGGAGATGTTTCAAATCACAAATGTTCAGCTAATAGTGATGTATCTGCATTTTTAGAAACTGATTTCAAGTAATGTTTAACTGAAAATAAGTATTAAAAACTTATGTGCTGCAAAAAAACGCACGATAACGATGACCAAAAGTTATATTTATAAAATAGACTATTAAAGTAATTTATTTCCTTTACATGGAGTTCATAAGCTTGTATTGGCTGTAACTAAAATCGCATTAACAAGAAAAAAGTAAAAATTTTGCCTTCATATGAATCTTCAAAATAACGAAAAATTAGAGCTTAAAGATTTTAAGCGCGTTGGTGAATTTGTCAAGTAGCGCCGCGCCATTCGTGTCAATCCTGTAGCCCACTCATTAATTCGTTTTTGGATTCTATGGTGAATCGACCACTCTCTGTTCCACAGTAAGATGAACGTTGGTCGTTCTTAGGTGTTACCTTCATTGACTTCAAAGAGTTATCAAAGGTACATGAATTTTATTTAACTATTTTAATTGTATTCAGTGTCATTTTCTTGGTGCGGAAATCCCACCTCTTTCGGCGTCATGAAAACCTGACAGATGAATAAAATTTAACACCAATAAAAATTACCTATAATGATTTGTAAAAACAGTTTTGCCAATTATGAATAATAGAACTATTTTAAATAAATATAAATAGACAATTATATTTTTTCCCCTTTAAGTTTTAATTTAGTTTCATATTATAAAAATTAATTAGCTTTTAAAAAAAAGGAAGAAGTTTGTTTCCTTGAGATGGTTAGTTTTTTTTCGAAAATAACTTTTTTTTTCTAATTTAACTTTCAATTCTAAAAATAAATAACTGTTAGCATCGCCTTTTTAAATCGAACTATTTTAAATAAATATAAATAAACAAGTATATTTTTCCCCTTTAAGTTTTAATTTAATTTTATATTATAAAAATTAATTAGCTTTAAAAAAAGAGAAGAATTTTGTTCCCTTGAGATGGTTAGTTTTTTTCTAAAATAACTTTTTTTTTCTAATTTAACTTTCAATTCTAAAAATAAATAATTGATAGCATCGCCTTTAGTGCACTCTAAATGCAACTGACGAAGAGATCGTCAAAAAAAAGCTCTTTAAGATCCACTGACAAATATTTCGATGCATTTGAATCTACTTATTTGTTTTGTTAATAATTATTTTGATATTTTTTAGTGTTTCCTTATTTGACCTTTTCCATATTTGGTGCAGAGGTTTAACAGATAGTTGAGGGAGGTTTTAATGGTCTCTCCAAAAAGTTTTCTTAATATAATGTCTATGGAAAAAATTACGTAGTTCTTAAAAGTGGTCGCAAACAGAGGAGGTCGCTACACAGAGGTGGTCTTTTATGGAGCCTTCACTGTATTTCGTAACCATTTATTGCATTTTTCGCTATATTGCACTTTTTATGTTCATTTAATAATAATTTTTGACTTGTAACGTACGCAATCGTGTTATAATTTAGTATTTCTTTAATGTTAATGATTTAAATAAATTGTTATTTATTTTTGTTTTTTTTGTTTTGTTTTTGTTTTTCGTCGTAGTTTTCGTTTTTGTTTTTCGTCAGATGTTAAGTGGAACCATAATACCGTGGTATTTAAGTTTAAGAACGATTGATTAAGTAGCACGATAATATAGTTCAACTTGGATCATAAAACCTTATTAAAATTCCAGCAAGTATGAACAATATTTGAACACTATCCAAACTTTTTAACAATTTTACTATTTTCAAAAATCGTAGAAATGTATAATTTTAGAAGAATTATTTAGAGATATTTTTCTACAAGTTAATAAAAAAATATTATTTCATATTTTCAGCAAAAAAATAAATATTTTTAAAAATAAATACTAAACAAAAATTTGTGTAAGAAAAGGAAGCTAATATGTATATTATGTAAAATGTATATCAGATGTTCTGTTATTGCATTTTCTAATGCTAAAAACTGTATAATTACTGTTGTTGTTGACGTATGCCTGCGATTGTTCTTGTTTTCCAGTGGCGCCATCTATGGCCAAGAATTCGACTTCTGCCACACCCATACATCACACCTGTTTATAGAGCGAACCCATTCATTCATCCACAGATCGTAATTTTGACCTGAATCAGAGAACGATCAATCTCCAATCCAGTACCCCCAGAAATATTGATTTGTTATGGGAACATGGAGGACTTTGCGACTCGACATATTTAACGTGCATCAGTCTCCATTTACTACATGGGGAGTCTTCGGCCGGCGGGATTCGAGCCCACAAACTCCACTAATTATCAAAAGTAAATAATGGAGTGATGAAGTTTGATACAGTTTAAGGTCATTAGAATGAAATCCATACATACCTTACCAAACGCTTTAATATATAAATATAAACAAAATTATAAGCTTTTTAATAAATTCACCCAATGTTTGTTTCACAATATTATTAAATTATTGTTAATTTGGTCATAAAATTACCTGCACTTTGTGATGTGTGAAAAATGTCGTGAAAAATGAATTCGGCAAAAATGGCCAGGAAAACTGTTAAATGAGGATGGGGTCTCTCGGAATCTGAGTGCACTAAACGACTCACTTCAAGAGCGCTGGGAAGAGCTTGTCTGGAAATTGATTCTCGTGGATTATTCACATCTGAAATATATTAGTAATGACATTCTAGAAATTGTGAATCACTAATAAAGAAAAGGAAATTCTAATAGAAAGCAATTCGTTTAAACGCTTTACGTCTAAAATATAACATAAATCTTGAATATTTATAAAAGAATTTTAAAAAAAAAGAACATAAGAAAACGCTAGTGAAATCTGTCAGAACAATTGTGATTGGTTGGATCACAAGTGACAGAAAGTTAGAGAAAAAACATCAAAACTAGTTTGATCGCCTGATGAAACTTGAAGGTGTTTCTAATACTCTGTTCTCTCCGGTGCACTGTGGGCCAGAAGACTATGATCTTTGGCCAAAAGTCAAAAATTAATTTTTCAACTAAAATATTGGTAGGCAGTTTTAATATATCCCAAATTAAGTATTCATAATCATTCCAAACATTATAATTTACTTTTTGAACCGACAAGAGAACAATGTAATGAAAAATATGTTAAAAAAATTGTTTCAAATGTAACTTTTAAATTTTTATTTCAGAAATATATATAGGAATTTCACCTTACTGTTACATTTTTATCAGAGTAATTAGTGTTAAATTATAGTACAATTTTTAAATTTGTCGGATTAGTTAATACTCTTGACAAAATTATAGTTTACAGATATCTTATCATTTGACATTTTACAATGTTTGAATGACTTTCGAAAATTAGTTCCAAGAAGTTCCACGAGGTAATTAGCTAAACTTTTTTTTTGTTGTCTTCTTTGATGTTTCTTCTTTCGAAAAAATCTGCCCCATTTTGCTCGTATTGCAAAGATGGACTAAATAAACCAAAAAACAAAAATTATGTTTTTTTTCTTCATGTTTTCGCGTTATTTTGTAATATTACTTCAGAAATATAATTTGCTTTTCATTTTTAATATAAAATTATGAAAATTATTATATTTTCATTACTATATTTAATTATTTAAACGTACTATATTATTTTTTTATTTTTGCTCGCCATATTTCAGCCGCCATTTTGTTTGTTNGAGGGGGGTTATTTTTAGTGTATTTCGAAATTTTAACTATGAATTTAATTTACCAGCACATAAAAACCCCTAAATACAAATTTTAAAACAAATTTTATCGAAATACAAATTTTGGCCACGAAACATTGGATGCTGGCCCACTGTGCGGTGATCAAAGAGGTTTTGATGTAGTCAATCTTACCTTTCTCTATTGTAATTTGTAGATTTCGATAGCGTCTTACCCCAAGAGTTACGTAATAGTTTGTGAACACTAATGTGTACAATTTTTTAATTGCATTTTTACAAGGATTTTAAAAATACATTAAACCCGGGCCTTACAGAACATCTCGTATAAATCATTAATAACAGAATTAAGTTAGGAGTGAACCTAGCACTATATGACTATATTAGTGGTAATATTATTGAATACTTTAATATTTTGTTAGTTAATTAAACAAAAGCTTTATGCTCTTGAAGAATACATATTAAATATATTAGAAAACATCATAGATAAAATATGTTATATGATATTTTATTAGAGCAGAATATAAATCGCTAATTTGCAATGTTACATGGTTAGACCATCAAAATGGCAACTTAGATTTTATGAGAGATAATCATGGAACATTTCTTTCGCATACGTTGATGTTAAAAGCAGGTGGTACATACTTTCTATTTATTTATTATTTAATTGCGTGTGACCTATGAGCTAGAATTTATCTCGTTTTACTTATTATCGTTTTATTTTCTAAAAGCTGTCAAGTTTATGTTGCTATGGCGAAGAAAAAGAACTCTGACGTTATGATGAACAACTTATGTAAATAAAAACGTTTTTTAATGAAATTGGAGCAGAATATTTATTTTATAAAAATAAAAGAATTTCAAATTTTTTGGATGAGTGTCGCAAGATTTATGGTGACAAATGACGCAATATTAAGAATTTAAAATGTTATATGCAGTATTGACAATAAATAAAAACTTTAAAATTCATTGCTGTCTCTCTCGATTCCAAATTTAAGATAGGTTTTTACTTATTCCTCCTCATACAATGCGAATAAGTGTTCCTAGTTTCATTGGATAAGTTCTTTATAAATGCATGATGTTCTATTTCAGAACTATCGTTAGTTGCGATCAAAGTTACGAAGTTATAGATTTGAATATTTCTGTAACTCGTAATATAACACAAACAGGAGCTAGAACTTGAGTATTATGATAATCATACATTATGTATTTATGATTAGAAAAGTTCTTATAGGCATTTTGCATAAACTTGGGATTTCTAAAAATTTTAATTACATCTGTAATGACATACTTATCAAGCTTAATCGCGCCGTGCTTTTTTATAGTAAAATAATTGTGTTGTTTAATATGATACCTGCAAGTGACGTAGCAATGGTATCTCGATCCTGATTGGTTGTTGAAAAGTGGCATTTGTTCACGTTAGCAACTGTTTTTTCCATTCGATCTCGAGTAAGCCAAGCTCACCCAGTATCAATTTTCTTAAGTGACATATTCTATATTCTTTCACAAAGATTTCAATTCTTTCACTATATATTTCTTACTTAACACAAAGACAAGCACGAAGCCATGTAGGACATAAAGAAACTAATTATGCATAGAAGTAGCCAGGTACAATATATATAGATATCATGGTTACAATAAAATGCATAAACAAATAAAAATCTAAGTTAAAAAGACGTACACGAAAAAAATTATCTTTCAACAAATTCGATGCGCGATACTCTATTGTATTTAATTATCTTCACGATAATTAACATTCTAATTTATGTGGAAAAACTCTACTCGACTTTAATATGCCATTTTGCTTATAAGCGATCAGCTGGAGCTGACGTCATAGGTCACATGTGTTGGTATCCGTAATCTTCTTCTTGAAGTGCAAGAGTCAATTGAAATAATAGAAAACAATGTAAAGTTTAATAAACAGCTTTCCCATATTAATACTAAATCTCATCCCAATCTCATTTCCATTCAAGCTGAAAAAAATTTTTTTTAGCGTAAGAAATCGGTTGTAGCACTTTTGCGTATTACAGTGAGCAAAATAAATAAGTGAACACCCAGCATAATTTTTGATAGATGAATAGATTCACGTAATAGAACATAAACCTAATGATTTAAGAATCTAACCATAATTATGCCAATCAATTAGTGCAGACCATAATTTAAATTACAAAATCAGACAAAGAAACGTACTTTCTCGTAATAAACATAATTTTTTATGATGGGGATTTCCTTAAAGCTCAAATTATGGAGATTATCCGCAAACTAAAAAATATGACCCCAATAGATTGTTCCTTTGCTCTGAAATTTTAATTTCATTCTGGAACTAATGAAGTAAATTAAAAGATTATTTTTCTTAATTTATAATTTAATTTACTGCTGGTCAAAGAATTTTAATTGTTAGGTATAAAATTTTTACTCCAGTAAGTTCTTAAGAAAGAAAAATTTAAAAATACAACTTTCTGAGATAGTGAAATATTCTCTCTAACTCCCCTCCCACTCTTTTATTACAAACAATTTCAGGATTGTGGCTAGCCCCCATACTTTCAGGGACAAGAATTCGAATCTGGCGAAAAAAGGCATGCTTCTTTAGAGAAAGTGCGTTTTTGTGCTTAATTTTGTAGCTTAAAATGTTGTCTGCATAAATTACTTATAATATTTTTAAGGATATGGACTCTAACCACTAAAATTGCTTCCTAATACTTGAAATCCCGATCATTAGATGAAAAGTTAGTTACTGTATTCGCTTATTTTTCTGTATTAAAACCAGCTTAAAGATACTATACTCACGATACTATGCAACTTAAAATTTATCAACTGCATTCTGGGATATTATAAATCATAAAATAAAGTAATCAACTGTACTTACTATTTGAATAATCAGGGGCAAGATAACGAATGTACCCAGTATTTGCATTTCCCCAACGAGGATTCTGAACGTTGTTGCAGTATCCACTATAAGCTCGATACTTTTTGGGACGACAAGGAAAATCAACCATAAATGGGCAGTCTTTTTCCAGAGCTGTTCCCCTTATGTCAACGGTTGGAAGGGCATGAAGAACTTGATCTTTACTCAACTTATACCTGAAAATTATCAAGAACAATTTGTTTTCTCTAAAAGAAATGAAAATTGTTTTCCAAAAATTCGAAATAATTTTTTTTACCACACTTTCAAGAAGTTCCAGATAAATCCTTAGTCACTCAACTTTATATTTCATTCGAAAATTTAATATAGTGCTTTAAAAATTCGTACTACTTATTGTGAATGAAAGATCGAGTAGAATTTTTGGTGCAGTTAAGGAGAATGAAGTACGGAGAATCAAATACAACTTTAAGCTATAGAACAAATAATGTATAGAGCCAGATGTAGTTAAGGTAATTAAAATCCTACAGTTTTATCCTGCATCCTGCAGTTCATCTTGCAGATATAGATTGGACATATTTTTAGATATGATAACAATAACCCGATATAAAAAAAAATTCTTCGCCTTACACTAAGCAAAGAATTTATACCGAACGAAATTAATAATCTAAGTTTGAGAAGAAACTAACTTTAGTGTAATTCTGCAATATTTGTGAAACAAAAATCAATGAAAATACTCGAGAAAATTAGCATCAAAATGTATAAAAACACCAGGTATCTGTTTACAAAATATTTTCTTTTCAATTAAAAAGCATAAACAAGAGGCAGGATACATTAACATGGAATTTTTTATTTCAACCGATGTAAATTCACATGCAATGAGTAAAAATATTTTTTAAAAAATTCTTACTGTTGAAGTAAAAGCTTTGATGCTTCTTCTGACACAAGTGCCATTCTGGAAACGTTTTTGGCAGCAACTTTTGTTTTTGCTGATGCTGCTGCAAACCATGATGGACTACCAGGATCAAGCACAATACCTACAGAGGATATATATTTTTTTACAACGGTTTTAAAACAGTACAGAGACAAAGCAATTCTGTAATTTTTTTTTAACTTTAAACATGTAACAGTCCTGTAGGCAGTCCTCCGTAAGAAGACTGTTGACTTTCACACAACTTATTTCTATATGGGATGTCATTTAGTAAAAGAATCATCGTTGGTGCGAAGCTTTTCTGACTCCTACGGTAGTTTCTTATACCTTCTTTTAGTTTCAGTTTCTAAGAAATCTCCATTTCAATTAATTAACCGGTATCAGGATTTGGCTTTCAATCATCTTATTACGATGGAAGGACTGCATAAAATTCTTAATGATAACTTTAAAATAATATCGTTGTGAATGCAATCTTTATATCAGAATAGATCATACACAATAGTAGAATGTTTAAATGAAAACTACAATTAGTTCCTTTCCTTTCGTTATTTGGTTTACCAAATGACCTGTACAACGGCAAATACGATATATTAAAGGCTGTGGTTACGGTTTATTCAGAATAATGCGAATAATAAGCAGGTGCTATTTTTGTTTGTTTAAAATTAATTAAAAAATAATCATGAAATTTTAGCTTTGAAAATTTTAAACTTTAGAAAACATAAACTGAAGAGTATATTTTTTAAAATGGCATTTTGAAAATAAAATTATCCTGTGCAAGCTCACGTGCATTAGTATTACTGAATTGTATTGCTGATAAACTTAGCTTATCGAACGGATTTTATACAAACTTCGTATGGCAAAACATGAGACAACATGTGGTTATGACCCCTTTCAGTTCTTTTTAAAATAAATTTTTCAAATTGTCTGTCATAATTGGAACACTCGATATTTCATAGTATTAAAGTCGAGAAGCTTACCATTTCTGAATATACGCTGTTCCAAAGAGTTAAGCCTCTTGTCTATCTCAACTACAGCTTTACCAACAATTTCTCCAAGCTCCAGAGATGAAATGCGTGGTAATCTCGTAACTTTTGGTGTTGGTATTGGTGTTTTGTCACTAGAGGTGCTTTGGAAATTGACTTGTCTTTCATGACGTCTATGACTAGATACAGTGCGAGGAACTATGGCGTCAAAAGTTTCTATACTACTTAATGCATGACTTACACTGATTAGATAAAACAAGTTGCATATGATGACAATAAAAACGTTGAACCTAGAAAGAATAGAGTGTTCAGTTTTGAATTAATATTAATACATTTACTTAATCTTTGTCTTGTGACGTTGTTGTGACAAAAAGGAGCACAACTATGCATTGATTATAATTATGTTGCAATATTTAGCATTGTCAGACATTAATTAGTTTCTTTGACTATTTAAATTAAATTTAAATTATACTGGTTGGAAAACTTGAAAAAAAAAGTAACAGTCAAACATCTAATTGAAAAAAAAGCTTAAAACAACCTCTTATTTAAATTAACAATTAAGAGAAAATACGGATGAAATGTCTAATAGTTTCTTTAAAAGAAACTATTTGACATTTTACACTCACGAGAGTTTCACTTACGATGGCAGAACAGTTGATTGGATGGAATTTAAATACAAAACAAAACGTCATTGAATTATTCCGACTTGAACGTTAAATGAGTTGAAGAAAGAGGGGATAAAATGATAGGGAACTAATAATTATTTCTTATTCAAAATAGGTCCCGCAGTGGACTGATCGTTAAGACACGGTTCCCAGCAGATCACCGAAGTCAAGCATCACTGGCTACGGTCAGTGTGCGGGTGGGTGACCAGTTTGCGCAGGGATCGAGGGTGTGCGGTATTGGTCCTCGTTAAACTGTTCTACCGTAAAGTGCTCGACTTCGCGTGCAGGTCCTCGGGCTACCGAAGCGGGGGTGCCATCCCCTCTGTAAAGGATCAAAATTGTGATGGCATGTCTTTGGATCATCCTCAGGGATGTTTCCCAGACCATCGCCAATAGCCCATTGTGCAGCTCTAGTGCGAAGTAAATGAACAACAACATTATTCAAAATAGTTTCGTCAAAATAATCGATAAAGTAATTATTTTTTGGAAGAAATTAGAATTGTTAGATTCGATAGCCCATTTTAATATAGACAACATATCATTGATATATTCCAACTTGGACTTAAATGCGTTGAAGAAGAAAGAGGAGGTAAAATGATAACTAAATTGAATAAATGAAAGAGTAATTTATTTGATGGAGTTAGAATCGTCAAATTCGATGGCCCATTTTAAAAGAACAAAAACAATATCAATTTCGACTAAGATATTAATAAGTTGAAGAAAAAAGAGGAAAAGGAGTAAAATAATAGAAACTAATAAATATTTCATATTCAAAATAGTTAACCAAAATAGTCAAAATAATCGTTGATAGAATTATTTTTTTAGGTGAAATCAGAATCGTTATATTATATAGCCCATTTAAATATCACCAAAACATCATTAAAATATTTCGACTTGGACATTAACGAGAAAAAGAAGAAAGAGTAAGAAGGAATAAAATGATAGGAACTAGTAAATATTTCATTTACAAAATAGTTTATCCATATAGAAATTAGATGAGAAAATCATTTATTTTTTGAAGTTAGAATCGTTAAATTCGATGGCCCATTTAAATATTGACAAAATATCATTGAAATATTCTGACTTGGACATAAATGAGTTTAAGAAGAAAAAGTAAAAATAGATAAAATGAGAGGAAGTAATTAATATTTCATTTACAAAATAGTTTAAACAAACTAATAGATGAGAGAATAATTTATATATTAGAATTAGAATTGTTAAATTCTATGGCCTTTTAAATATAAACAAAATATTACTGAAATATTCCGACTTGAAGAAGAAGGAGGAACAAAATTATTATAGGAAGTAATAAATATTTCATAATTCAAGTAATCGCCAAAATAATCGATGAAAGAATTATTTTTGGATGAAATCATAATCGTTATATTCGTTAGCCAATTTAGATCTAGACAAAATATCATCAAATATTCCAACTTGAATATTAACGAAATGAAGAAAAAAAGAGAAAGAGTGAGAAAATGATAGGAACTAATTAATATTTCATGATCAAATTAGTTTCCCCAAAATAATCGATGGCAGAATTATTTTTTGGATGAAATCAGAATCCTTAAATTCGATTGTCCGTTAATACATATACAAACTGTGATTGAAGTATTCCAACTTGGCATTAATAGGTTAAAGACAGGGTTGACATGACACATCAAAAACTTGTCGAAAAGCGTCAAAAACTGTCATAAAATGCCGAAATCTGACCAAACTGTCAAAAACCTGAAAGAATTTATTTTTTTTTGTCATTAGGGACGTTTTATAAGATAGTAAATCAACATTATATACTACTATAATCAGTGATCGTCAATAATTATTTGATCTCAACTTAATTTTTTTTCTTTTTATTCTTAATATTTGTTATTACTTATATGCAGAGGTGCGGAATATGTCCAATCGCGTGAACAAGGTTTTGATTAAAATTCAGGCAACCCTGGGGAAACGTTCAGTCCAAAAAATTCTTACAAAATTTTTTATAGTTAAAAAATGTGCCTCTTGTTAAAAAATATTACGTGTCAAATTGCGTATTTATTAATGGAATTCCTCAAATTTATGATGGACCCTTGAATTTAATTTAATAAATTATTAATATTTCCATATATTTTGATTTATAATATTTTTAATACATACGCTCGTTTATTCGAGAATTGTGAAAAAATCAAAGCAATTCTTTTCTTGTTTTTGTTATCAAAATTTTTTAGCAATATATAAATTTTACTTACCAAAAATATTTTTAAAAAGTTATCGTACTAAAAAAAAAAAAATGCTAAATTTTCGGTGAAATTTTGATTAATGAAAAACTTAGTTTTGAGGAAATATTAGGCTCTGATAATTTTCTGCACTCTTTTTTTGAACAAGAATGTTTGTCATGTTTTCTTTCGTATAAGATGATTGTGTTTCTAGTTTCATTTTCAAAAGTTAAAAAAATTAACGGATTGGATAAAATGCTATTTTGCGCATTTTTATTTATAATTATTTAATATTACATAATTATCAATTAATTATTTAATATTACATAATATTATATAATTATTTAATATTGACAGCAATTGCCAAAACAAAAAGAGAGTTTAATGTCAAAATAATTGATTGATCACTTATAATTTTATATGTAAGTTTATTTATAAATTCCCCAGACTTATAATAGCTAATAATTATCCTCACGACAAAATTTTGGGTTTTTGACGATTTTCAACTATATCTAAAGGGATTTTGGACATGACAGAGAAAACCATGGTTAAAACCAGATAAAAAAATCAATCGTCAAAAACTTGTGAATCCTGGTTAAGGACGAAAAAGAAATGAAGAAAGTTGGAATGTAATAAATATAACTACTAAACTTTTCCGCACAAGAAATTTTCGCAGAAATAATAGATGACAGAAAGATTTATTTTATTAAAATCAGAACCATTACTTTCAATTTCTTACATATAAAGCATAGAAATAACCAATGAAATAAACGGTAAAGTAATTGAAAAATAATGATTTACGCGTGAGATAGTAATATAAATTTTATCTTAGAATGAAATGATTTAAACACTACGTTTTCACTCCATTTGCAACACGCAATTTTTCTTCACCTAAAAACTGTCAGCAAACATTTTGCTTTTGAATTTATAATTCCAACTCCACATATGTAATTTACAACGCAGAAATTTTCAGTTTACAATCTCAACCAAAATCTTATGACTTTTATTTTTTTTTTAGGTTGTAGAAATGATGGTCGTTGATCCATGCAAAAACATTAAGTTATTCCGTAGATCCTATGTTAACCTTTAATCTGTAATTATTACAATGATCTTAAAATATGTCAGAGAAACCGAAGGTTACGCGCTGACCCGCATCGCTATTTTGAGTGACCCATTGGACAATTAAAGCCTGGAAATCGCCTCTTAAAAACTGCATAATTTAACTTGAAGTAAATAAAATATTTGTGATAAGTCTTATGTCATAAAATATACAGCTCAGTTTGCATCAATTATTATAGATTAGATTTTTAATGTTGCAAGAAATAAATACAGAAATGAAATAGCAAATAATTGTTAAATACTAGTAGTAATTGATTTGTTATTATATAATTGGTAGTAAATATTTTATTAACAGTTACTGTTCGTATTTAAAAAGAATGACTTTTAAATTTACACATGGCATATTTTATGTGTAAATTTATTTGTAAACTTTTAAATTATTATACTATAAATAGTATTAATTAATAACACTATAAAGTTATAGTATAATTAATTAATACTATAAATTGTAAATTTATTAGTATTCTTACATATTTTATAAGCAAGCAGCTTATTGTCATAATTGATGTAACATAAGCTAAAAATATTAATTAAATAATTAAAACATCTAAATCTATTAATCTGAAGTTTCAGAAAATTTAATTTGAAAGAAGAGTAATTTTCATTTTAATGACAACAACCATTTATCAATAAATAAATCTTATAATAACTAACGACAAATAAATAAATTGTATGAAACATACAAAAACAATTTAATTTGAATAGAATGTTTTAAAAATATTACTTGATTTTCATCTTAAGCGTATAGCTTTACAAATAAGTGTGAAAAATAAGAAAAGAAATTGTAGCAACCTTTTTTTTTTTCCTTATATATATAAAAAAACGGAATGAAATCTTTTTGACTTTGGAGTATGAAAATTTGAATTGAATTTTCGGGCGGATTATTTTTCTTGTTGTAATTAAACAAATTCATATATTTAATTTTCGATTCATGATTTGAAATTTTTTTCTTTCAGATAGATTATAATATCACTAATTCAGTTCAGAATGAGAAAAGCATGTTTTCTGCAACAATACCGGTTTCCGTAATGTTACTCAATGCAGAAAAATAATATGGAGTTGAAAATTCTGAAATAGTTTCCCTATAACTCAATAGATTGAGAAAAAATTTATTAAAAAAAAAAACACTCGATTTCGTCCATTTTTTGGGACGAATAGGAACTAAAGTTTAAATAAATATTATACATTATATTCTAAATAACATATCACCATATGTGATTCAGAATGTAATGCACTTATTTAAAGAAAACAAATGAATTGTGAGAAAATTAAACAAATGAAGTTATTTTAAGACATAATTTTGCAATTATTCGAAAAAAAATTTCATAAAAAAGCAAGTATCTAAATATGTTACAAATAAAACTAAAAGAAATGATTATCTATAATTTAATTTGTTTAATTACGAAAATTGATAGCATACACTCCTTCAAATATTAGATTGTATCTTAATTAAAAAATATACCTATCACAGATTATTTTAGATTGTATCTTAATTAAAAAATATACCTATCACAGGTATGACAAATCAATGAGTGGAAGAATCAAACGTTTATTTCTATGAATTTAAAGAAAAAATATCGAACTAAATTAAGTGTAGAATTATATTTTAAAGATAGTTTATTTAAACAACCACAAATATTAAAAAAGGATAAAGTAAAATGTAAGAGTATGTTCCATAACTGGGGATATTTCATACAAGTAGCTAAACTTGAAATTTTAAAATTAAAATATTATCGAAACACTTTTTTCAAGAACAAAGTTAGAAACTTCAAGTCAAAAGAAATTATGAAATAATCTAGCTTAAAGAACAATAAAAATTCATAAAGTTGACTAATGAAAAATGCAAGAAAGAGAAATAATGAAACAAATAAAATATACTGACATATTATAAGTGAGAAATTTTACAATGATTACGTAATTAATTTTAATTATTATATATAATTACGAAATATTATAATTACAAGTTAAGCATATTGGAAAATTGCTTATAACTTTCATAGCTTAAAGAAAATTTAATTTGAAACATAAAATTATTATTTGAGAAAAAATATACATATCATTTTACATAATGCTTGAATTAAGGAAATAAATGCAAAATATTTGTAAATTACTTTACTGAAAAAGTATACAATATTAATGTCTGAAAGTAATAATTAAAAACCGATAGCTTGCTATTATTTGACTAGAGTAATTTTCAAACGAATTTATAAATTACTAGGAACAAACAAGATCAATTTATTATTTCATAAAAATGTATTATTTAACAAAATAATAATATGATATACATAAAGATAATACAAAAATCTCCACCTCATGTCTCAATGAAAAAAAAAAAAAAAATTCAGTCTCATTTAAATAAAAAGGAATAGCAAGTAAAAATTGATAGTTTATTTATATTTTTTTGTAGTTTACTGAGTTTATAAATTATTAACAATTAATTATTATCAAGATTATATTAAATAAGATTAAAAGACTAAACTTATTATTAGAAATAAAAATTTCAGAAAATACTATTATGACATACCTATCATAACGGTGATGCAAAAATCCCCACCTCATTTCTCAATAAATAATCCTTAAATGCTCATCGATATCTGCTGGACTTTCTGATAAATTACTGATAATTCCACACTTCATTCCTCTTGCTCTGAAGAAACATGTTCCATTCATGGAACAAAAAAATATTCTAACAACTTTTCTTTCAGGAAGAGAGGAAGAAAAAAAAGGGAAGAAAAAACAAAACAAATAAAGCTCTTTCTTTGGGCAGACGATATCTTTGATGAAAAAGAAAGAAAGAAAAAAACACCTGCACAATACCGCTGACCAGAAGGTGGCGTTGTAAATAGACAGTTCATTAACCCACTGACCCAATGATGACTGCTTACAAATCATTTCATAAAGAGAGTTTTCCATTTCTTCAGTTGACTCGCTTTTGAAAGAAAGGTACTTAAATTAAAAGAGGGCTGACACTTTGAAGCGCGTGAGAAAACAATAAAGTACATCCGTCAATAGAGGCAAATGAGTTATTTGCCAAGGAAAAGTCTCTGCATTATAAATTAATTTTAAATAGTCTTTTTCCAAACTCGCCGTGGATTGTGACACCCTGTTTCTGTACATGTTGAGTACACGTTTATTTCACAACAAATGTTTTATTTTAATATGTATGCTTATTTATTTATTGCTCTAAAATGTGTTTCAAGATCTTAACCAAAATGATGTGACTTAACGATATAATAAAATTGTTTACCAATTAAATTCGCTGATATTTAACATAAAATAAAGAGTTTTCTATTTGTTTCCGTTTTCATTGATTGCAGTAAATTGAATTTGGATTCATAAGGAAAAATGTTCATTATTTCTATTTTAAAAAAAAGAAGAAAAAAAGAAATATATCTTGAACTTTCTTGCGTTTTTTATTTATATAAAATGTGTACTATCATTAAATTACAAATTAGTTCTAAGACACTTAATTTATTATGAAATATAGAACATTTCAATTTAATATTCCAAACTATTAAAGATCTTTTGGTTCATATAAAGGTTCACAAATTTCATTTATATGCAGTGCGTTTAAAAGAATATGTACTATGCATTTAAAAGAAAATGTAAACTGTGCTTTTCAAAGTAATTTTTTTTAAGCAAGATTTGAGTTCTGTAAGCTAATTATCTTTTGCAGTTATTCCCTATTTGAGAAGTAATAATGAGGCAATAATGAATGTTTTTAAACCTTTTAGGATTAACAGTACATGGTTGAATTTACAGTTGTTTTTTAGTATAAAAAATATGACAGCAGGAATCTATGAGAAAATAACAATGACAGTAGGTGTGTGTCACAGATTTCGCAGCAGTTTTCCAAGAACGTAAGACAATAAAAGAATTCTTAAATTGTATAATACATAGTTGTAGGGACATATAGTAAAAGTTATTGACATTCGAATTTTAACAGGTTTTTGACTCTTCAATTCAAAATTGTTTCAAATAATTAATAATGAAAAAAAAGTAGTTGATCTTATATACTGCCCGATCCAGGTAACAGGTAAAAATTTAATTTTCTTACTCGGCTGATTGCGGGCACCTGATAAAAATTATATATAGTATATCCTTGCCGGTTGCGGGTGTCATGTCGAGTATTATAGTAGTTATTCAAAACTATATAGAAATCATGTTATTTTCTATCGAATAAATATTTTACAAGATATAATTTTTAGTAAATTTACTGTGCAATTATATAAATGTAAGCATGAGTATTTATTTTTATAATTTTTAAGTTTAAGAAAAAAAAAAAAAAAAAGATTTAAAAATGTAGTTTGAAGAAATTTGGAAAAAATTGGTCGACTGTTAGACGTAAGGTTTAGCTATGTAAGCCTATGGTGCCTTTTACTTATTTTGAATTACCATTTATTTAGTTTTAATTTCACAGAGCCTATTTTTTTGATTTTTTTCTTTAAATTAAATTTAAATTTTTAACAACATTTATTATTATAGTTACAGTTAAACGAATTAGATAATTTTTAAAGTAATTTAATAAAATGGTGGTATATTGATTGATGACTTTAAACGCAATTTATGTGCAATAGGAGTTACTTAATTAAAAGTTTTGAACTTTATTGATAGTTGGATTGAAAATTTTTCAGTTGAACTAGCTCGTATTTCGGTTCAAAAATTGCGCGAATAAGCTTTTACAAGAAATTTTTTTTTAAATGTTTTCAAATTATGCTTCTAGTTAAGTTTCGTAAAAATAAAAAAAAATTCGAAAACTTTATGGGTGTGTTTTCCTTATTAATGAAATTTGTTGAATTGATTAATACATTTATCTGTAATTTCAAAATAATTTTTCGTTTAAGCAAACATGAATTATCTTTCCATCAATAGACATCAATAGTTTTTGAATGAAAAGTCCAGTCTTGCTTTCACTGAGAAAAATATACTCATAATTTTTCGAATCTCGAAAAAGTTTTAAATCGGATTCTGTAAGCTTACATCTAGGCTCTGTCGTTTAGTGAAAAAAAAAGTCCTCTTTTTTTTGTTTCTGTTTTTGGGAATAAGAGTTTCCGGTTTAGTTCTCAAAAACAGAACATTTAGCGAGCGTTTATTATTGTTATGATATTGAGATCCATTGATAAAAATCGTGGTAGAGAATAAAAAAAAAATATTGAGAAAGGTCCTTATTTGAGTTAATAAATTTTGTCAAAAATCAGCTGATGGACTCAGATTTCTACTTAAATAAGCATAATTTTAGAGCACAATTAAAGTTTTTTTTGTATTTTCTATTAATGACCTTTAGTGTCAGAGACAGAAAAAAATTTTCTTTTATTTTCCTTAAATCAATTAAAAAATATTATGAAATCAATGCAAGTTAAAAATATGTTTTTTTTATCTATAAAACATTATGTTGTAATATAATTAATTCATTTTTCTTATGTGTGAAATAAAGCTTAACAGTTCAAAATAAATTATCGGTTTTCACTCTGAATTAGTTACTGCTAGAGATACAATATTTTTTTTTTTCATTCATAAAACATCATTTTGTAATATTAATTCATTTTCTGCTCATTTATTTTTTCTATGTGCAAAATAAGGTTTAACAGTTCAAAATAAATTATGGATTTTCACTCCGAGTAAGATATGTTACTGCTGGAGATACAATAAATTTTGTTTTCATTGTGATCAATTGTTTTTTCAATTTTATTTGTTAATAAATCAGTATTAGAGTTATACACTCTTGTAAAATGTATTATACCTAAAACAGTAATTTCATCATTTTGTAATATTATTAATTCCTTTTCTGTTCATTTATTTTTTCTATGTGCAGAATAAGGTTCAACAGTTCGAAATAAATTATGGATTTTCAATCTGAACAAGATATGTTACTGCTGGAGATACAATTAATTTTGTTTTTATTGTGATCAATTGTTTTTTCAATTTTATTTGCTAAAAAATCAGTATTAGAGTTATACACTCTTGTAAAATGCATTATACCTAAAACAGTACTTTTAGCTTAAATGATTTATAAATTAATAAACTTCATGGGTTTCAAAAACAAATATTGTTTTTGAAAAAAAAAGCAGGAGCGAAATTATGAGAAAGTTTATAACCAAAAAGAAATTTGTGTAGTTTAGAAACCAAATAATTATCGATTGCAAACAAAACATTAACCTGGTGAAGTAACAAAGAAAACTTATGCGAGTTAAACCTGGAAGCACTATTTCACCGAAAAGAAATAATAAAGGCCTGAATGACTTCATCCTGAATTTGAAAATAGTACCAGAGTAAAAATAAAAAGGACTATTTCTCACTCTCACATCATAAATTATTTTTAATAAAAAAATCAAAACTATAATTAAATTTAACCAATATAAAGGAAACAGAAAGTTTCGCAAGTGAAATCGAATCGCATGCATGGTTGAAGATCGAATTTTATCACCTCATCAGATGATCCATAAAGGAAAGTACTGATGAGATAAAACTGTTTTATTTTGGTCATTAATAAAAACAACTGTTATATTTTGTTCTCAAATATAATATAAAGTTAAAAGGTTATCACCCTAAAGATCAAAATAGAACAATTGTAAAAACTAATATTTTACTTCTTCACGGCATTCTAATTCTGCCCGTTAATCGTTTTCTTTCGATTTCTCTTCTTCGCTTTCTTTCTTTTATCTGCCTTTTTCAGCAAGAATTCTTTTCAGATAAAAATGTATATGAATTCGTTCAGTAAACTGAAGATTCTCAGATTAGGAACTGTTTGTTTCTATTGAATCTTTATGAAAGAGTATTTATGTTTTTGTTTCGGAAGTTTACAGAAGGACAAGGTAATTGGTCTTAAAATAAACTCTACTCGTCTAAAGAAAGAAGTAAATAAAACAGCTCAACTGAAAAAATACATATATATATATATATATATATATATGATATATATTGAAGCAAAGCATGAAATTTACCACTAAAATGTTTGAAGTGAACTTCATTACATCACACCTTTGGAAAGTGAAATTGTTGCGAGAGTCACACTGGTAATTATATTCTAAAAGAAATATAAGTGTCCATCTTAGATTTAAAAATTAGCTTTATAGTTTGAAGAAAAATTTCATACTTATAATAGAGAANTATATATATATAGATTTTGAATAGAAGTTACGGCGAACTAATTTAATAAACCATTAAAAACAGCATCATTTATGAGCATTAATAATATAATTTAATGCAAAACATAATTTTAAATATCTTTACGTTAAGTAAATATCTGTCAAATATTTTTGGAATTAATAATATGATCGAAAACTTTCAGAATTGCAAAACATTCAGATTTTTACTACATTTCATGGCAAATTTTTAATTAAAATTTGAGTGAAATCATTTGAAAAATTTCTGAGTTATGAAATTTAAAAAAAAGTCGTATTCTTAAATTTTTATTATTTGAGAATTAATCAAAAATACTCATTACTTGAGAATTAATTAAAGTTTGGATTTTGTAATTTAAAATTACTTTGATTAAATTGCTGTTTTCCTGTCAGTTCAAAATTTGTACTTACAATTATTATATTGAATGATTAAAAATAAATAAATATTTTTTTAATCATGAAATAATCATTGGATGAACACAATGAATCTATATCTTTGGATATAATTTAGATCACTATTTAGTAGATAGAGATAATATAAGGATAAGGAAAAATCTTTATATTATTACGCAAAAAAAACTGGAATAAACAATTAGTCAAAACTTCAAAGCTTTGCTGACTAAACTATTGGGAGCATATTTTCCAGATTGCAGCGGTCCTCCCCCTGAATATTTTAAGGATCATATTCGTCGTAAATTTAGAGAAATTACGCTTTTGTGTCAGACTTCATAATTTAAAATATTGTCTACTCAAATCAATTAGTATATTTAAAGTTAGACACTCGAACCACTAGAATTGCATTTAAGTATGTAAAATTCCGATCATATTCGTCCGATCATTTTGCTCTCTGTGAATATTTTAAGGATCATATTCGTCATGAATTTAGAGAAATTACGCTTTTGTGTCAGACTTCATAATTTAAAATATTGTCTGCTCAAATCAATTAGCATATTTAAGGTTAGACACTCGAACCACTAGAATTGCATTTAAGTATGTAAAATTCCGACCATATTCGTCCGATCATTTTGTTCTCTGTGAATATTTTAAGGATCATATTCGTCATAAATTTAGAGAAATTACGCTTTTGTGTCAGACTTCATGATTTAAAATATTGTCTGCTCAAATCAATTAGTATATTTAAAGTTAGACACTTGAACATTAGAATTGCATTGAAGTATGTAAAAATCCCATCACTAAATCAATTTTTTTTCCTTTCAATTTGTGTCTTGTATGTAGTTAACTGAGAAAATTCTTTTAATCGGGAACCTTTGACTCCTGCATGATATTTATTATTTGTTAATTCTTTTATTTGCCGTATAATACACAAATCAGTAATGTAAAACACAAATAATTTAAATTGCAAAACGAGTTTTTTTAATTTTTTAATTCGACTATTATTTAGACTAAGAGTGTGTTAGCAAAAAATTAAAACTAACCCTATATTTTAATTTGAAATAGTAAAACATAATGTCAGACAAAAATATTAAAATTTTGGCTAACACTTTTTTGTAATATTCATTATTTCCTTTTTGGTATTTCTGAAAACAAAATATCAGTTGTTCTATTTCAAAGAAAGCTTTAAAACAGGACATTAAAAACTACTTTTTCGGTGTTTCATTTTAGTACAATTTTATGACCTTTGCACGGTGAACAATAAAACGGCAAATATCGTTCAAGGCCATATTAAAATCATTCAAGAAGCATATTTACGCAACATTCAACGGCAAGTTAAATGTTTGTCTCATCGTTTTATTCCACAGCAGCAGACATCACGACAGCGAAACTGTCATCTCAAAACAGCAAATCATAAAACAGCTTACAAACCATCTGCATAAAATGACCCACGGGACCGAATTATTTCCGGTGAATAGGAAAGAGGACAAGAGCAATTCGAACACGATGTAGGAGTCGACTTTCGCATGTAAACTTCTTCGTAATTAGGACAACGTGGGGTTGGATTATTTCATGAACGGAAAACATCACCTGACAATTCCCGACTTATGAGTTAAGGCGCTTTTGTTTAAACGAAAGTTCGTGTAGAGCGCCTAAAATAAATGTTCGAAAAGGCAACATTTCTAAAACTTCAAAGTCTAAAAAGTCATTGAATTGCGAAAATAAACTAGTAGAAAGAATGGATCGGATCGATTTATGGTGCTTATTTTTAGCATATACTCAGACGTGCTTTTGAATAGAGGTCATAAGATAAAGAAATATAAGTTTTCTGATACCCTTAATATCACCATTACTGTCTTCATGTCGCTCATAGATGGCACAATTTGATGGGCATTAACCGAAAATCATTAAAAATAGTTTAGTTTGAATGCACGATGTGATTTAAAAACAAATGCCTTACCAAATTTAAACAACTCCACCGTTGAAAGACTGTAGAAAGACATAGGTAAAAAATGAAATTCGAGGTATCGGGGGTGTTCCGCAATAACCCCCAATAATGTATAGTTTTTAGTCCTTGTCAAAGTGTAAACAATAGGGACCTCTGTTAAGACAAGGAAAGAGCAAAAAACGCAATAAAAATCAGTAAAATCACTAGTGAAGTAGGTGGTTCCGAAAACTTCAAAACCAGTTTGATTGCCTGGAAACATCTAGAATAGGCGTGTCCTTTTTACCTTTAGTATTACCTTTATTAATTATAATTACCTTTTAACTCCTGCTTTGCCTGGCTATTATACAGGTTTTGATGCTGTCAGTCCCGTTATCCTAAGTTAGTTAGATTTCGATAGCGATTTTATTTTTTCCCCCTGGCTTAATATATTAATTCGGGATCGATAATGTGTTTTAATTTTGGGCGTTAACTCATTATGCAACGCCATGTATCGTTAGTTCAAGAAACAACATCTTGCTACTACAAACTCAGTAATCATCAGTTAATGGCTAAAATGATTTATAGAAAGTCATTTCTAGTTTTGCATTTTAAAAAACTAGTATGACAGAAAATTTGTCGTAAAATACCGAATTTATGAATTCGGAAACTAAATTAAAATTTTTATTATAAAAAATATCAAAGAATTTCAAACTGTAGAAAGGAACACAAAAATAGAATAAGTTTTTTAAAATTAATAAAGAATTTTTAAAAAAAATCCTATTATTAAATAACTGAAGGAATTGACATTCTGAGTTTCTGAATATTCTCAGCTTCAGCTTCTCCTCAGAGTTTAAGCAATTTTTTAAAATAATTGTCAGCAACTGACAAAGAAATAAATTAATCTTCAGGAGAGAACATTTTTTTTTTTTTTAAATATCAAAATAACTTGCATTAATTGCAATGTTGATGAAATGCATTGAATAAAAACATTTTTAATGACTGAGACTCCAATGAGTGTTACGCACGATCATGCGTGTGTATTACAATTGTTGAATGGTTGTTTGTTTTGTATTGTATCAGTGTATGTATATGTATCAAATTTCATTAAAATCGGCCAAGTAGTTCTAGAGATAATCGATAATCTGTAAATTCTCTTAATTTCTTATACCAGTGTATTTGTTTTTAGAGGACTTAAATATGTTCGTAAAATATTTTTTTAAAAATTCATTTGTTTCGCTTTTTGGAACATAACGTGGCCTAACAGTAAGCTTTGAACTCTTTTTTTTATTGGAGAATTCGCTTTAATATTATTCATTCCGACTAAATGTCAAACTTTCTTCTCACACCTTGAATTCAATAAAATGCCACTTTCTTCGCGAGCTAGGAAGTTTATTTTATTGAAATTTTGGCAGGAGAGGTAGGGTTGGATCCTCTTTGGAATAAATTTAAAAAAAAAAATTAAATATGAATGCTGAGAATTTAAATTTCAATAATGTGTAACAAACAAGCATAGTTTATTAAACGATCTTAAAAGAAGTGTTTTAATAATTACATGGGTTNAAAAAAAAAAAAAAAAAAAAAAAAAAAAAAAAAAAAAAAAAAAAAAAAAAAAAAAAAAAAAAAAAAAAAAAAAAAAATATATATATGCACCTTTTAAACACTCAAAAAATATTAAGAACTTTAAAAAAATAACATAATTAGGCAGGTTTAGCAAGTTTTCGACAATTGACGATATTATCTGGCTTTAACCGTCATGCAGAAAAAAAAAATCCTTTAGACATAGCTTTTGACAATTGTCAAAACCTGGGTTTTTGTCTGATTTCGACACTTTTCATCAGGTTTTTGATGTCTTAAGTCAAAACTTAGTTTTCGACGTCAAAGTAATTAGGATAAGCGCACTAATAAAAAAAATTTCTTTTCTCTATTGTTGAAAGTTCTTCACAAAATAACAACACAACAATGTTCTTAACAAAAGGAGCAATAATTTCCAAAGACTTTACATGATCATGATAAAATAACTAGTTTCTGACTAAATGGAAATTTCGAGGTGAAGGACCCTTGGGATTCTTAACTGCTCTGGGGATCCACATGAAAATACGTAATTAGTGAATGATTCCAAGATACTGATCTATAAATAGAATATCGCGAGAAGGCCATTAGCTTGCCAGTGAGTTGATAAGACTAAAGAGCGTCATAAACGATGAAATTAACAAGAGAAAAAAAAAATTTCTATCACTATTAGGGGAAAAAAATATTGACACTATGTTTTGTTGGTCCCCGTAATCAGAGAAAATTCGAGAAATTTTTGGTTCGATTTGAGGGAAGAAAATGAAGTCTGAAATTAAGAATTTCTTGCAAAGTGCAGCAGAGTTGCACGCGAGAGTTCAAAAATCCTTCATATTTAATCCAGATCACTAAACGCACTTGAGGTCCCGCAAGTATTTCATCAAACATATAAAACGAATGGCGTTTTCATGCACTACGGACGGACGGTCCGCCGAAATAGATTGGGGTTGAATTAATAGTGAAAACGTTGAATAGAACAATGTCTTTTTGCATAATTCGTCGCGAAAACATGGTAAAGAAAAAATATCTCACTTTGGAAAAGTAAGAATTGGACTTTTTTAAAACACCCTATGTTACAAAAAGCACCTTTAAGGGCTTTTCAAAAATGAAAATCAAAAGTAAGCACTGCTACGCACCTTCATCAACGTGCAAGAGTGTGCCCCTTGGTTCTGTACAAAATAACACAGTCATGTTTTTTTATTATATTTAATATATTATGTAATATAATGCATCATAATTGTAGCATGTAGTCAACCAAAAAATTTTGATTTTTCATAAATAATAGGACAAATGACTAAATAATGACTAAAACAAACTTTAAATTAAATTTCGTTTCTTGTTTTTAATAAAAATATTTGGAGGAAAAAAAAAGAAATGCTTTAAAAGCAAACTTTATTTACAAGTGACAAACAAATATGGTTCATATGGTTAGTAATCACATTACAATGTACAGAAAAAAGGATAAAGAATATAAGCTAATGAGCATTTAAACATTTTATTGGATTTTACAAAATTCAATTTAAAAAACTTATTTAATAAGAAGAACACGAATTCATTATATTTGAACTGATTCATTTTAGAAATTCTGTACAATCACTTAACTTTTAAGGTACATGGTTTACTTTGTCTTCAGTCTGTAACTAAGCATAATCATATCAAACATATATGAGGCTTAAAGTTGTCCATATATCTAAGCTTTTAAGGCAAGTTCTAAATTATTTTATAAATATTTATTCTAAAAAATTAAAAAAAAGTAACATCATAAATGGGTGAGTTTTGAAACTTCAAGTCAATGAAGAGAGCTCCAAATTACTTTTATTGTAACATTACCTAATTCATTTTGGTTGTAAACATTGGTTTTAAGCAGATTTTTTAAACAGTTGATATCTTATGAAAGAAATATCCCAAGAAAACTGAAGCGGAAAGTATAATTTAAAAAAATTTTTTTCGCTTCATAGCTGAAATGTAAGAAAAGTCGACACCACTACTTTTCTGAATGTGAGAGTCGAGGTAGAAAAAGCACAATCATGGAAGGAAAAATTAAAGACATTTTTGCTTCCAAGTTCACAATGGCATTTTTTTTAAAAATTTCCTTCTATAGGTTAATTTTATGATTCAATTTCTAATTAATGGCAAATTTTTTCAATGGTTTAATTTTACAATACTGTTTTGCTCTATTAAAGTTTTCATCACTCCCATGTAGTCATGCTGAGAAAAGAGCAACACAAGCAGGGAGAAACAAGTCAATATATCTTCTATTTTAACTATGAAGCTAAAAAATTAGCTATGAAGTAAAAAGGTAAGTAGAAGTACATTGAAATAAATCATGCTAAATAATATTAAATATAATCATATTATTCATAAACATGTAAAAAAGTTTCATAGACATGACATTTGATAATCCTTATTATTTTTTTTTAAAAGATTCTTATTTAAATATTTAAAATAAATCATTTAGAAACTTAGAGACTATTCACACTGTATCTGGCTTGAGGGGTCTGCATTAAATGAACTAAACAGATTCATTATCACCCATTACATATTTAATTTGAATTTTTATTTCAATAATAAAAATCTCCAATCTCTTAATTTAAAATGAATTAAACTTTTTCAACTATTTTAATGACTCAGAATCAGCTCCACTGTCACAGAACTTAGGCTATCTTCTATTTTTTTTTTCCAATAAGGAAATAAAATTTTTGTTAAGAATTAAATAATGAAAAAAAAAAATTATGTTAACTAAAACTGTTTTTTTTTTTGGATTAAAATCCTCCTCAAGAAATAAATTACATTTGATCGATCGAGGTTCTATTTTATTATCCAAGAAGGTATCAATTTTTAAAATTATTTTGCAAACAAAATTAACATACACAAAATTAACATCAAAATAAAACAGCATTCCTGATGACTAATAAATTTTAGTAATATCAAAACGATTTTGAAATAAAAATCTTTCTGGTAAAATGCATTAGAAACTTCTCTGAACAAAGCAGATAAATTCTAACTTTTGCAACTAACTGTATTTCAATATTTTTAATCAAAACTTTCTATAACCTCATAATAATAACACATTTTACACAATAGTAAAAAACAGAGTTTTGTTTTTTACTACTCACAACTATATTGGAACTTGACCAGCAGTACATTATTGAAAATATAAATGCATTTAAAAATTTTTGCCCAAAATCAAATTTTAAAAAAATTACATTTGAATTTCAATATCTTAGTACTAGTATGCAAGTACTTTAAATAATTTCAAAAAATTATTCATCTTATTTCTATAATATATTATACATACTATTTCCAAAATTTGCGTTTGCGTTTGTCAGCAAAATTATGATAATCTTTCTTGTTCCTATAATACCAATAATATTTATATTTATACAAAATTTACATTTTTATCACACATTATGTTGTCAGCAAAATAAAGATCTAGCTTGTTTCTATACTAAAATAATACATAGTAACATGAGTAAAATACATAGTAACATATTTGCATTTTATTACATGGGAGTGAGCAAAATAATGATGATCTATTTAACTTTTTTTAAGAGATGTATCAGGAGGGGCTAGAGAAATTTAAAGTTTTGAGAAAAGTAAGGTTTGAAATCTTTTAATACTATCCAATTCCTCCACGATTGCTATTAGTAAAACCAATTGTAATTGCTTAAAAATAATAAATCATTATTAGTACACAATTATGACAATGAAAATGTCAAAATAATACCATTCATGCCCCAGTTTGAATGCTAAGTTTAGCAGGATATACATAAAATTCAAAAATAATATATTACTATTATTTTTAAGCATTAAAAGATGATACAGAATCTATGTTAAAAAAAACATATAAATGAATTACCAAAACTTTTTTTTAAATGTTACATAAATAAGGATTTTCAGTAAATAAATTTATCTAACCTTGGGTGTAGCTGGTTTTTATCTCAAAGCAGGACAGGCATTAGCATGTATTAAAAAAACAACTTAACACAAAAGATATAATTGTTCAAATGCCACAGTATTACCATTTTCAAATAATATAGCCTATTTCATAAACCATGTCAATTAACGAGGACACAATTTATCTAACTTAGCAAAATGAAAGATAAGATTTTGAATATAGAAGGGAAAAAAATTTGTCAAGAAAAAAAAAATCTAACAGTTGGCCATAAAAATTAATCACTTAATACCATAAAAATCATGCCATAATTTTACAACTGGAATTTTCAAAATATAAACTAAAGTGGTATTTGAGAAGAAATCAACCAAATTAATATTTTTAGCCTTTTCATTAAATTCTTACATGACTGGACAGGTTGCACATAAAAGGCAAATATTCAACTTTTTTTCCTCTTTCAAACAAATTTAAAGCTTAATAAATTTCTCTAAACTACTCAAAATAACAATAGCACATTGGAAAAAAAAAGAAGTACTGGATTTTCAGACTTAAATCAAGTCCAGTTTTTTTTTTTTTCCATTTCAAAATTCAAATTAAGAAAACGTTTGAGAAAAAAATCAAATTTACAAAATGTGTAACATTTTTAATCTTTAAATTTATTTTTATGCTATTAGTTTACATAATTGAAGGGAAAAATAATAAAATATACTTCCTTTTAAAGAAAATTAAAAGTTTTTAAAGCTTAATAAATAACTCAAAATCAAAGCTAACAATTGCTTTGTTTTGTACCATGACATGCTAATATAGCAAACCCAATTTGTGATTTTTATACTATCATTTTAATACATTCATAAAGAACACATTGTAAAATAATAAAGAATAAAAATTAAAAACTAACAAAGAAACATTTTTTCACCAGGCCAAGTAACATTTACAGAAGGAGTAGTTGGGAGGAAGGATTTATTTATTTGTACTACTTTTATAAACTAATTATATATATTATATCTGAATTATTATTTTTTTTTTGGTAATAATTTCTTTCACAAAAAATATTTAACACAGCTTCTCTGCATAAAAACACGAGAAGTAAGAATAATCGTAAAATTTTAGAATGAACTTAATATGCAAATTTAAACTACTCAAAAAATCTAAAAGGATTGCCAGGGCGAAATGGAGCACGCGCTCGGCCTCTTCCTTGAGCAAGACTTGATATGCTGGGCCTAGTTACAGTTGACGGTGTAGTAGGTCTGGTTATAGTATGAGACACAACAGTTCCATCAGCTTTAGTGTAGCAGATGGAGTAACCAGATTCCTTTGATGCACTAGGAGTTTCAACACCAATGCTTTTATTGAGTGCCTGTATAGCTAATTGCTTTTCCATCATTTCTTCAGCAGTCTCAACACGCACAGGAAGAGGTGGATTGTTAACAGCTTTCACAACTTTCAGTTTCATTGCCTGCAACTGAGTACGCTCAGGAGCAGTTAACTTAACGAGTGTAGCTGAGGGCGTAGAGTGTGGTTCTTTCTGGTTTGATAGTTGTTCGCTCATGCCGGCAACATCTGATAAAAGTGAAAGGTTACAAGATGGCTGCTCTGTTGATTCACCACTGTTGGGCTCAGTTTTTTTAATTTTATTTAGGAATGAGCCTTTAACGAGCTGAATCATTTTAGCAGGCTGAGCATTTTGGAAAGCAGAATTTGAAACTAAAAGGGTGGCGGCACTAGCGGAGGGCACCGTAATAATTGTTGATTTAGAAGAAGTTGGAGACGTTGCCTGATTACTTGCTAACAAGCTTATACCGCCAGAGTTTTTTAAGACACTTAAAGGTGTAGAAGAAAAAAATTTGCTTTGTGGAAATACTGCTTGTATCATAGGCGCAGGTGAAGAAGTTGTCTCTGAAGTTGTATTTTCTGGGGTAGGTGACGGCACCAGACCGATAGAGTTACTTTTTATACTCTCAGCAATAGAATTCATTATAGGCTGGTCTAAGACTGTAGAAAAAGTTATTTCTTTGGCAGCTACAGGCGTGTCAGAAACATTTGTGGGAAAAGTAACCATACTTTCTGAATGGGATTGGGGCTCTTTGGCTTTAGCTTCTAATTCTGCCAATGCTTCTTCAGTTTCTTCAGCTGAAACTGTGTCCTCTGGCTCGGGTGGCGTTAGAGGACGAGGCAAGAAGCTGCTATCTCTCCCAAAGGCTTTTTCTACATCAACAGGATCATTCTTTTTTGGCAAAATATTTTTAGAAAAAGGTACTTCTTTTGGGGCTGATTTAGGTGCAGGTTCTTCTTCCTCAATAAAGTTTATACTTTGGCTGAAGAAGCTTTCTTTTGAAGGTTGTGGAGTTTTTGGAGTTTGTCGAAGAGGTTTAGATACTTGCCTTTTACGCCAATTGCTTACTGATTGTCTTCTTGGTCTCTTTTCTTTTAATTTTTTTACTAAAATAAAAAAGAGTAAAATGAAAATGCAACGCATACAAATATAAAATTAAATGGATTTTATAAATAAAGAGTATAGTAAATACCAAAATTTGCTATTAGCACCTAAAAAACATTGCCAAAGGCCAATTACATGAATTTCTTCTTACTTAGTCCTCATCGATTTAGATATTAGGTGTTTTACTTTACAGTGGAATCTTAGTAATTTAGGCTCAGTTAGGAAACCTAGATATATAAAATTTAACTTTGTGCCAATAATTTCTATAGTTCCTATTTCTTTCCAATAACATTGTTAGGGATCTATATCTCTTTGGTAAAATAACAATCAATTTGTTTGTAAATTTAATAAATAGATTTTGCATTTTTCCTTCTGAAATATTTGCTGCATATTACTGATTTGATTTTTTACTAATTATCTAGACTATCTCAACTGTAAAAATAATTGCACGCAATTTTATAGATCTTAAACAGAAGAATTAAAAGTAAACACATTAATAATGTAGAAACTTCCTATAAATAAAATTCTAGACATAAATTAGGCAGATAAATTGAGAGTAATTATACATTTATAATATAAGAACCTTATATCAATTGAAATTCTAAGTAAAAATTAAGTAGATAAAGAGAATTATTACATTTTTTGGATGAACGAGATGATTTTTCATGAGCTGAAGCAGAACTTGATGTGTCAGAGCTTGAGGGCGAATTTCTAGTTTTTTGAGAAGTGGGTGCCTAAAACAAAATTAAAGTAAAATTAAAACTTTATTTTAATTTAAAAAATGAATTATTTAATAACGTAACGATAGTATTTTAAGCACGTTAAAATATTTATCAAAAAGATAGCTTAAAAAAAAAAAATTTAGTTCAATAACATTACAGATAACGGATGTCCCAAAAAATTTGACGGAATCTGAAAACCTACTGGTGCCTAAAAAATGACTGATGGATTTTGAAAATCAATTAAAATGGAACACAACAAGAAGGTATGGTTTGCAGCCTAATGCTTGGGATACTTAGAAATTTCATCCCATCAGATTGCATATTTAGTCAACTTCCTGTCAATAGGTGGCGCTGCAGACATGCAAGAACTGTAGAGAAAATGAATTCGTGACATCCCTAGATGACATACAATTAGTTAGGGAACACACATGAAGGATTTTGATGATGATTTGCAAATGATAAATATTCAGTGAATATTTATCATTTTGAAGTATCACCCTCTCAAACCACATCTGTGTACACAAGAGGAGCAATTTTCAAACCAAGTCTTCATTTTCTATAGCACCCTATTGGCGGAAAGTTTAACTATATGTGCAATTTGGTGGGATGAAATTTCCTAATTTCTCAAGCATAATGCCGCAAACCATACATTTTAATGGTATTATGTTGTTTTTATTGAATCCATCAAACCCCAACCCATCAGTCATTTTTGAGACACTCAGTATTAGCATGGAATAACATATCATAGATATGCAGATTAATTACTTCAATTAAAATACGCAATCAAATACAAAAACAAGTTTTTCTGAATAAATAATTTTGTCTTAACAGAAGAAGATTCCAAACTTTAAAAGTATTAAAATTTTTAAGTTGTCACAAAAATAAAATAATTTCAAAATAATGATAATTTAAAACAAAAAAAAGCAGTAACTTTTCGAAGAAATATTTATCACTTTTCAAATATTTGTAAAATCCACAAAGCTTGATAATTGTTTATTACCATCCTCAGAACTGATTATTATAGATATATTTACACACATTAAATAATGAAAAGTCATAAATGTTATTAAGATGTGTACCTTGTGCGGAAAGCCGAAGGACAAATTGGATAAATTCCTTTTATTTTTCCAGTATTAAAATATCAACAATAATCATTCTAGAACATTTTAATGTGAGAATAAATTTACAGATTATTGGAAACATCAAATTCTTAGTAATTATTTATATATCATTTAAAAATTTTAAATAATTACTTTTTAATACTATGTTTCCTAATAGAATGACTAATTCCTTAACAGGTTTTAAAACCTTGTTAACACTGTTATTGTCCATATTTAAAAATTTAGAGAACACTAATACTTTTATAAGTGTAGAATTCAATAAATGTTTTTGAGTTTGTATGGAGAAAATAAAGATTTCAACTTTAAATATTATGAGCAAAACACAGGGTTGTAACAAAGATGCAAGCCAACATTATCTGAAATATGATTGAAATGCTCTTGTCTATAATTGTAATTAACAGTAAATTAAGGAGAATATATGTATTAATACTTTAAAGAACTTTTATAATGCAAACAGTATAAGGTATCAACAATTGTTGTAATAGATATGGGAGTTTACCTACGTAGCCTCACCATATTTGAATCATGTAAGAAATTGAAAACATAAAGGGGAGTGTTAAAGGTATTATGGATCATGTTAAAAAAAATAAATATGCTTATATTATAAATACATCGTAATAAATTTCAGTTTTAAAATAATACAAAAGTTACATGCTTTATCAATAGCCCATATAAATGTCTTTATGCCATCATAATATTATACTATCATTTGTTAATTACTGAAAAGTTTTATCAATTTGAAGCTTAGTGTATATATCACTTTTCCTTAATTAATTCAACTATATTTTTAACTTAACAATATTCAGTATTATTCTCCTCAGATATGTGGTATTTATCTATGCCTGTGAATTATATCAATTCATTTTAATTTGTGGGTCGCAATCCTAAATGAGATATTTCTGAACCAATATGAGATATTGGTTCAGAAAAATCTTTACTGAGTTTGGATAATTTTCATATTTAACATATAATCTCTATGTATATTACATACCAAATACCTATATACATTCATGTCAGTTCGATTATGATAAACTTTTCTGATTGAAAATATGTTCTAGGTAAAAAGAAAAGTCTAAGAAATCATACAACACCAGCTGATAATAAAAGAAACGTACAATCAGACTAATAAAAAAAAATTCATAACCAGATGGAAAAAGTATACAAATCAATGTATACCTTTTTAAGACAATAAGTTCATACATTCGATAAGATTAACATATTACATAATTTTCTGCTAAGAGTAAAATATTCTCTTCATATTTAGGTAAAAAAATAATAATCACCTTAAGTTTAAAAATAATAATAACCTTAATTTTAAACTGAATTGTTTAATACCAAGTTGTAAACTATAAAAACTTCTTGATCAAAACATTAACGTAGAATTACGAATGGAAATGGAATGAAAAATGATTTTAATTGACTAAGGAAAAAAAATTTTTTTAACATTGTATTTAATATAAGGTATATATTTTTCAATTACAATAAATATAATATACAGATATATTATATCTAGGTATAATATAATATATTATATATTTTTAAACTGAATTCAGTTTTATGTCTTAATATGTGTAAAAAATATATATGTTTCATTAACAATGTAAATAGAATTGAATCACTTTGTAATAGGAGTAATACATTATTTATTGTAGATACTTTATCGGTTTATAACTTCAAACAGTTTTTAAGCCAACTATTCAACATGCAAGTTAGAAACATGTCAGGCCACGATGAAAGATTTGTAATATTTTAAATATCATTTTAAGTATTTGCAATATTTTTTCAAAAAATTCTTATAATAATTATTAATTAAATATCAAAAGATTAAATTATTTTAATTAACTTGATAATGAATAAACTTAAAATACAAATCAAAGAAATTTGTTTAAAAATAAAGTTTTTTATTTATTTAGACCATCAAAAAAGTCCCTTAAAGAAAGAAAAATTTAATTCTTGCAATAGTTATAACATTTACAAAAAAGAAAAGGAAAAAAAAAGAACTTGAAAAGGAAACAAAATGAAAAATAATACAAAAGAAAATAAAAACTTTATTGATAATAACAAAAATATAACAAAAATATTTTACAAATTAACACCTTTACTTATAAATTTATATCAAATAAATAAAAAATAATTAGTATTTCAAAACAGTATTCAACGGCTACTTTGAACATACAAAAATAAATATAAAATTAGCAAAATGAAACAAAAATATCACAGCCAGAGCTATTTAAAAAATATTTCAGTTGGCAAATCATATAAGATTTGCACAACAATCTCACTCATTTTTAAATCTTTCCAAAAAATATATATACAACTGATAGTCACAATATTATTATTTTTTCTTTTTTACAAAGTTCAAACCTGTTTTGAAACATGATGCCTGGGTCGCTTCCGAACAGGAGATAGTTCAGGAGAATACTCTCTGGGTTTCCTTCTTTTCCTTTTACCTTCATCTTCAGGTTTCCATTCAACATCAATCTCATCAGGTTCTTCTTCCATAATGGGTGTGCAAGCTTTAGTAGAGGTAATAGCTGAAGTCGAAGGCATTTTCACAACAATGGACATCAAAAATTCACTAACTTCATCCTAGTCATAAATAAATATAGCTAAATCTTTGATGCATAATTACTTACTGAAATAAATTTATATATTAAATTAATATTATAGTTTAAATAATAAAAATTCGTTCAAATTTCCCTGAATAATCTTTTTGAGTCGATCAGTGAAGTTAACTGTTTAATCCTTGTTAATGAGGCAAATTTTCGCATAATTTTCTGATAATAAATTGAGTCATTGTAGAAATTAATACAAATATAAAAATACTCAAGTTGATTCTAAAATCAATATTTATTAAATAAGAAATAAGTAATGGAATGTTGGTATGGAATATTTATTGCCTATTGATAGCAATAAGATCAACAAACTAAATAATTTGATATATTAAAAATTTAACTATCAAAATGTATTAAAAGTATAAGGCTATATATCATACAGAAGATTTAAAATCACATTTAAAATAGGCAATGGATCAAACTCCAAATGCTAGAAGTCGGCTTTATGAATCCGACATAATTGGTAGCTCATTTTGATTTCAAAAAAGTGCTTTTCAAGAAAAAACCATTGTAAAGATGCATAATTAAGTTATAAAAAAATATATTACAATATTTCACTTCATATTATTCATAATTACCAATATGCAACGATCAACCATTGTTTGAGTCACACACTCCTGTTTTAACTTTGCAGGGCACATTCTAAGCATATCATCAGCACCTCCTACAACAACTAAACCAGTCTCTGCTTTCATTCGTGATCTAAAATCTTCAATGTCATCAGTAGAACACATGCTTGCACACTGTCCAACAATAAAAAGTGTTGGTACTTGATTATCCAGGAGAGGATCATTCAAATCCTGAATAATGGAAAAACAATTCATTTTTTTAGAAGCATAATTATGTTATAAACCAATTTCTCCCCAACTTAAAAGAATAAATAAAATGGCTTTTAAAGCATGATTCAAATTCTGATAAGTCAAAAATAAATAAATAAATTTTTAAAAAAAAATATTTATATATTTTAGACTTAAAAAAATCCCAAATGATAATATATAATATTAAAAAATGTTATATGCTGCTATTTCAGTTAACTTAACCTTACATTTTGTCTTGGCACCCAAAAATTAAATGACTTAGAAACTTGAAATTGAGAAGATGTGTAGAAAATGTTCATCGTGAAATAGGATGTAGTAAAAAAAAGTTAGTAATAACGTGTGTTCTTAATGGCTTAGGGAAAAAGGTTTAAAAAGTAAAACAAAAGATTAAATAATTAATTTAGAATGAACCATTAAGAATTAATTTAGAAGAAACAATTACAAATTACTAGAATAACAATATCCTGTAAACGGATACGTATCATCTTAAATCGAAAAATGGCCAAAAGTATAGTTTAAATAGATTTGCGTTGTCTCAATAACCTGAAAGAAAAATAAATAGCTGAAAAGGAATGGATTGCCTAGAGTTAAAAAATACATGAGACAGATAAAACAAATACTGAAATGTTAAAACTCACCATGTTTATTCTCACTAAATTGCTAGTTAAATACTAAAAAAATTGCAAATTGTAAAATCATCAACAAAAATATCGCCACACAGGCCATCACTTGAAGAATCAAATTTACACAAAATAAGATGAGAAAGGATTATCTTCTCACAAAAAGGTTGTCGGCATCTTAAAAATCTTACAACAGGACAGCACGCCTCCCTGATGCACCGAACGTACATCAGGAGGCCCAAAATCAACTTCGAATGAATGTTCTAAAAACAGGGGGAAAAGAAAAGAATCCCTCACTTCCACGCTGCCATTACTTTTTGTTGAATACTGTTGCACTTCGGGAACTCAGCTGACAGGTGTCGCTGCGGGAAAAGTTCAGCCTAATCCCATGGCGTTTCAAAAGCTGCTCCTCGAGATAATCTGCTCCTATAGGATCAGTCCATGCAATTTCTTCCTTGTACAAAGCAATACTTAAAGTCTTATATTTTTGCAACCTATGTCTTTTCTTAAAGACATGAAAATTGTTAAACAGTGTTTAACAGTTAGCAGTTGATAACTGGATACTTGCAAGCAAGGTCACGAGTGGGTCAGCTAATCAGGTTCAACCCACACACATATGAACTTGCTGGCAGGTATCCAATTAAATCTGATTCGAAAATTGATTGAGCTTAATAATAATCCCAAGACTTAAGGGTGTAATGTTAACACGCCATGCACAATCACATGATTAGACACAACCATATGATTAGTTGCAAGTACCCACTACAAGTTTAACAACTCAAACTTATAGTAACATAATAAGTTACTATAAGTTTAACAGTTTGTAATTCTTAAACTAATGTTTAAGAATTACAAACTGTTAAACTCATAGTAACTGTTAAACTCATAGAAATGTAACTACAGAATTGAAATTTAATGTTCCGGTAAAGGGGTCATTTTTGTTTATAAATTTAGCACCAAGTTTTTATTCTTTTTTTTTTTTCCCTTTGTTTGAAAGTTTTTGAACATTTTCTCACTTATTTTGCTTTAAATAATGACTATTTAGTCATCATTGTAGGAATATTTATCCAAATTTTTNGCACCAAGTTTTTATTCTTTTTTTTTTTCAAATTTTTTTTTTCCCTTTGTTTGAAAGTTTTTGAACATTTTCTCACTTATTTTGCTTTAAATAATGACTATTTAGTCATCTTTGTAGGAATATTTATCCACATTTTTCAAAATCTTTCTGAGTTCACACTTACGTTAAGGTAAAAAAAAAAAATTCTTAAAAAAAATAAAGAAAGAGATTAGATGTTTCCTGACATAAATAGTAATATTTATGTTGAGATTTTTTAAACAATTTCAACATAATTTGTTGTTTTTCATAATTTTTATCAGGCTAATTTTGATCAGGCGGATATGAAAAACTTAATTTGATATTTAAAGAAAAAAAAACTATCCTATTTGAAATGTTATAATGATGTAATTCTTGTTAGCAAGTAAAATGCTTCTAAATTAAAAATAATTTCCACTAAAATAGATAAATTTTTCGATATTGTATAAAAAATGATAATGAACACACTTTTACTGCATAAAATAAATTTTAAAAAATAAAAAAAATAGAATACTTAATTATAAAAAACTAAGAAAAATTAGACTTACCCCACGAGAACCATTAACTCCAGTTAATGGAAAACCTAAAGAGATAACAGCATCAACTGGAGCTTGAAGAGCAATCTAATAAAAATAGTTTAAAAATTCACTGCAATAGTTAAAAAAGTCATTATAATTTAAAACATTTGTTAACTTATTTTTAATCAATATACAGTATAGTATATTTTTAAATATACTATACTATGCTTTAAATATACTATGCTGTACATATTCTTATAAGTTCATTCATCATTTAAATTTTTCCAAAGAATAATTGCCATAGATGATTTTGAATCAATTGTAATTGATTATTTATTTTCTAAGCTTATAACGATTTTTTTTTCAGGTTTTAAGTTAAATAAATATTCTTATCTTTTGTTTAGGCACTAAATATATATAATTTAAATGTTAAGAAATGGATCACAATCATTTATATAAATAATAAAAAAAGGTCAGCATACATACATGACATGCAATCAATCCTCCTATAGTCCACCCCAAGAGTATCAAAGGTCTGTTAGGATAGTGATTCTTTAACTAAATAAAACACGAAACAAATAAAACTGCTGATTTTTAATATAATTCTATATACTTTGCATTAGAATAAGTTGTAAAATTTATATAAAGAAAGAAACAGAAAAATCAATTTCATGATAGCTTTATAAATAAGGGGAAAAGAAATGCATAATTAAAATAAGATAAACTCTCTCAATTTCTTCTGAAGTTATTACTTCAAAAATTAAATTGGAACATGGAAACTTGGATAAATGACAGGGCTCAAAAAACCGCCCATCCTCGGCGGTCAAAAATTCCTCGGGGACAACAAATTTCTCGAATCCAACGCCCGCGCGGACGGCCATTTGTCCGTTAATGTTCGTGACACACTTTCAATCTTTTTTATCTTACAAGAGTCTAGCGCCTCACTTCTAAAATGACCCTTTAATCTAGAAATACAGCAACATACAGTGCATGGTGGAATTAATGTTTTCTCTGTCTGGGAGCACTGCAGCGGTTGAAAGAGGCTTTTCAGCAATGAACTTACAAAAAAACACATTACATACTGGTCTTAAACAAGAGTTAAACGGAATTATGAACATCTACCTAAATGGAAAACCCCTTTCAGATTTCTGTGTGGAAGCCTCTGAAAATCATTGGCTTGATTGCGGAACTGGCAAACGTCATATTTGATTCATTTAAATAACGTAGAACCATTGAATAAATTGACATTCCAGGTAACTTGATCTTTGTCATTTAAATTATTTCCTAAAAGAAATAAATTATTTCATAAAAGAAATACTAGGTTTTGCTATTAGTAACCTAGTATTTCTTTTATTACTGTATAATGTAATCCTAGTATTTGTAATCCTAGTAACTACTAAATGTTAGTAATAAATGAGAGAAAATTATATTTTTATTTAGTTAGAAGCTACAGGTTAGTTTCAAAGGAGGACGGGTACATTGTTGGACAAGCCGTCCTCGGGGACGGGTAAAATGTCTGAGTTTTTTCGAACCCTGATAAATGATATTTATTCATTCATTTTAACTATATTATGGCAAATAAGGGTAAGTTTAAGAAAAAAGCTGTCATATTTTCATTCGCAGCATCAATCATTATTTAAGCAATTTTATGTTCCTAATTTCACTTTTTGAAATGGCAATCTTTATACTTTCGTTATCCTCTCCTGGCAAACAACGGGCATCATTTTTTTCCTCCAATTTATTTATTTTCAATTGTAGACAACTCAGTTAATTTTGCCCCCATTTCAATATTTATAAATACTGTGAATACGAATCGCAATGTGTGATTCTTAAATTGCTAAAATAAGATATGCGATGTGTATCACTTAATCATCGTGTGTAATTAATGAGTGGGTAATCACATAAATAAGAATTGAAGTAAATGATTTTTAAATAGACTGAAAACAAATCACGATGAACATCAAAGTTGAACATAAAATGTGGTTGCTGTGGGGATGCATTATGCGCGAGTGCCTGCTTTTGAACCAATATATATATTAGAATTACATTGGATAGAAAAATAAAGAAAGTGTTGCACAAATTTCTTGTTGAGGTCTTTTGATTTAAAAAAATGGAGAAAATCATCTAACTACAGAAAATTGGGAGAGAATAGCAAAATAAGGAAGTTTCTCCATAAAAATAAGAGTTGGCATGTATGAAATTATAAGGAAGGAAGAGAGAAAGGAGATTTTATCTATTTCTCTTACATGTAGTGCTTTTAAGGCACCAGAACAAAGATAATTGCTGCCAACAATGGAAGAAGACTATTACCATACTTGGCACACTGCGAAGAAGTGGTACACATTTCTTTATCTATTTTGTTTTTGTTTGAACAAAATTTCTTTTTTTTTCTCTAAATTTAGCATGATTTAAATTTAAAACAATTATTGTAAAATATTCCCTTCTTTGTAAAATATTCCAGATGTAAATTCAGCAGTGGGATATTTAGTTTTTTTGATCAACAATTTTATAAGGTTTTGGATCAGTCAAACAATTTATTTTTTAATTCTGAAACTGTTTAAAACAATGATTATGCTTTTTTTATACATTCAACCATTTCTAATTAGCTCAATTTAATAAACAAATCTTCGCAAGAATCATTTTGTGGAGAAGATTGGTTTTATGCTGGAATACATTATCTCATCCTTCAAGCTAATTTTTTTTCTTTTGGGGCATTTTTCTATGAAAACGCCTATTTAGATATGGGAAAAGATAGCTTAGATAGATTCATGAAACAACTCCTTTATTGAAAATTATATATTCATTTCATGCTATACACTACAGATATTCTATTTAAACTTTTTGTCAGTAAATATACTTTTTTATGTGTGAAATGTGTTGTAACATTATTAAAACATCAAGAGTAATAATGCCTGCTAAATAATTTGTAAAATATTTTATATTTAAGAACTGAACCACATTTATGTCAGACTTTTCAAAAACATTGATGTTGTCCTATACAGAAGAAAACAAAGCTATTTTATTTACCAAGCAAATTTAGAATATCAATGTTAGTAACTGTCTATCATTTATGCAAAATCTATAAAATTTACAGAGTTTATAATATTTAGGTAATTTAAATAGTAGTTAGGTAATTCAGAAGATCAAACTACACAAAATGTCCTATTTATTTTTATATCAACAAAAATTTTTTATCAAAATCAATTGACACTTTATGTTTCACAAATAAAAAACTAAATTTTTGAAAGTGTATCGATAAAATCATTTTTTATTGCTTTCTACACTAGCATAATAAAACATGTACAAATAGTCTAATTAGGTCTATCTAATGAAATAACATTTAATTTTATAAAGTAGAAGAGAATTAAGTAATTAAAATAACAACATTCTTTTTCCACAGGATGTTTGGATCAATAATTATAAAAGGTGCAGGTTTAAATATTTGATCAATTAGTTGTATATGTTTAATATATGATTAAAATATACATAGTTCTAAGAAATACAGTATTTTTACAAAATTATCATTATATTTCTTTTCATTATTAATTTTGATTGAGTTATATTTATGCTAAAAAATTTACTAGAATTTTAAAAGAAAACTATATGCTAAAAAAAGGATATGCTTGCACCATAACAATACAAAAATATTCACACAATACCAAAATAAATGTTTGGATAACATATTTGATAAAATAAAAAAGTTCTGACAAAATGGGAATCATCTTATTTAAGCATTCATTAACTTATTATTGAAAGGAATACAAAATAAAACTATAAAAATTCCAAGGTACCTCAGTAACTTTATTTTTAACAGAAGACATAATTTGATCCAAGCAATCCTCAAGTGTACCAGGTACTTCTTCATCTAAAGTCACAGGGATATTCATTACTTTACACATTGAACTAAGGTTACTATGCCAAAACCTTAACCTTGGAGAACGAGAATTAATGGTTTGCTGATTAGGTGAACTTGGGCAAATTAAGATAATGGCATTTCCAGGTAGTTTTTTCTGCAAATAAATAATTAAGGTCAAGATAAATATAAGAAAATCTTATGACAAATTATTCAATATCTTTTTTTAAAAAATCCTCTACTTCTGATTTCAAAAGGAAGTTATTATTTATGATTTGGAAGGAAAAAAAAAACCAATAAACCGTTTTTTCTTTTTATTAATAAAAATAGTTTTAAATTTAATAACAAAATATTAATAACTTTTTGCCCATAAAAGTAATAAAGCATAATCACTACACCTATTCGAAAAATATTGTTGAATTTTTTTTTTGTATAAATATGTAGTAAATTATTAATAACATGTAAGTTTAAATACTTAACTATAAATTTACTGTTTATATAATTAGCAATTTATATTTAATGATCATTGAGTTTTAATTACAAAAATGTCGCACTTGCTAGGCATCTTAATGTAAATTTTTTGTATGAGACAGTTATATCATAATTAACAGCAACTTGTATGAATTTACTAACTGGTTTGTGTTGACTCAAAACAGGAAGAACTGGATCCCATGGTTTTTTCAAATATTGAATAACAGTATCATTTGCAGCAAATCCAGTACAAGCTTGAAGAATTCTATCCACTAATAAAGGAACCTAGAAGAAAATACAAAAACTATATAAAAATATACTAAGTTACTATGTCAGGGGTAATTGTGAGACGAATTAAAAAATTCTGAAAATTTTGCATGCATAAAGTCAATATCAAATTATCTACCATAGATGTTTAAAATAATTTTTTAGGCTACGATTTTTAATTAAATTATCTATCAATAAAAAATATCACACCTTTAAAAAACTAATTTAAGAAAATATGAACTGGAATATTGGAATATTTAAAAACGTTTGAGCACAAATCGAAATATTTAAGTTTTAAATCGTGTAAATATGAGTTGTAATGTGTGCTTCTTAAACAATGTGTAACTTTTATATCAGGTAAATACGAAAACCAATGTTTGATATTAAAATTGTGTGAATATAAATCGAGATAGTAATGGATTCTGGCACGGTTTCAAAAACTCAAAATATCGAAAATCTGTCCAACCAAAAGGATCAAATTAGCGGCGGAATCACATGTATGTAAACAAGATTTAGTCACAATGTAAATTTTTGGATTGCAGAACTACATCAACAATTCGTCAGATTATGAGTTTTTGATTTACGGAAGCTCACGAACCAGTGGACTTGAGATATGCAAAAACTCACGTGCTCTCTACTTTTCAGTCTCAGAAAAGTAGTATAAAAAAAATTTTAAAAAAAAAAAAAACAGAATTCTGGGTATACTCAAAATACAATCACTCCTGCTATGTACAATAATTAGTTATTCAATTAGTTTTATGTCATGAAAAAAATTAACAAAAAAGAAATGAACATGAAAACTTACTTTTGCTCTTAATGTTTGTAGAATTTCCACATAAGATATCATTATGGAAACATCAGAGCTGAGTAGTTTTTTATGAAGCCATGACAAAAGTTCAATATTCTAGGGAAAGAAAAGATAGAAAAAAAATTAACAATATATAACATTACATCACAATGAGATTTTATTTTTAGAGAACTGAAGAAAATAAGATTATCTATGACAATGATCTAGATTTGTTATTATAAATTTAAAAATAAAATAAAAATATGTAAGAAAAGCAAAACAAATATGCATATTTTGTTAGTGATGCATGCTAGGTTTTTACTAAAAATACTAATATTACTGCATACTAATATCATAAAACATTTGTACACAAGGAAAACTGTACTTAGAAAATTTACATCATTTAAAAAAATTTCTTTTGTACTTACAACCCTTAATTGTTACAAAACTGAGTTATAGTTTCCATAAACAGTCAACTCACAAAGCATTCAGATTGGCTTTAATTTTATTTTAACAACTGAGTGCAATTTTAACAGAATACATAACAGCTTAGAGAATTTTCCAAAAAAAAAATTTTTTTTTCTTGCTGGGTAACTTATCAATTTAGGGGTTCAGCAATTTAATTCTAGACAAAAAGAGATAAACCTACAACAAAGACAAATGATCAGCTAAGTGAGATCAGGTTAAAAAGGTTACCTTTCTTTTATTAGGTAGAATATAATCAAATCTGGTTAATAGATAGAGACAGTTGGCCAACTTTATAATCTTTACTGTACTAATATTTCGGACACATCTACAGGGGTCTGTCCAGGCCGAATTCACTACTGTTTAGCGGTATTCAATTTTGGATAAAACGATAGTTTCACAAATTCAACTTTAAGAAAAACAGTAGTTTCACAAAATACTTTTTCTTAAAATTTTATTTCTGTATCCCTTAAGAAACGATAAATCTATATTTTTACCATGTTTTTGTGTTGATTTTTTAATATAATTTTTAATTTTTCACAAATTATGTGAAAATTTTCATAAAATAGGTTCCTTTCAGAAAAACCTAGACAGACCCCTGATCTATACACTAATTATTATTTTGTTTTCGATGATTCAAAGTGCAACAAAGGGAAATAATTATTACAAAGCACATTCTGAAGCAAATATTCATAATTTCATTAAATACAAAAGCGAACATCAGAAGTGCCTGTGCTGTCATGCTAAATGATCAAGTTATAAAAGTTTGCTTTCTGCTATTAAGTAAAATACAATCACTTCTGGATAACAGAAAGCAACTTAGACAGGTGGTCAACTTTACACTGAATTAGTGTTTTAGACATTTAGACATATACATCTACCAATAATCTAGATTTGATTTTTTTTTTTTTTTTTTTTTGATGGCCTAAAGTGTAATAGAACTACATAGAAATTAAAGAATAAATTTTAAAATTCTATTTGTTATGAACTGTTTGCTAAGGTGGAGCAAAGTGGGTATATGGTTATGCAAGTGTTGTATGATAGGGATAATATTATTTTTTTTTATATTCCGGTAACAACTTTAGAAAACACATCATACTCTATATTTTATAATGAAACAGCTAACAAAAATAATTTTATTGTTTGATTATAGGTCCTACATAGTAATTTTAACGCTGAAAGCGACATTTCCTTTTTTAAAGAGTAAGTGATATGGGGAAATAGCAATATAACAGACATAGCATACAATTAAAAAAATTATCAAAATAGCATAATGGTACAAATTAGTAAGCATAAAGATATCAATGAGTTTTCAAGCAAGTTTCTGCCTTCATTGGCAGATATTTTTTATGAAAAATTAAATGGTGTCATTAAAACAACTAAATTGAATAAAATACACGTGTGTAATAAAAGTAAAAATACTTTAAATTATCACTATAGATAATAATTTTTACATTCTCATTTACATTTCAAATAAACCAAAAACTAATATGGTTTTCTTGCCTTTTGTTGAAATTGTGTAGAGTTCCGGAAAATATACTGCATCTGAAGTGAAACCTAATTTTGACAGTCACGAGCATTATCTCATTAATTTATTAATACTAAGAAGAAGGGGAAAAAAAACAATTTTTCAGCATTAATTTCTTTTAAATTTAATCAAGATACATTTAATTAAGAGCATTTTTATTTCTAAAATAATTCCATATGTTTTATGTGATACATTACACTAATTTTAGAACTATAAAAACATGCTCTTTGAATGCATTACTGTAAGAAGAACAAAAATAGATATGTCATGCTTCATATTTAATCTATATAAATCCAATATATATAAAATGCTTTAGAGTTTTCAGTAAAACAAATTTTATGGCTTAGTTTTAGAGTCTTCTTTAAAAAAAAAGGCTTACGTCAGGTATGATACATCTGAAGTATTCATGCTAAGTGATCATGTTAAAAAGGTTTGCTTTCTTTTATTAGGGAAAATATAATCAGTTCTTCGTAATAGAAGACACCTTAGGCAGGTTGTTAACTTTTCACTGCACTAATATTTCGGACACATGCATCTATCAATTACTTCGATTTTTTGTTCTTAATTACCCGAAGTGTAACTAAGAGAAGTAATCATTACAAAACATATTCTGAAGTATATATTCCTAAATTCAATAAATACAAAAGCTTGTATCAGAAAGTATGATATATCTAGGTGTTTATGATATATTGTCTGTTTAATTATATTCCAAGTAATTCTAATGAAGGTAAAATAAAGCAAAGACTATGTTTTTTAGAAATAAGTCTGCCTGAAATGTTTATATATTAACATTCTTTGTACCAAACAAATTTAACATATTCTGCAAAATAAATGATAGTTCAGAACAGTAAAATACATTATAATAAATAGGAGAAAAAAAAGTTTTTTTCTCTGTAGTCAGATTTAGCAAGTTTTTTCGAGAATTTTTAAAATAATTGGAGGTGGAAACTGACTAATAAAAGTGATAACAATAATAAGTAATAATTAAGATATAAGGAATAATATGTCTTCCAGCGCACCTGTTATAAAATGAAATAATATGGTTATACAGAACCTAATATCAATTCATCAGATGGCAAGGCATTTTCTCCTAACTGTAAGACAATGAGATATTTGAAAATAACAATAATTAATCCCAATATTTAGACAAGTGCCACAATTGAAACAAATTTCTCCAGGCATCACTTTTTTAAAAAAAAATTTAAGATATGTAATCAAATTAAACGAAATTTTTAAAAAATCTGAAAATGCTTTAGTAACAGTTGCTATACTAACCCAAAATACCATTCCAAACATCTGTCTCAATTGTCTTGATGTTTTATCCGTAGCAATCCTTCGTTTTAGTGGTTCATCTACTGTTCCTCTAAATGTTAGTTTAGCTAGTCTATCTGAATTCACAATGCTAATAACTTGCTGATACAGTTTCTTTTGATGAGGATCACAGCTATCCCTAGAAAATTTCGAAATATATTAGCAGGAGAATAAATTTTTTAAATGGTACGAACAAATATATTAAATGTCATGAAACATCTGAATGAATTCAAAGTTTTACAATTTAAACGATAGTAAAAAGCAAAATCCAAATGGTAGCATAAAATTCATGTCATTATCAATCCAAAAGTACAAATGTGGGTAAGAATTACCAACAGTCAAGAACTGATAATCCAAGAACCCATAGTCCAGCAGCACCTACAGTTTAGCACTAGAAGGATGTCTGTTGAGAAGAGAGAAAGAAAAAAAATTTCTTTGTTCTGATTGATGAGGACATCAGCGCCACATGATCAGTATGTGGTGTTTTGATTCAGTTCCCTTATTGACAGATTGTTCTTGGGAGTGAATGGTTAGGTGAAGCGCATCAGTCGAGAAGTAAGAAATAGGAGGGAAAAACAGTCTCATTGCTCTTATAAATATATTCATAAGGTTATTATGAGTATCATATAATCGGCACAATATGTTTTACTTCCATTCCCTCTCCAACAGAATTCTCTGGAGTTGATTGGTGGGTGAAGCCCATTAGTTAAGAATGGAAAAAATTTCTTGCCGTTCTTATTGATGGGGTGAACAGCATCACATGATTCTTTATCTTCTTCTATAAATTTCTTTCATTTTAATATAATTTTGCTTTTGGCTCTCACAAAAATATAACTTTTTATTTGTTGGAACATTACAATTTTAGAAAGGACAGAATTTTGTGAAAGAATAGTTATCAGAGTTTAGAATTTTGTGAAGAAACTGCAGTTCAGTCAAATTTTAGGAAGTATACATTATATTTTAAAGACGGGCTTGTAAAATTGTCAAGTTATTTTTCTAAAGTCTTGAAATATTATTATGAACATTAGCTCCAAGAGAATACAGAAGAGAAAAAATCAAACTTGACACACACACTAAAATAAAAATAATATGTGGAAAAAAAATTTTTAGAAAGAAATTTTTAATCATACAATGTCAACACGCAGAGTTAATTCTAGGTGGGGTTTGCAGGACGGGGCGACCCATTTGCCCTTTGAATAAAAACATTTTGATATACGTGCCCAAAGAATCTGAACACGCACCCTGACATACTAAAACGGGTGGTGGAACAGCCTATTAGCACCGATCTTCTGGTGAATACACGTGGTTTCCTAATTATTTTTTCGGCAGAAATAAGTTTCGTTTTGGCCTTAATTAATAAAATTTCCTGACCATTTATCGACGATTTTTCAAATTCCGATATATTTAATACATTATTACAACTTGCATATTTTGAACTTGAGAGTTATCACTTTTTTGATTTACAGTGCTCGATTTGTGACAATTCCATCGTAATTTCACGACGTTTGATGATAATTTTTTTGGAAGCTATTTATAATTTTTTCGCCCATTTTCACATGGTTTATTAAATTTTATATTTATAATACTATGTTATTACGTCCGTCAAAATTGCAACTAGCAGTGTTTTCACTACAGCACGAGAATCTCGCATATTTTTTTATTTTCTCGCATTAAAAAATGATTACTGCGAGAAATTCGCGCATTCTATAAATCAATTTCAAAATTCGCGAATTTCTTGCATTTTGGAAAAAGCTTCGAATTACGCCATTTTGAACAAAATCCGTTTCACTTTTCTTCCTGGATCTTTCATTATTTTCAACATCTGCCCCATTATCTAGCTTCCCTATTTACCAGTATTGTTCAGAACCTTTTCGAACAACAGAACACAACCACGGAACCCCTTTCAGAACACATTTCTCTGCAACCACGTGTTTACCGTAGGTAAGGTTTCTTCATGTAAGACGTTCAAATTTTTTATGCACTTATGTAAGATGGACAAATACCTTGTAAAGGCAAAATCTTCTATGATGATGCACCAAAAATATTCAATGCTTTAAAAAATAGAAGACGTTAAAAATGTATTATAATTAAAAAAAAGAGTTTTTTTCAAGAGTTTTTGTGTTTTTTTAGTTTTTAGAAACCTCACTTAACTTTTTGAAATCTCACCATGTTTTTGAGAAAGGGTGAGAAATTCTCACCCATTTTTTTTTCAATGATGAAAACACTGAACTAGGGTTATCTCTACTTATACGTTTGATTCGTGATGATTTTATCATAATTTCACTGCGTTTGCTGATGTTTTTTCAGAAGTTAGTAACTTCTTTTTTGGCCTCTCTTACATGGACCTTCAAATTCTGATATGTTTAATACGATATTATCAAAACGTTCGCAATTCAAATTTGAGTTATCGTTATTTGATGCGATAGATTTGTGATGATTCTATCACAATTTCTCGTCGCTTCATGATAAATTTTTCGGCAGTTATATATCATTTTATCAACCCTCTTCACATGGTTTTTCAAATTTGATATTTTTAATACGATCCGATGTTCGAATTTGATTTATCAGTATTTAATGCGCCCGATTTGTGACAATTTCAGCGTAATTTTACGTCGTTTAATGATTCATTTATTCAAAAGTTGGCATTTTTTTCTTCATTTTTTTCCCATATGAATTTTCGAGTATTTAATGTGCTCGATTTGTGACAATTCAACTGCACTTTTACGTCGTTTGATGTTAATTTTTCGCATGGAAATTTTTTAAATATGATAGAAAATCTTTTTAATATGATGTTGTTATGACATACGAATTTTGAATTTGCGTTATCACTATTTAATATGTTCAATCTCTGATGATTCTATTGCAATTTCATGTCGTTTGATAATGTTTACTATGGTATGATTTATGGAAAATATTAATCATTTTTAGTCTCTTTAACATGCTTTGTCAAATATCAATATGCTTAATACGCTGTTCGAATTTGAGATATCACTATTTAATGCGTTCGTTTCATGACAATTCTATCACAATTCAACACAATTTTTGATAGGTGTTATGGCAGTTATTTATCACTTTATCGACCCCTCTCGAATGAACACTACCTAATAAATTTAAAAAACTAATTAATATAAAATACTTATTGATTTAGTATTTTAATTAATAAGTAATAATACTTAGTCAATTAAATCTTTTATTTATTTATTTTTTTAATGTAGCAGGGTATTTTTTACTGAAACTTTTCTTCTACTGTACTTGTTTACTGAAAATATCCACAACTGCAATTTTGCACTGTAATATGGGATCAAGCTTTTATCCAGTNTGCGTTATCACTATTTAATATGTTCAATCTCTGATGATTCTATTGCAATTTCATGTCGTTTGATAATGTTTACTATGGTATGATTTATGGAAAATATTAATCATTTTTAGTCTCTTTAACATGCTTTGTCAAATATCAATATGCTTAATACGCTGTTCGAATTTGAGATATCACTATTTAATGCGTTCGTTTCATGACAATTCTATCACAATTCAACACGATTTTTGATAGATGTTATGGCAGTTATTTATCACTTTATCGGCCCCTCTCGAATGAACACTACCTAACAAATTTAAAAAACAAATTAATATAAAATACTTATTGATTTAGTATTTTAATAAATAAGTAATAATACTTAGTCAATTAAATTTCTGAAGCGACGAGAAATTGTGATAGAATCATCACAAATCTATCGCATCAAATAGTGATAACTCAAATGGTGAAAGAACTGGCTCATCACAAGTTTCTATATCAATTTCTTCATTTTCATTTCTAAAAAAAAAAGGCAATGACTTATTTATGAAATTTTTAATTCCATATGTGACGCAATATCCATGTCATATAATTTTAGGTCTGAGTTCAGTTAATTAAAAAGTAAAATTAAATATTTTATTTATCTATCATAATATTATTTTTAAATAACTGTAGTATAAAGAACTTAGGTATTCTATTAAATCAAAATATGCTAATAGGAAAAGATTACAAAAAAAATGAATGTAATAAATAATATAAAACAGTGAAAATAATAAAACAATTATTAACTTACAAGTCTAATTCTTCTGGTTTACGTTCAACGTCAGAAAAATGAGCAGAAAACAGCAAATTCCTTTCTAATTCATCAATAACTTTTCTTGTACTCATGTTATCAAATGGTGAAGTAACTGGCTCATCACAAGTTTCTATGTCAATTTCTTCATTTTCATTTCTAAAAAAAAGGCAATGACTTATTTATGAAATTTTTAATTCCATATGTGCACGCAATGCTCATTAACAAAGTTTACAAATATGTGTGTATATACATATATATATATCCAGCACAACAAACAAAAAAAATAGGTTAGTTTACACGACTAAAACTTTTGTAAGCACAAAGGATCTAAGACTTGGTTAGCAAGTAATAGAGCTTCATTAAAGAAATCAAACACGCATATCAGAAAGGGTAAAAATATATTCAACCAAAAGTACCTTGTCTAAAATTAAACTATGCAAAAGTATGCATCATCATATGAAAGCTATATCAGGGGTCTTGCCAAAAATTTTGTGAAAGGTCCGTTTTTGTAAAATTGTGAAAAAATTACTCGTAATTTGGGAATTTAAAATAAACGTTAAGTCACATTCTTCAAACCAGGGTCCGCTTTTGTGAATTTGAGCAAATAGGGTCCGTTATGGCAAAAAAACTTTTCCAAGGAGTTTTTAAATTGTAAAGACATACAAGATTATGCTCAACACTGTAATATTATAATTAAAAAAATTAAATTTTAAAAAATAAACAGCAATTGCTGCTACTATTTTAGAGATGCAACATACAAATATTTGGTATTTACTGCCTATACTGCTAAACGCAGAATATTCATTCCGAACGAATAAAGGAAGGAGCTTCTGCCGAAGACAAAACATACTTCAATTGCATTTGTCTTTCTTTCCCCGCACCCTTCCTGAGAAGGATTTATTCGATTAGCAAAACAATAATGAAGATAAACAAATTTGTGAAGGGTCCGATTAAAAGATAAATTATTTTGAGAAGGGTCCGTTTTTAAGTTAAAATATTTTGTGATGGGTCCGTTTTTAGGAAAAGATATTTTGTGAAGGGTCGTTAACGGACCCAAATTTCTTCTAAACAGACCCCTGAATAGGGTGACTTAGTCCGAACAATTTAACAAAATCATACTCTGACAGTAGGGAGTTTTAAACTTTACAAAAGAGCTCTATATATAATTAACATACATGTTATAAGAAGGATGGGGATATCTTTGAAGTCCTTTCATGAAAATCAAACGAGCAGGCTTAGTACGATGAGAATCTGGATGAGCATTCCATGGTTTAACATAATTATGATCAATTATTAGGGTTTCTTTTTCTTGCCCGGATACTTTTCTTAAATATTGTTCCACAGACATATATTTAATTTCAAAAGACATTTTTTGCACGATCACAGAACAAAGAGTTCAAATCAACAAAGTAACAGAGTGAATATAAATAAATAAAAAGCAATTCAATCTCATCAAAATGTTCATATTAATTATTTTTTTTATAAGACTATTTCAGAGAAACATAAATACTGAGTTTAACGGTAATGAATCTTCTAAAAAGTTACTACGCATTGTAAAAGTTGGTGAGGCTTATTTGTTTTCATTTAAACTTGTTTGGAAGATAATATTCTTTCTTGCTCTGCTTGTAATCTTTATACATTTATCAATTTCTAAACACTGATTTAGTTTGCTTATAGCTTACAGCAAAATAATTTAAGAGCCCTTCTTGCTACATTCAATTTTTTCTGCATGCATCGTGATTGGAGAAATTCTTGAAAAATCACCAATCGGGTCTTCATTAAAAAATGGAGACAGTGAAAATGGTCCTTACATGGTCGACAGCGAAAAAATGATTGACTAGTTTTTCACAGGATTCTTACTCGAAAACGCCGTTTATTGAGCGACGTCCTCAGGCTTATTTTACTTTTTGCTTATTTCGCTAAAACTCGGGAACTAGTAACAGAATAAAAATTGCACACGATTATGAAAAGTGTCCAAAACAGAACTTTATGGAAGGAAGAAATTTTTATTATTTGCTTTACAAATGATCGGAACAATTCTTTTAAAATAATGCAAATAACAAATAAACAACAAGGACAATTAATAAATTCAATAATAATAAATTATTTTTTGAATGGAATTATTTTTGGCTAAATTAGTTTGATTATTGGTGTACGGTCCAGTGCAGTGTTGCCAGATTGGGCTACAAGTAGCGGATTGGGCTACTTTTAAAAGTCCCCGCTACTGAAAATTGAATTTTCGCTACTTGCTACTTTTTGGGCTACTTATTATTTTTCGAACGCTACAAATCTTAAATATGCGCTACTTTTTTTCCTTACTGAAATATATATATATTTTTTAATTTTTTCCCTTCCCATTATAAAATGATTCTGAAAGTTTGCAGCTTCTTTACCATTTTTAAAAAGGACATTTTTGTTGTTGTTGTTGAAAACGTTCTCGCTTCAGTTTTGGATTCTTGATATGTTTTACTGATGGAGTCTATAATCTTTCCATGTTTATGTTTCAAATCGTAGACTCGGGAAATCGCAAAGATATATATGGAAAAATGCACGGAGAGTATGATGGGGAAAATGTTTTTTAACTCCAACTATTATTAATCGTTTATCTTCTGGAGAAAAAAAATCACGTTACTCGCTTTGAAACTCAGAAAAATTAAATCCAAAGTCATTTTACCTGATGAATGAAAATAGTTGTTGTGAATGACAATGAGTTTCCAAAAAATATCGTACTGTTAAATGCTTTTTAGTGAATTCATTTCACTTTTGTAAATCACGATCTATTCACAGTTGCACGAAAAATAGGAAAATTTTTATATCTCTCTAGAGCAGGGATGGGCAAACTACGGCCCGCGGGCCAACTGTGGCCCG